GAGACTTTCAATGTTACCCGAGTATATTGAGTCTAAGCGTTTCTTAAATTTTGCTTTGTCAAACGATCCAATTGATTCTCTCAGTTGCTCGAAAATGCTTCTATCTATTTGTGTCGATGTCATACTAGGCTCCTCATTGTCAGCCATGGTGACAAAACTGCCTCTGCATTTACTATTTCGCATTGCATACGTCTCCCACGCAGTGATATCGTGAACATGGTTGTAACATAATACAAATTGTTTTTGTTTTTTTTCTCTCATTTTTAAGCGATACACATAATGTCACGTGTTATAAACTCAAATTGTCTTATCATAAGCGACTTCGGCACATACCAAACAAAAATGGTGACAAAAGATGCTCTGGAAATCGATGTATCAATTCAAAGCATCAGAGACCGAAATATAAACACATTATCCATCAGGGGCAGGTCGCTCTCGTTATGAAATGTAAATGGATTATCTTTGAAGTGCGACACTTGAAAGTACAACTAGGCCTGACATATTTAGCTCCCTTTTGTAAATCTTACATTGTACTTGCAATTTTGTTTATATTTTGACTGCTCACTGCAGTATGTACAGTCCCAGTGAATGTATTGTTATGTATCTACATTGCAATCAGTGTATGTTGCAGAACTGCAGCCATGAACCCTCAGCAACATCCCAGTGTAAACCCTTGCACCCTTTCATCCTGCCCTGCATCTGTTATACAACTAATACATGACGTAATGTCAGTACAGTTCCATTGCTAAATAAGGATTTACATAAGATATGTGTACTTGTTTCTGAATCCTTTTATTGTCTGGTAAAATGTATGAACTACTGCAATATACGATAGTTAACTAAAGTCTAAACTAACGTAAAGAAACAGACATCAACAATATGTCTCTCTACACTGGTATCATTTGATGTATTTTGTTTATTTTGTTAAATGTAGGTGTTTATAGTGGTAATCTAATTTGTTATTTAAGTTTGTCATTACCATTCATCTGTTCAATCAGAATCAACTTTACACAAATAAAACAGAATAAAACAATCATACTTCTTATTCATTGTTTGACTCTGATGTATCTCAACGACAGCCCCTCAATTAAATCTAAATTTGTATGAAAAGGTGCTACACTTGTGCATATTGTGTACAATCATTAAGAAACTATGAAATGAGATATGATACTGAAAATGTGAATAACAAGACGTCAGGGATGAAATTATTGATTTATTGATTTATTCAAGAAGCAAAATACCGTGAAAAGTTAAAGGGTAATTAGCATTGATCTTATCCTTATATAAAAGGTTTATATATATACATGTGAAGTTCCAGAAAACTTTAGCGACAAATCAATACAAGCTACTCTAAGCTTCAAGATATAAAAATAAGTGAAAGAAATAATCCAATAAGGAACTCACCAGTGTGGAAAAACATCAGAATGATCAAATATATGACCGAATTTTTCATTCTGATCCTTATGGTGAAGTCAGGGTTTATCCATGAAAATACGCTGTTTTTTCGCCTAGTCGTAGTTTCCTGGGTGAGTCACACACCTGGGTTTAAGTCTGGATCTAGTTCTCGACTACAACGAACACACTTTGATCTAGCTCTAGCACCCTTTTAAAGTACACAGAGTTGGTTAAATTTCCTCGTACCAAATAAACAACGGTATTATAGGCTGTTTTCAGTTCCACGTATGAAGTAAAAAGTTGGATTACAGTCCTGTTTTAGTTCCTCGTATAAAGTAGACAGAAAGCGATTACAGTTTAGTCCAGTTCCTTGTAAAAGGTAAACAACGGGATATTAGTCTGGTTTGAGTTTCTAGCACAAAATAAGCTATGGAATAAGTGTCTTTAAGAGTTTCTCGTACAGGACTACTGAATTTTTAAACTTACTCTAGTCTCCTATAGGACTATTACGTTTCAGTTTTGTTCGAAATGCTCGTACGAAATACACAAATGAGACATAGTTTGTTTGTAGTTCAAGCAGTAAGTTACTTGTTCTTTAACAAGTATAATACACCCAAGTCATACATGACATGTTGATTATAACGATCCCGAGAAATCTGTCAGACTGATACTACAGTTAGCAGGTGAATTGAACCACATCACCCTCTTCCATCAACGGATGCATTATTCATTAGATGTATTAAAAATACATATTTCGTTTAGACATTGTAAAGTTTACATATCCTTTGTATACTTGACAGATTAACCATAATATTTAACAGATATATCATCATACTGCCGATCTGTCGGACAATTGCCATTATTAACTGATTGTTAATAAATGAGTTACCATTTTTGATTAACGGTTCGCTTTTCAGCGCCCACATGACGTTCTTTGTGTTTGTCTTTCATACACAGCAAGTTATCAATATATTTTTGAGACGACGTTTCGGAAGCATGTAACAGATTGATGATTGGGTCTAATGAAATGTCCTCCTTAATATCAGTATATCATTTGTAAGTAGTGAAGAGAGGAAATCACCTCGATACAGAAAAATTCCTTGTGAAGCATAGTGTCTTAATTTAATTGAACTTAACACCTTCAATGTTTACATTTAATGATATTAAGCTTGCGAAAACATTACAAAACAAAGAACCACTTATGGAGTTATCTCCCTTTACAATACTACCGTTCTTAACCCATGATAGTTTAAGCAAGTAGCTCAGTGTGATATGTCATTTGTCATTCGCAAAGTGACGTTTTATTACTATGTGCAATGCACTATGCTTATTTTGAATTGATATTATCTATAAAACATTTACGCATTCTATAAACACACGTTACTGATATTGATGGGAATTTAACTAAATCCGACTTATTCAGTTATATAATATATCTCCTCCAATCAGGATTAGGAAAAAGTCATTATCAGAAACTGTGTGTAAATACCCGCTAAACATAACATTACTAACAGTTATATATCGATAGAAGTAGACTGTCTCGTAACTAACAAGCATGTTCACACTGCCTAACAATATGAGTTGCAATATCGTTATACATAAGACCACATATTTTACTCAAATTCGTACCCTTGAAATCTCCAATAGTCATAATCAGTTTCATATTGTATAGTAGGCTATCCGTTTTAGAAGGAAATGTATAGGTCATTTTTCTGAGTACATGTGCTACTAAGCGGTTGTGAATAATGGAAATTCTACACTTTCTACCTACATCCAATCTAGTCATACCGATTACTCGACAGAATGCACATTATGCTTTGCCCTCACGCGCCACATTCATTGAAGCGACATTAATTTCAAAAATATCCTGGCCGTTTATATCTATTTAATATTCTAATCATGCCAATCACGAATCCCTTTAATTTTTCATCTAGCTGAATGTGAAATAATATTGGACAGCTTTATTTTCAAATTCACATTTACATAAAAAAATGGTGTGCTTTTAACTCAACTTTAATGTGACTTTTAACACTATAAAGATTAAGTTGTTGCTCAACACATCTTGGCTTTTATACATAATGTTTTATAAGTTATAATATCAGGTTATCAATGTCAAATTTATTGTTTTTATTTACAGTTTTATCAAAAATGAATTCTTTTTTGTCGAATCAAAGACCAAGATTTTTAGCTTTTATGTTAATTCTTAAGTTTTTAATTAGATTTTACACAAAATGACTGCCCCAATATATATGAATAATAATTTCTGGATGAAGTTTGCAAAAAGAACATAGGTTATTATCAGTTTTTCCAGTTTTGAATAAGAATGTGTTTGTAAGCAGCCATTGAAGTTTGGAGTTGGATGTTGTTTTAAAAGGGGCTGAATATATTTTATTCCATGTATCTTCCCTCAAATTAAATAAAGCGTTCTATTTTCTTTCAGATTTTTGTATAACAAGTTTTCTATCGGCTCAAAATTAGCATGATGTGTATTGTTTCACGACTGACAGGTTAAACTAACGAAGGGAGACAAACTTATCAATACTTGTTGGATTATCTCCCATGTATCAATATGCTCTTTTGCGCTATTCAAATGAAAACAAATCGTTCCTTATTTTCTAAACAAGAAAAACAAAATTATTTGGTAAGATATATATAATTCAAAGTAATAGATGATTGAATTAATGGTAAATTGATAGCGCAATAGATAACTACGTACAGTAATATAAAGAAATGAACAAATTGATGTTTAAACTTCGCTAAACGTCAAGTGTGACAACGTTTGCCGCCAACAATCAGTTTCGGGCTGTTCCGTCGGTGTCTATAACGTCGATGAATGTCGATTAATTAATGGATTAGATAAATAACTGTCAAAACGTAAATATCAATTGTATTGACGGATAAACTACACAAGCTAATTATGCTATTTCGGGCTGTTCCGCTGGTGTCTATAACGTCGATGAATAACCGTCCAAATGTAAATATAAATTGTATTGACGGATAAAGCACTGCTTTTTAATAGATAAAAATAAGATGTAGGACGTTAAGCCGTGTCATAAGTTTCTTATTTCCCGAGACTGAGAGGAAAAAGGAAAGACGAAGTTTCTTGACAGTTAAACGTAATTTCCAAATATATTTAATGTGAATCTTTCAAAACACAATGTAAAATACAAAAGCTAATTGTGGTAACTGAAAAAAATCAGCAAATATATTAAACAAAATACAATATTTCATAATCGCCTTTTTTTCTATCTCATTATGAATTTGAAAACTCATTCATGATTTCATCCGTGAAACTTTCGTCGCAAATCATATGAAATACTTAAGGGGTTTTGTTTCAACTTAACGATATATTTCCGACGGTGCTTCCACTGAACATCTACGTAACTTGACGTCGTGTATATCTGGTGAAGATCACATGACGTGACTGTGAACTGCCCACGTGTATATTCCGTTGCGGTTTTACACATGTTTCATTAAATCAAATATGTAGGTTATTCTCAAATAGATTTTTCAGCTAAAACGCATCTTTCGGGTTGTCACAGGATATGTTAGGTTATACCTACATTTGGTTTTCATTCGTGCCCTGCCCAAATATTCGAGTAGGATTAGTGATTTATACAAAGTAAAAATCTCTTTAGACGAAGAAGGTCCATTACTAAAATACTGCCAAATATAAACACCAAACCTCCCACCCCTAGAACAGCACCGATACCCTTGGCGGATGTCCGGTTATCCTGAGCACTAATTAGTTTTCGGCGGTAGGAAATTGTCTGTTTTTTGTCCGTTGTCAATTCTTTCTTTAACTGGTTGACTCGTTCGATCAGTTCTGGAACCGTGAGGACTGTCGTATTCACGCATCGACAATTACATATGGCAGGATCATTTGTTGTATCTGGAAATGTGATTGTTGGTGATGACGTAGACGTTACCTCAGTTGTGGTTGATGATGACGTAGACGTTACGTCTTTCTTGGTGCTGACGTCACATGTCATTTTGTAGCCTATGTGATAGATACAATTTTACATGTTTTATTTCAGAAAATAAAATTCTGTTCAATATAGAAATGTAATTCTAGTTTCACACTTTCCAAAGATAAAAATCAGTAAAGAAAAGTTGCTATTTCAGTGAAGGGGATGATGTGACAGAAAAAATGACTGTGTGTGAAGATATGTATGAAAAATCATTCATTTGTATATGGTGAGAATAATCAAGTCATTATATAAAACAGTTCTGGAACCGTGAGGACTGTCGTATTCACGCATCGACAACGACATATGGCAGGATCATTTGTTGTATCTGGAAATGTGTTTGTTGGTGATGACGTAGACGTTACCTCAGTTGTGGTTGATGATGACGTAGACGTTACGTCTTTCTTGGTGCTGACGTCACATGTCATTTTGTAGCCTATGTGATAGATACAATTTTACATGTTTTATTTCAGAAAATAAAATTCTGTTCAATATAGAAATGTAATTCTAGTTTCACACTTTCCAAAGATAAAAATCAGTAAAGAAAAGTTGCTATTTCAGTGAAGGGGATGATGTGACAGAAAAAATGACTGTGTGTGAAGATATGTATGAAAAATCATTCATTTGTATATGGTGAGAATAATCAAGTCATTATATAAAACTTATTCATATATCTCTGGGAAACTGCTTTACTGACCTGACACCTCCACTTCACAAAGAGTTAGGGTCTTAACGGAATTATCCAGCATGTAAATGCGCACATGTCTCCCTACTGTCCCCGCTGTACACGGAAATGCTCGCTCCTCACTCCTCCCAATACCGGCCCCAGGGTGGTAGTGGCAGGTTATAGCTCCTACAAGGTGTCCATTCCCATCATCTTGGTCAGACATGGACATTTCGATACCAAAATCTCTCAAACGTTCGTCTTTAAATGAAAACAAAATCAAATCTATTAGCTACTCATTGCATATCTTATTTTATTATGCAACTGGCGCTGCCATTGTCGGGAAATATTTTGCTGTATTCGGCAGTGACGGAAAACAACTGTATTTTATCACGTAAGCTAATTCAACGGAATTACTTTCTACACTATCGATGTGTACTTCACTTACCTACACTGTTGATGTTAACTACACTTACCTACACTGTTGATGTTTACTACACTTACTTACACTGTCAATGTGTACTACACTTATCTTAATTGTTCTTTGATACTCACTGTTCATTGCTCTGTTAACGATATTGACGGAAGTGACGTTGTAGATGCCTTGTAAATCTACTTGCCACCAGTGATTCCCCGGTTGTATAGCCGTGTGACTACAGGATCCTTTTGTGTATTCAGAGCTCTTATTTCCGTCATTAGCCCTCCAAGCAAAACCTATTGGAACATCAGCACGCACAGGCTCGAAGAAGGTGGATTGATTCGCTGGCTTGTTGAGAGAAAGATTCCGGTACAACACACTACCATCTTCCGTGCACGTGTCACTTTGAACAAATCCTTGTAAAACATGGGATAATATTCTACACACCAACGAGAATTGCAATATATCAATGAATACATTGGGTTTTAAATTGTAATATTGCATTCTGTTCAGTGGAAAAAGAACCCAATTTCTTATGTATTGCCAGTCGGGGAAATTACTATCGGTGTCGTCAAAATTATTACAGTTGGAAAAATGAGTCTCCCTTCTTCTTTTTCGCAAGGAAATACATCAGATAAATCTGATGTTTTCATGAGATTTTTAAAAAAAATAATATTTGATTGCGAGTCCTTTTATTTTTCTGAGATGTCTTTTTAACGTAGTTCCATTCTCAGGATAACATTTGCTAATATATGTAACAGGATACGTATATAGAACAAAATGTATTGAGCGTCCGATCTTATTCTATTTTTAGTCTCCAAATATATAATACAATGTATAAAACCAATTAATGAATGTTTAATGTTCAAAATTGTTGAAAATCATCGATGTCTGCAAAGTCTTATATACAATGTAAGAAGTTTTGAAATGTAAATGGATTATCTTTGAAGTGCGACACTTGAAAGTACAACTAGGCCTGATATATTTAGCTCCCTTTTGTAATTCTTACATTGTACTTGCAATTTTGTTTATATTTTGACTGCTTACTGCAGTATGTACAGCCCCAGTGAATGTATTGTTATGTATGTACATTGCAATCAGTGTATGTTGCAGAACTGCAGCCATGAACCCTCAGCAACATCCCAGTGTAAACCCTTGCACCCTTTCATCCTGCCCTGCATCTGTTACACAACTAATACATGACGTAATGTCAGTACAGTTCCATTGCTAAATAAGGATTTACATAAGATATGTGTACTTGTTTCTGAATCCTTTTATTGTCTGGTAAAATGTATGAACTACTGCAATATACGATAGTTAACTAAAGTCTAAACTAACGTAAAGAAACAGACATCAACAATATGTCTCTCTACACTGGTATCATTTGATGTATTTTGTTTATTTTGTTAAATGTAGGTGTTTATTGTGGCAATCTAATTTGTTATTTAAGTTTGTCATTACCATTCATCTGTTCAATCAGAATCAACTTTACACAAATAAAACAGAATAAAACAATCTTACTTCTTATTCATTGGTTGACTCTGATGTATCTCAACGACAGCCCCTCAATTAAATCTAAATTTGTATGAAAAGGTGCTACACTTGTGCATATTGTGTACAATCATTAAGAAACTATGAAATGAGATATGATACTGAAAATGTGAATAACAAGACGTCAGGGATGAAATTATTGATTTCTTAATTTATTCAAGAAGCAAAATACCGTGAAAAGTTAAAAGGTAATTAGCATTGATCTTATCCTTATATAAAAGGTTTATATATATACACATGTGAAGTTCCAGAAAACTTTAGCGACAAATCAATACAATCTACTCTAAGCTTCAAGATATAAAAATAAGTGAAAGAAATAATCCAATAAGGAACTCACCAGTGTGGAAAAACATCAGAATGATCAAATATATGACCGAATTTTTCATTCTGATCCTTATGGTGAAGTCATTTTTTTCCATGAAAATACGCTGTTTTTTCGCCTAGTTGTAGTTTCCTGAGTGAGTCACACACCGGGGTTTAAGTCTGATTGTTAATGAATGAGTTACCATCTTTGATTAACGGTTCACTTTGTTTAAATGGTTCATGAAATCTATTGCTGTATCTACTTCGAAGTGCAAAATACTTCGTGGTATTTGATGTTTCATTATGTGAGCAACAATAAACGTATATGTAATTAAATATAGCATAAACGTTGATGGAAGTACACATGTATTAAAAACAGTGGTAATATTCATAATGCGGCTGCTTCCTTGTCATTATCATCAGAAAATGGTGTTTGTTTTATCTTCATCATATACTCTCATGATTCTTTTCTTTTCCTTCAAATTGAATGTCTTGTTAACAGAACAATGTATTTTACTTTTTTGATAATTTACATTGAGTTGCACACATGATAGGATCATTAATGATTTACAATATATCAACAATCTCCTTAACGTTTCTACAACCCTTACTTATCAAAAGGAAAGTTACATTACGTGAGGTCAAAAACAACCAACACATTAAGAAAGTTTCATTTATTGCATTTATACCGTTGAAATATAGAGGTATATCTCATTGATAAAATATATTATTTTCCAATAGTGTATACACTTTTACAGACTTATGCCAATGAAAAGGGAGAACACAAACCATCTGACGACAAAATTGACAAATCATTTAGCCCGGTACAAAAAAAAAACAACAAAAACCGGACATCTGAAAGGGGTTGTTTAATCGTGAAACGACTTTTAATTCCATGTTAATTTCCATGAAAGTAAGCAAACAATGCAACGCTAGTTATGATAAAATCCAATCCCAAACAGAACGCCTTGCATATGGAGCTAACAAATCAAACTTTTCAATGGACTTCGTGTCACCAACAGCCACAACTGTAGTAGCAACTTGTTACAGATTAAACTCTCTTGGAACATTTTACAGCAAATTTTGTCTCTTAGTGACATGAATAAGTAACATTTTCTTTGTGAATTTAAAAGGAAATTTACATCGAATTTTATTTCCGGGTTTACGGACTATATTTTGTCGCGTACTGCGAAGTTATAATGAGTAATGCCTGCGAAAGGTTTAGGCAGCTTCCTCGTTTTAAATTTGTTCTTAACATGCCAGTAATTTGGTTATTTTACTTTATTTTCAAATGTAATCAATATAATATTAAACATACCAGTGTGTCAAGTGTTAACTGTCTTTCTCTCAATAGTATCATACCAAGATGTGCCCCGTGTTAACTGTCCTTCTCTCAATAGTATCATACCAAGATGTGCCCCGTGTTAACTATCCTTCTCTCAATAGTATCATACCAATGTTTGCCCCGTGTAAACTGTCTTCCCTCAGTAGGATTATACCAGTGTGTCCTGTGTTAACTGTCCTTCTCTCAATAGTATTATACCAATGTGTGTCCCGTGTAAACTGTCTTCCCTCAGTAGGATTATACCAGTGTGTCCTGTGTTAACTGTCCTTCTCTCAATAGTATCATACCAATGTGTGTCCCGTGTAAACTGTCTTCCCTCAGTAGTATTATACCAGTGTGTCCTGTGTTAACTGTCCTTCTCTCTATAGTACCATACCAATGTCTGCCCCGTGTAAAATGTCTTCCCTCAGTAGGATTATACCAGTGTGTCCTGTGTTAACTGTCCTTCTCTCAATAGTATCATACCAATGTGTGCCCCGTGTAAACTGTCTTCCCTCAGTAGTATTATACCAGTGTGTCCTGTGTTAACTGTCCTTCTCTCAATAGTATCATACCAATGTGTGCCCCGTGTAAACTGTCTTCCCTCAGTAGTATTATACCAGTGTGTCCTGTGTTAACTGTCCTTCTCTCAATAGTATCATACCAATGTGTGTCCCGTGTTAACTGTCCTTCTCTCAATAGTATCATACCAATGTGTGTCCCGTGTAAACTGTCTTCCCTCAGTAGTATTATACCAGTGTGTCAAGTATTAACTGTCTTTCCCTCAGTAGTATCATACCAGTGTGTCAAGTGTTAACTGTCTTTCCCTCAGTAGTATTATACAAATGTGCCCCGTGTTAACTGTCTTTCCCTCAGTAGTATTATACCATTGTGTCCTGTGTTAACTGTCCTTCTCTCAATAGTATCATACCAATGTGTGCCCCGTGTAAACTGTCTTCCCTCAGTAGTATTATACAAGTGTGCCCCGTGTTAACTGTCTTTCCCTCAGTAGTATTATACCATGTGTCCTGTGTTAACTGTCCGTCCCTCAGTAGAATTATACCATTGTGGCCCGTGTTAGCTGTCCTTCCATCAGTATTATTACACCATTGTGCCCTGTGTTAGCTGTCCTTCCATCAGTATTATTACACCATTGTGCCCTGTGTTAACTGTCCGTCCCTCAGTAGTATTATACCATTATGTCCTATGTTAACTGTCCGTCCCTCAGTAGTATTATACCGGTGTGTCCCGTGTTAACTGTCCGACCCTCAGCAGTATCATACCAGTGTGTCAAGTGTTAACTGTCTTTCCCTCAGTAGTATTATACAAGTGTGCCCCGTGTTAACTGTCCGTCCCTCAGTAGTATTATACCATGTGTCCTGTGTTAACTGTCCGTCCCTCAGTAGAATTATACCATTGTGGCCCGTGTTAGCTGTCCTTCCATCAGTATTATTACACCATTGTGCCCTGTGTTAGCTGTCCTTCCATCAGTATTTGTTCCGTCTAACCCTAAACACAACAAGCACCCGGTGCTAGGTTTGTAGAGGTTTATTGACAGATAGTATATACATGTAGTAAAACCTGAAATTACAAACAAAGGCAAGATTCAGTCTAATGCACAGATATTGACTCAATTTGTTCCGAACAAACATCTACATTGTATTTATAGTTGCAATTTTTGGCCCTGACTAGTAATCTTGAGTGAATAAATGACCAATCTACCAAGAAAATAGGACACCGGAACTTAATTACCTTGAAAATATTGTCTCACATACACTCGTACAGAAATACCCAAATTACAGGTGTATTCATACTAAAAACATCACAAATTATCTGATTATTCTTAAATTTAAACAATACTATCAGAGTAGGGAACATATCACTGAATTATGCAATAAACATTCACATATGAGCTTCAGTAAGTCAAAAAATAGCCATCTATACATTTAAGCCAGTCTACAGGCGAAAACCTGTCTATAACGACCACCTCTGTAAAGCGGCCACCTGTCTATGAGGACCACCTGTCTTATAAGGAACTCCTGTCCACAAAGACCACCTGCCCTAGGAGACTGATCTTTATGGGGGCCAGAGAGGTTTTAATAGACAGGTTGACAATACATAAATCTGAGTACAGCTAACCAAATCGAAACCATGTGCAAATATGAACACATCAAATAGATCTAGGTATCTATTATGTAAATAAACTGTGAATAGTTGTGATAATGACTAGAAATTCACTTGATTGTATCCATACAATTACCTGTGTATGAGGAAACTAAACTTCTACCAATAAAAAGACTTAGTTACAGTAAGGGGAAATTGACGGCCATATTTACCGCCAAATCTAAACAACACCTATTTTGTTTACATCTCTAAAAATACATATTGCAGCATACAAACGGTTTCATCAAGGTTCTAGCACTCTGCTTACATAAAATAAACACTTACGACGTGTGGGGCTTTATGATAGCTCACTCGACTTGACATCTTTGATTAAACGATGCTGAAAAGGCTGCTCTCATGACCATGCCGTTTCTCTCAGACGGAAAATAAGAGAAGACACACAAGGGCAGTAACTCTAAATTACTCTTGCTGATTACTAGCGATCAGCGGCTAAGAGGAGAGAACTCCTGGTTCCATCACACTCCCCGCCTGATATGAATAATATCACTAATTATAGATACACATTTAACACAAAGGTTCGAATAACATAACGAATTAGAATGATTGTCCAATAAATGCAAATTGAGAAAACAATAGTTATTGACTAGTATGTTCAATTGGATGTTCGTAGAACAGGTAACGTTCATCCCGCATGTACAAACACCAGGTGTATATATACATATAAACACAGTTTGTCTATTACACTGACTCTTTATCCTTTGAAAGGAGAATCACGATCTGAGTGACCGGACGGACTAAAGTTGACTTCTTTCCCCCTCGACATATTTGAATTTCGACCTTTCGAACAAGTCCATCCTCACTAGGAAAGGTACGAGTGATGATGCCAAGAGGCCAATCATTGCGTGCGACTTGTTCATCCTTCATAAGGACAACGTCTCCTTCCTCCACGTTTGGAGATTCGTGTTTCCATTTCCTCCTAGTCTGTAACAATGGTAGAAATTCCTTACGCCATCGATTCCAGAAATTCTCCGCTAGCACCTGTACGTGTTTCCACTGTGATCTAAACATGTCCTTATGACCCAAGTATCCAAACGACTCTACTTGACTCCCAGTTTTCTGTGTCAAAATAGTTGCTGGAGAAAGGATACATGGGTTATCGGTGTCTGTCGGTGGGTTAAATTTCCAGATTGTACCGGACTCACGAAGGAATTCCTTGACTTGCCGGTCTTCAATGAAGATCGCTGTAGCTCCCAGGTCTGAAGTAGCACCAATAAAGTTAGTACCTCTGTCGGAGCGAAACTCGGCGACTTTCCCTCTGATAGCGTAAAATCTCCTGACAGCATTTATGAATGATGCAGAGCTCATTTCTTCAAGCAACTCGATATGGACAGCCCGAGAAAACAAACACGTGAAAAGCGCTGCCCAGCGTTTGCTAGCTGCCGAACCACCCCTGGTCCTGCGGGTTACAACATTCCAAGGCCCGAATACGTCAACGCCGACGTATGTGAATGGCGGGCTAGGTGTCACTCGCTCAGTTGGAAGATCCGCCATTTTCTGTTCAGCACACTTCCCGCGGAGTCTACGGCACTTCATGCAATGATGAATCACGAAGGACACTAGTCTTTTCCCTCCAGTGATCCAAAATCCTGCAGATCTTATAGCGCCTTCTGTCAGATGTCTCCCTTGGTGTTGGACAGAGTAATGGAAGTGACGAGTTAACAGTGTAGCGACGTGATGTCGTCCAGGTATCAAGATAGGGTTCCTTTCACCTCTAGGTAACTCCGACTTTTTAAGTCTTCCTCCAACACGTATTATGCCATTCTCATCCAGGTAGGGAGATAGTTCCTTTGGACATTTCCTGATGTCCCCATAGAATCCCCTTTGAAGCTCTCTGACGATAAACACTTCTGCTGCTGCACGACTTTCGACCGAACGGTTAAGTGTCACATTTGTGCCATCCTGCACAATTGTGGTGTTTTGACTTAAATGACGTAGCTATGTGTTTAATGAGAGATATGGCCAACAGCAGGTTGGTCCAGCTAGAAAATTTCTCAAACCGTTCTAGCCAAGACCTGGGAGGTTTGTCGACGTCCTCTATGTCCGTTTTGATGACCTTGACAACTTCTTGTCGAACTTCTACATCTTCGTCTGGTGCGACCAAAGGGAAGAGTGAGGATGATGTAGATGATGGCTCAATCTCTGGAGAGTCTGGTTTAGGAGGTCCTTGAATCCACATGCTCCTTTCCAAAAGGGCTGGAGCTATATACCGAGTACCGATATCAGCGGGATTGCTCTCCGTAGAAACATAGAACCACTGATCTGGTTTTGAAAATTCCAGTATCCTGCACACCCTGTTCGCTACATAGATGTAAAATCGGCGAGTCCTGTTTGTGACGTAGCCGAGTACGACCTTGCTGTCTGTATGGAAAAATATGCGTTCCCTGGGAAAAGATAATTCTTGTGTAATAACTTCAGCTATTTCCACCGCTAGTACCGCGGCACACAGTTCTAAACGGGGAATGGTGTGTCCGTGACGCGGTGCAATTTTCGACTTCCCTAAAACGAAGCTAAAGCGTGGTTGCCCATCCTCATCTAGAGATTTGAGGTATGCGACCGCAGAAATTGCCCTCTCTGACGCGTCGGAATAAACATGCAGCTCACTTACGGAGTTGATATGTGACGGATATCTGCGAGGTATTTGGAAAGTCTCTAAGTCCTGGACTGAAGTGTCCCACTGTTTCCATGAATCCTTGAATTCCTCTGGCAATGGTTGATCCCAATCAATAGTACCAGATACCATGTCTCGAAGGAGGATTTTTCCTTGTACAGTTTCGGGAGAGAGGAATCCAAGGGGGTCGTACAGACGGTTTATTGTGGATAAGACACCGCGGCGTGTATATGGTTTGGACTCCTTGGATATAGCGAATGTGAAGACGTCGGTTTCCAACTCCCAACACAGACCAAGGCTCCGTTGTGAAGGAAGGGCATCAGTGCCAATCTCTATCTTCCTCAGATCATTGGCCAGATCCTCTGGCGGCAGGGCGTTAAGAACATCCTCGCAGTTAGAAGTGAATTTGTGGAGTCTGATATGGCTGGTGTTCAAGGCCTTCTTTGTCTGGTCAAGTAAGCTGATCGCCTCTTGAGCAGTAAGGAGTGATGTAAGCCCATCGTCGACGTAAAAGTTTCCTTGTATGAACTCGAGAACGTTACTGCCAAACTCCCTTTCCCCTTCTTTGGCTGTCCTAAGAAGACCATAAGAGGCCACGGCTGGTGAAGGACTATTACCAAACACGTGCTTAAGCATTCTATACTCCACCAGCTGCTTCCCAGGGTCATTGTCCTCATACCATATGAATCTCAAGAAATTGCGGTGGTCTTCCCTCACGCCAAAACAGTAAAACATCTGCTCTACGTCACAGCTCACAGCTACTGCTTCCTTTCTAAATCTTAAGAGGACGCCAAGGAGATTGTTCGTCAAATCCGGACCCTTCATCAGAACTTGGTTCAATGAGATACCTTCGTACATGGCTGACGAGTCGAAAACTCCCCGAATCTTATCCGGCTTCTTGGGATGATAGATGCCAAAAAGTGGCAAATACCAACACTCCTCATCATCAGAAAGTGGGGGAGCCAATTCTGCATGCCCATTGTCAATGATTCCTTTCATGAAGGAAGTGAAGTGGTCTCGTTTGACAGGATTCCTCTGAAGAGAAGCATCGAGGATCTGAGCTCTTTTTAAGGCTTGGTACCTGTTATTAGGTAGTCTAGGACGAGGTTCCCGAAAAGGCAGTGGAGCAATCCATTTACCTTGAGAATCCTTTGTAAACTCTTTGTCCATGAGTTCAAGAAATGCTCGGTCTTCTAAAGACAAGCCGACTTTGTTGTCATTCTGGGTTTGTTGAAACACGTCCCGTCCGATGTTTGATTCCTCATAAACGCCTTTCACTTTGAATTGATTTTCACATGGTGGAAACAGTGTGGGACGTCCGTCCTCAAGTATCCTTGTTTTAAGAACAGAGACATCTGATGAGTCTGGAGGATGTGTAGTTCCAAGACAGACGTTACCTACAATGACCCAGCCTAAACGTAATCTCTGGGCAAATGGAGAGTTAGATGGACCAATAATCTGTTCGCACACGTGGTGGGCCTCTGGCACGTCGCGACCAATCAACAAGAGAATTTGAGTTCCAGGGTCTAGTGGTGGAAGGTCGACATCCTTCAGGTGACTATGGTAAGTTGTAATCTCTGGGGTGGGTATCTCTAAACGATTGTTGGGAATCTGATCACACTCGAGTATCCCAGGTAATGACAAGCTAAATTCGCCGTCCAGAGAAGAGACTGAGAATCCGTGTGCACATCTACCTTGAGTAGGGAGGTCACCTGCGCACGAAACGAGTGTGTACCGCTCCGTTGTCTCTCCTGAGACATTCATAACATCGAAGAACGCAGGTCGACATAACGTGCGGTTGCTCTGGTCGTCAAGAATGGCGTACATATTGATCGCCAGCTCTGGCTTTCCAGTCGGGTGGACCTTTACCAGTATAGTTTTTGAGCACGACCTTCCAGAAAACTTCTTTCCTCCACACACGCGGGTACATTTATTCACGACTCCCACCTCCACAGATTTCTCCCCGCCGTTCTGGCTTGGGGTTTTGTCGTTGTGCCTACTCGGCTTGTTCTGCTCCTTACGATTTATAGGTTCACCACGATCTCTAGGGTGAAGCGCGGTTGCATGTTGATCGCTCCCACACTCTGAGCACTTGATGGAAACTGTACAGTTTTTGAACATATGTGTATCAGTATCGCAACATCGATAGCACATGCGGTGTTCACCTAGGATCCGCCTCCGTTCAGATAGCGACTTAAGTCTAAATGACCTGCATTGGTTGACATTATGGTTTGACGTGTTATGTATAGGACACTGTTTCTCGCCTAATTTGGAATCGTTGCCTGACACCTGTGTCTTGGCCACTAAGTAGTGCCGCGTACATGGGATCTCCCATAAGGGATTCAATCTCGGACAGAGTGTCAGACAATTCATATAGCTTGGCATTGTCCCTGTTGCCTAACTTGGGGAATTTTTCTAGTTTCCCTTTAAGTGATGATTCTACCATTTCGGGGCATCCATATCTCTCACTGAGACGTTCCCACAGTCTTTCCAGACCCCTGGATGGGTTAAATGTATTTGATGCTCTCAGACTTTGTGCGTGCTTCTTGGACTCTGGGCCCAGCCATTTAATTAACAGGTCAAACTCCTCATTTGGCGTAACACTCAGTTCTTTAGTTACAGACTGAAAACTAGCCTTCCACATAATGAAGGTCTCGGGTTTGTCGTCAAATGTTGTAAGTCTTTGGAGGAGAAGGTCCTTCCTCAACAAATACTTGGTGAAGTCTGAGTAACACGACTTCTCTGGATAGAAACTCGGTGAGTTAGGATTCAATTGTCCTTTGGCTGGTTCAGCGTCAGGGATGACCTCCAAATATGGGTTGGGAGGTACAGCCGCCTCAATGTCGTCCTTACTAGCAACCCGGTTACTAGGCGTTCCAATCCGACTATGTTCTATTACATATTGTTCGGTTCGCTCCCCTGCATCCATTTCTGGTAGTATAGGTAGAGGGAGTTGTGACCCTCTCTCTGACTTGCATACGTCCAACTCCTCATACATAGCGTCCAATACTGCTTGAGCGACCGCAGCTTCCTGTTGCGACTTCAAAAACTGCAGGTCTGACTCGTAGCCAGCCCTCTGTCTAAGAACTTCAGCCTCCATCCGTGCTTGCTGTTTTTGTATCTCCATCTCGCGGTGCATGAAGGTTAGGCGTGTCTTGGCTGCTTCCAGCTTGGCATGCTGGCGTGCCAGTAGGGAGCTGTTGTGGCTGCTGACTGAGTTGCTCCTGGATCCACTCGGAGTGTGACTGTGTATTGAAGGCGACTTTGATTTCACCTGTGACTTAGTTTCCTCCCCTGTCTGGGAGGTTGCTTTCTCCTGAACTCTTGCCATCTCCTCATAGACTCTTGTCACCCTTTCGTAAACCTGGGCGTGTATCGATTCTTGGGATGCTTTCTCCCGTTTACTGGTCTCTGTGTTAAGACGCGTCAAATATCGCACGAAGGTCTTTATCTCCTCAAGGTAGGCATCATATGTCTCTCGTAGACGCCTCCCTGTTTGCTGCGACCAAATCCTTTTGGTCCATTTTAGACGCGAAGTCGGCGATGATGTTGTCAATCCTTCTCCGGAAGTCGATGAGCTTGAAGGCACTCTTCCGTACCGTGGCCTCATACAGTGCCTCTCCTCCATCTGTTAGAGTTTTTTCTCGATGAGGTCTGTCTGAGGAGGAAAATTCTAGGTCTGAGAAAGGCTGTAGCAAGGCTTTATCTTCATTAGGAGGCATCTCATGCCCTTGTCGCTCTTGCAACTTGGTAGGATCCTGATCCTTTGAGGTAGCCATCATGTATCGCTGGCACACGTCGTTTTACTGTTCCGTCTAACCCTAAACACAACAAGCACCTGGTGCTAGGTTTGTAGAGGTTTATTGACAGATAGTATATACATGTAGTAAAACCTGAAATTACAAACAAAGGCAAGATTCAGTCTAATGTACAGATATTGACTCAATTTGTTCCGAACAAACATCTACATTGTATTTATAGTTGCAATTTTTGGCCCTGACTAGTAATCTTGAGTGAATAAATGACCAATCTACCAAGAAAATAGAACACCGGAACTTAATTACCTTGAAAATATTGTCTCACATACACTCATACAGAAATACCCAAATTACAGGTGTATTCATACTAAAAACATCACAAATTATCTGATTATTCTTAAATTTAAACAATACTATCAGAGTAGGGAACATATCACTGAATTATGCAATAAACATTCACATATGAGCTTCAGTAAGTCAAAAAAATAGCCATCTATACATTTAAGCCAGTCTACAGGCGAAAACCTGTCTATAACGACCACCTCTGTAAAGCGGCCACCTGTCTATGAGGACCACCTGTCTTATAAGGAACTCCTGTCCACAAAGACCACCTGCCCTAGGAGACTGATCTTTATGGGGGCCAGAGAGGTTTTAATAGACAGGTTGACAATACATAAATCTGAGTACAGCTAACCAAATCGAAACCATGTGCAAATATGAACACATCAAATAGATCTAGGTATCTATTATGTAAATAAACTGTGAATAGTTGTGATAATGACTAGAAATTCACTTGATTGTATCCATACAATTACCTGTGTATGAGGAAACTAAACTTCTACCAATAAAAAGACTTAGTTACAGTAAGGGGAAATTGACGGCCATATTTACCGCCAAATCTAAACAACACCTATTTTGTTTACATCTCTAAAAATACATATTGCAGCATACAAACGGTTTCATCAAGGTTCTAGCACTCTGCTTACATAAAATAAACACTTACGACGTGTGGGGCTTTATGATAGCTCACTCGACTTGACATCTTTGATTAAACGATGCTGAAAAGGCTGCTCTCATGACCATGTCGTTTCTCTCAGACGGAAAATAAGAGAAGACACACAAGGGCAGTTACTCTAAATTACTCTTGCTGATTACTAGCGATCAGCGGCTAAGGGGAGAGAGCTCCTGGTTCCATCACAGTATTATTACACCATTGTGCCCTGTGTTAACTGTCCTTCCCTCAGTAGTATTATACCAGTGTGTCCCGTGTAAACTGTCTTCCCTCAATTGTATAATACCAGTGTGTCAAGTGTTAACTGTCCTTCTCTCAGTAGTATTATACCAGTGTGTCCTATGTTAACTGTCCGTCCCTCAGTAGTATCATACCATTGTGTCAAGTGTTAACTGTCCTTCGCTCAGTAGTATTATACCAGTGTGTCCTATGTTAACTGTCCGTCCCTCAGTAGTATTATACCATTGTGTCCTGTGTTAACTCTCCTTCCCTCAGTAGTATTATACCGGTGTGTCCCGTGTTAACTGTCCTTCCCTCAGTAGTATTATACCATTGTGTCCTGTGTTAACTGTCCGTCCCTCAGTAGTATTATACCATTGTGTCCTGTGTTAACTGTCCGACCCTCAGTAGTATCATACCATTGTGTCAAGTGTTAACTGTCCGTCCCTCAGTAGTATTATACCAGTGTGTCCCGTGTTAACTGTCATTCACTCAGTAGTATTATACCGGTGTGTCCCGTGTTAACTGTCCTTCTCTCAATAGTATCATACCAATGTTTGCCCCGTGTAAACTGTCTTCCCTCAGTAGGATTATACCAGTGTGTCCTGTGTTAACTGTCCTTCACTCAGTTGTATTATACCAGTGTGTCAAGTGTTAACTGTCCGTCCCTCAGTAGTATTATACCATTGTGTCCTGTGTAAACTGTCCGTCCCTCAGTAGTATTATACCAGTGTGTCCTGTGTTCAGTAGTATTATACCATCCTGTCTGTCTTCCCTCAGTAGTATTATACCAGTGTGTCCTGTGTTAACTGTCCGTCCCTCAGTAGTATTATAGAAGTGTGCCCCGTGTTAACTGTCCGACCCTCAGTAGTATTATACCATTGTGTCCTGTGTTAACTGTCCGTCCCTCAGTAGTATTATACCATTATGTCCTGTGTTAACTGTCCGTCCCTCAGTAGTATTATACCGGTGTGTCCCGTGTTAACTGTCCGTCCCTCAGTAGTATAATACCATTGTGTCAAGTGTTAACTGTCCTTCTTCCAGTAGTATTATACCAGTGTGTCCTATGTTAACTGTCCTTCCCTCAGTAGTATTATACCAGTGTGTCCTGTGTTAACTGTCCGACCCTCAGTAGTATGATACCATGTGTCCTGTGTTAACTGTCCGTCCCTCAGTAGTATTATACCAGTGTGTCCTGTGTTAACTGTCCTTCCCTCAGTAGAATTATACCATTGTGTCCCGTGTTAGCTGTGTGTCCTTCTCTCAGTATCATACCAATGTGTCCTGTGTTAACTTCAACTGTGTCCTGTGTTAACTGTCCTGTTAACTGTCTCAGTAGTATTATACCATTGTGTCCTGTGTTAACTCTCCTTCCCTCAGTAGTATCATACCGGTGTGTCCCGTGTTAACTGTCCTTCCCTCAGTAGTATTGTACCAGTGTGTCCTGTGTTAACTGTCCGTCCCTCAGTAGTATTATACCATTGTGTCCTGTGTTAACTGTCCGTCCCTCAGTAGTATTATACCAGTGTGTCCTGTGTTAACTGTCCTTAATCCGTCCCTCAGTAGTGTGTGTCCTGTGTTAACTGTCCTGTCCTCAGTAGTATTATACCAGTGTGTCCCGTGTTAACTGTCCTTCCCTCAGTAGTATTATACCAGTGTGTCCTGTGTTAACTGTCCTTCCCTCAGTAGTATTATACCGGTGTGTCCCGTGTTAACTGTCCTTCCCTCAGTAGTATTGTACCAGTATGTCAAGTGTTAACTGTCCTTCTCTCAGTAATATTATAAAAGTGTGTCCCGTGTTAACTGTCTTTCCGTCAGTAGTATTGTACCAGTGTGTCCTGTGTTAACTGTCCGTCCCTCAGTAGTATTATACCGGTGTGTCCCGTGTTAACTGTCTTATACTGTGTTAACTGTCCTTCCCTCAGTAGTATTATACCAGTGTGTCCCTTGTAAACTGTCTTCCCTCAGTTGTATTATACCAGTGTGTCAAGTGTTAACTGTCCTTCCCTCAGTAGTATTATACCAGTGTGTCAAGTGTTAACTGTCCGTCCCTCAGTAGTATTATACCATTGTGTCCTGTGTTAACTCTCCTTCCCTCAGTAGTATTATACCGGTGTGTCCCGTGTTAACTGTCCTTCCCTCAAGTGTTAACTGTCTTTCGGTCAGTAGTATTATACCAGTGTGTCCTATGTTAACTGTCCTGTCCTCAGTAGTATTATACAAGTGTGTCCCGTGTTAACTGTCCTTCCCTCAGCAGTATTATACCATGTGTCCTGTGTTAACTGTCTGTGTCACGTGTTAACTGTCCTTCCCTCAGTAGTATTGTACCAGTATGTCAAGTGTTGATTGTCCTTCTCTCAGTTATATTATAGAAATGTGTCCTGTGTTAACTGTCTTTCCGTCAGTAGTATTATTGTTAACTGTCTTTCCGTCAGTAGTATTGTACCAGTGTGCCCTGTGTTAACTGTCTTTCCCTCAGTAGTATTATACCATTGTGTCCTGTGTTAACTGTCATGTCCTCAGTAGTATTATACCAGTGTGTCCCTGTTCCCTCGGTAGTAGTATACCAGTCACATAGTCGCCAGCTCAATATGTAAAACCAACCGCAGACGATTGGTGTAGGGGGCGCGCAATAAAACGTTTAACAACTTAACAATGTGTCGTAAATTCCCTTCGTCTAAATGAAAGCCAGATAGTCATATCGTGAATCTTTGCTCTATTACCCTAGAAATCATGACTTAAAAATCCGTTTGAAATGTAAAAGAAAATCTCGTGAAAGCATAAATAATAACACGAAAAATCAAACAGATATGAAACACGTAATGGTATGAAATATATGTATATTCACAAAAACAATGTGATTATGTAAATGATTACACTATTGCTATTTTGTTTTTTGTTTTTATTGCTGTCAGATGTCAGTGTCATTAACAGGCTTTCATATAATAGGAAGTTTGGTCTTGTTTCAAGTTTTCTCCGCGGTGTCAGTCTCAAGAAAAAATCTGCCTTTATTTTGCACCATGTCATTCTTAAAGATGAGGTCTCTTGAATATTTTTTCCGATAAAGTTTTCCAGCACTTCCATTGAGATTTGGCACATCTATGAAGTTAGGAACCGTCGTAGATACTTCGTCTCCAAGTCTATCGTAAAATCAATAACAACGTACGCCCAACACAATCAGCACTATTTCAAACCTGATAAATTCGTGACAACATTATATTAATATATAACACAGTATAAACATGGCAGTGCGTTACTTTCCACGTAATTACCCGAAAGGCCTACGGAATACAGACAATAGATTTAAGTTCTCTCTGCAGGTATAGAAATATCGTCGACTCATCATTCGGTGTGACGTCACAGATCCACAGGTACAGGGCTGTGTGCTTGTGATTCATAATTACAACATGCCTTATAAAAAGTTACACCTAAATCAATACAAACGATAGTCACGGTCTTGTAGCTCGGTATGGCGACATCGAGACATCTTGTTAAACAAACAATCACTTTTGTTTCCGACCTCTTGTATAACATGCCGTAAAGTGGGTTGGCGCCACGCAATCAACGGTATTTCCTCATTTCCTAATGTTGTCGTGTGTACACGGTGTTGCTGTATAATATACACACATACAGGACAGTATCCTTATATCAATATATTTATGAAATAGTTTTCAATGTTTGATATCTCCTGACTAGCTAGATTAACACGATGTTAGTTGCACACTATTTACACTAAAATCAGACGATAAATTCTTGGGTATTATGAAACTTGCCCGAGTTCCACAACCTAAGCACATTGCAGTGTATGTTTGCAATGGACCATGTTTCCAAACTTTTCTTTCTTCGTGGCTCTATCTCACTCAAATACTATATTATACAACAACGACACTGGCCGTGATACCAATGCGTTAGATCAAAACAAACAAGGCATTACGACGAAAACTCCGGTTGTAGTGAGTACGGCCCCTAGTGTGGTCAGTTGTGGTGACCAGTGGGCGGACTGATGTTTTTACTGGACACATAGGGCATTTTTATCTTTGATTTACATGGTGTGTCCAATTTGGACATCATAAAGCAGTCATTCCCACGAGATGGAATATGTGCCTGCAACGTTAATTAGCCCAGTATCACGTGACAAAGGTATCGGAAATTTTCAGGCCAATGAGAATTTGTATTCAGTTAATATGCTGTTGAGTGTTGTGCATTCTCAAATGAATTTTGATAAAACGAGCCTTAAAAAATTGTTTGTTTTGGGGTTTTTTTCCCTGGATCAAAAATTAATATTTCGAGAGGAGTTTCATAAAACTTCATATGAAATTATATTAAATTAATTATTGATTTTATCACATAACTCAGAAAATTGCCATTTTCATTTCATGACGTAACATCCTTGTCCATAGCATGACAACACAGTCGGTTCCTGACTGGCACGGTCAAGGAAACACCTTCCAAGGTATATTAAACTAGGTAATACAAATTCCAGGCCAATTTTGTGATGAATAAAAACGTAATTAAATTTCCTATCATCACACAGTGCGTATTAAATAGATGTTTAGTACTTAGTACACAATGAACAACTACTTGAAATATTTTGATGATTCTGGATACAACTGTCAGAATGCAATACAACTATTTGAAAACTTTTTTATGACCAATTAATACTGTAGTAGGTAATTAAAAGATTGAAATTCCTCCGCTGCAATCTTGTGCTTTTCAGATTTTTTATCAACGGAGAACATTTTATCATTGAAAAATGAAAGCTTTAGAGGGATCATTCATAGACATGTAATTTTCTATTACCACTTGGAGGGGAGGGGGAGGAGGGGGGGGGTTAATTTCTTCTGCATTTTAGAAAATAGGGTCATCCCTTGACAATGTCTCCATGTCTCAATGACAAAATGAATTTATTTTCAAGAAAATACAAGAAATTACTTTCTCATTAGCCTATTTTATACATATCAGTATAACGTGTGAAGGTTTTTTGGGCAAATATCTGACAAATCTAACATATACATTCTTGAAATTCCTCTTTCGTTTTAGAAAGTGGTGATACTTTTGTGCAGTGAGTGCAATAGACTTTTGGTCATAACAAACATTCAATCTATAAAGAAACCGAAATATTATATTAAAACCTAGAAACCGCTTCGTCCGTTCACAGTATATCAACGTGTACATAAATAATTGAGGTAAATATCTTTTTTCTTCGCGTCTCTCATCATTGAACATACATGTTTAACTAATTATCGCTTACATTATTGGTTATAGTTGAATAGTTCTCCAATATGATACAGAGCGGACTTAGATGACTTAAGCAATTACTGGGAAATGTTAATTGAGTTGAATTTTTAACTAACTTTAAAGGAAATTAACACGAATAGATAAGTAATATTTTCGTTTTAACTTTCCTTTTAAGACAGAAAAAATAATTTTGGGAGAAGGAAGATAATTGATATATTAAAATGCAAAGATCTCTAATGTGCTGACTGTATAGACAATTTGTGGCCGTTAATGCGTACAGATACTTTGAAATATGTATGTGTGAAAGTGCATGTGATGACGAAGTTGTATTCCAAAGAAAGTACGTAGATTTGTAACACAAGAAGTAAGCAAGCTAGAAAGTGCCTGTGTATTTCAGGTTTCCTGCGTAATTCGTAATTACAGTCAGGAATTGCCGAAAGTTAGAGACAAGGAAGAGAAAAAATATAGAATGCTGAATTTTTATTATTCAAACCTGAAATGTTTAAAGTAATTTCATTTTGTATATCTCAATGTATACTTATACAATGTCTTACGCTTGGTGTCTGTACATCTCAGTGTATACTTAAATACAATGTCTTACGCCTGGTGTCTGTATATCTCAGTGTATACTTAAATACAATGTCTTACGCCTGGTGTCTGTATATCTCAGTGTATACTTAAATACAATGTCTTACGCCTGGTGTCTGTATATCTCAGTGTATATTTAAATACAATGTCTTACACTTCATACCTGTATATTTCAGTGTAAACTTATACAATGTCTTACACTTGATATCTGTATATTTCAGTGTATACCTATCCTGATTTCGGTACATCACTGCCATGCAATTTTCTATTTTCCCCGTGTTTTAAAGAGGCCAAACGCGGTGACGTCTTTTAAATGTCGTTATATATCTAAAGTTCCTTTAATCTGTAATTGTAATCCGCACGAACCACGAGTGAGGTGAGAGTTGATCTCTTCCTAAGTTTCTGGATTGTTTGTCCTCTGTCTATCATATCCCGTTCAACAACCCGATCTCACACCGTAATCAGACGGAATGTTGTTATGGAGATCATGTGACTCTCCGAAAACACCCGAATGACTCACATGTCATTCATCTTTCTAAATCAACGGTACATTGAACATGTTGTGAAAATATGAAATTGATAACCACATGTGATTGAACAGGTTCGAAGACAAAACTGTATGTTTTTTAAGGCCCATGTTTTTGTTGTAGTGATGGATGTACGTATGGTTTTATACGGTGAACTATTTAGGTAAAAACGTTTAGACTCAACAATATCGTTGATCGTTATAACATAACAAATGTCATGTTGGTCAGCACATTAGCTTTTGAGATATTTAATGTAATCCATCTCTTATCAAATGATGACCTGGTGTTAAGTTGTGGAAGAACGTTTGAAGTTATGAAAATGTGTCAGTTCGTTATACAAATTTATCATTTTAAATTTTCTCATGTAATACAAGACTTTCTCTACCAATAGATCATAGATATTATCATTCTAAAGTTAGAGTTTTCTGTAACCGGATTTAATATATAACGAAAACTTGTTTCTCATATCTGAAATTTATTTGTTACCGGACTTAATATATAAAATAACTCGTTTCTCTTATATCTGATATTTATTTGTTACCGGACTTAATATATAAAAAAAAACTCGTTTCTCTTATATCTGATATATATTTGTTACCGGACTTAATATATAAAAAACTCGTTTCTCTTTTATCTGATATCTATTTGTTACCGGACTTAATATAATATATAAAAAACTCGTTTCTCTTTTATCTGATATCTATTTGTTACCGGACTTAATATATAAAAAACTCGTTTCTCTTTTATCTGATATCTATTTGTTACCGGACTTAATATATAAAAATCTCGTTTCTCTTTTATCTGATATCTATTTGTTACCGGACTTAATATATAAAAAAACTCGTTTCTCTTATATCTGATATCTATTTTTTACCGGACTTAATATATAAAAAAACTCGTTTCTCTTATATCTGATATCTATTTGTTACCGGACTTAATATACCGGACTTAATATATAAAAAACTCGTTTCTCTTTTATCTGATATCTATTTGTTACCGGACTTAATATATAAAAAAACTCGTTTCTCTTATATCTGATATCTATTTGTTACCGGACTTAATATATAAAAAACACGTTTCTCTTTTATCTGATATCTATTTGTTACCGGACTTAATATATAAAAAAACTCGTTTCTCTTTTATCTGATATCTATTTGTTACCGGACTTAATATATAAAAAACTCGTTTCTCTTTTATCTGATATCTATTTGTTACCGGACTCAATATATAAAATAACTCGTTTCTCTTTTATCTGATATCTATTTGTTACCGGACTCAATATATAAAAAAACTCGTTTCTCTTTTATCTGATATCTATTTGTTACCGGACTCAATATATAAAAAAACTCGTTTCTCTTTTATCTGATATCTATTTGTTACCCGACTTAATATATAAAAAACTCGTTTCTCTTTTATCTGATATATTTGTTACCGGACTCAATATATAAAAAAACTCGTTTCTCTTTTATCTGATATCTATTTGTTACCGGACTTAATATATAAAAAACTCGTTTCTCTTTTATCTGATATCTATTTGTTACCGGACTCAATATATAAAAAAACTCGTTTCTCTTTTATCTGATATCTATTTGTTACCGGACTTAATATATAAAAAAACTCGTTTCTCTTTTATCTGATATCTATTTGTTACCGGACTTAATTTACCGGACTTAATATATAAAAAACTCGTTTCTCTTTTATCTGATATCTATTTGTTACCGGACTCAATATATAAAATAACTCGTTTCTCTTTTATCTGATATCTATTTGTTACCGGACTTAATATATAAAAAACTCGTTTCTCTTATATCTGATATCTATTTGTTACCGGACTCAATATATAAAAAAACTCGTTTCTCTTTTATCTGATATCTATTTGTTACCGGATAATATATAAAAAAACTCGTTTCTCTTATATCTGATATCTATTTGTTACCGGACTCAATATATAAAAAAACTCGTTTCTCTTTTATCTGATATCTATTTGTTACCGGACTTAATTTACCGGACTTAATATATAAAAAACTCGTTTCTCTTTTATCTGATATCTATTTGTTACCGGACTTAATATATAAAAAACTCGTTTCTCTTTTATCTGATATCTATTTGTTACCGGACTTAATATATAAAAAAACTCGTTTCTCTTTTATCTGATCTCTATTTGTTACCGGACTTATTATATAAAAAAACTCGTTTCTCTTTTATCTGATATTTATTTGTTACCAGATCTAAAATATAACGAAAACTTGTTTCCTTATTTCTGATATTTATTTATGAAATATATATCTTGTTCAATTTTCATTTTTAACATCATTATGACTTTTCACTTTTTTGTATTTTACTGAAGTATGAATTTGATAGATTTACGCTTATGACACGAGACAAATAGCGGTATAACTTCATTCGGATAAAGATATCCGGACAGTTAATGAAAACAAGATATATATTACCAGTAGTCCGTCATCGCTATCCCTCCCGCTAAGTCCACTATTTACTCTTTGTTTACATGACCTGTCCCCTCCCACTTAGCTATCACTCGCTGGTTAATGTATGATGGATCGTTGTCGTACAAACATCGCTCCAGACGGCCAACGTACGGAAAAAACCAGGATGAGTTCGCCAATAGGACTCGGTTTCGCGTGCGTTCCTTCTGTCAGTAGATCATTTTCTCACGGCGTATTGTTTTAACACTACAGCCATTTACTTCCTTGAAAATTCAATACAAAACCACGCACCAACCCACACGTGGCAAATGTTTGACAAGTTTTAACTGCAAAAAAGAAAACATTAGAACTAGTGGTTTTTCTCCGATCTTTTTTGCATCGTCCACAATTCGTTTTCGATATCTGAAATGTACTCTTACAACTGATTTATTGGATATTTTACAGTTGATTATATACAGTTACATGACTGTCACAATCAACATGGGCGACGTAATCCAACAACCGTCTTCTTTAATATTCCAAAACTCAGAGGACCAAACCTCGAATGAATACGACAAAATGGAGGATGGATGTTTAGGCCGAAGTTTTCTCGATTCCAACAGATTTCAGAACAACCAGAACCGACCCGTCACTTTTGAGAACGCAGCGCGTGAACGTTCCCGTGTGAAAACTCTACGAGGAGCATTTCTAGAGCTGCAGAGAACACTTCCAGCTGTACCCCCGGATACGAAACTGTCCAAACTGGACGTACTCGTACTAGCAACTACATATATTGCCCACCTGATGCGGACGCTGAGCGAGGATGAGGATGAAAACCAGGTGTTTGCAGCTAACGGAATTATGCATCCGGTCAAGGTATGGCAGAAATGTCCAGTGACATCAAGTTCACATGAAAGATGTTCGAGTTTTAAAGTAGTTGCATGATCTTATACAAGTATGCAACATGCTTAATTGTAATCTGCACGTGAAGAAGCTTTAGTTAAACGTTTAGTTGTTTTAACATTTTTTAATGTTCTATCTACAGTCTTGGGAATTCAAGAGCATTCTCCATGTGCATGTGAGACGAAAATAAGAAAATTGTTATGATACATGTGCATAGCAACATAAATATCATTTTGATGACAACAAAGGTTTGATAAGAATAACGTGATATAGTAAATACGAAATTAATCTTCCGACCTTACGGTAGGAGAGGAGAGAATCTTATATAGAGAGACGATAACAGTACGAGTTAAATCTGATATAGAGAGACGATATCAGTACGAGTTAAATTTGATACAGTACGAGTTGAATCTGATATAGAGAGACGATAACAGTACGAGTTGAATCTGATACAGAGAGACGATAACAGTACGAGTTAAATCTGATATAGAGAGACGATATCAGTACGAGTTGAATCTGATATAGAGAGACGATAACATTAAGTGTTGAAACTGATATAGAGAGACGATAACAGTACGAGTTAAATCTGATATAGAGAGACGATATCAGTACGAGTTGAATCTGATATAGAGAGACGATAACATTAAGTGTTGAAACTGATATAGAGACGATAACAGTACGAGTTAAATCTGATATAGAGAGACGATAACAGTACGAGTTAAAGACGATCTGATAAGAGAGACGATAACAGTACGAGTTAAATCTGATATAGAGAGACGATAACAGTACGAGTTAAATCTGATATAGAGAGACGATAACAGTACGAGTTAAATCTGATATAGAGAGACGATAACAGTACGAGTTAAATCTGATATAGAGAGACGATAACAGTACGAGTTAAATCTGATATAGAGAGACGATATCAGTACGAGTTAAATCTGATATAGAGAGACGATAACAGTACGAGTTAAATCTGATATAGAGAGACGATAACATTACGAGTTAAATCTGATATAGAGAGACGAAAACAGTACGAGTTAAATCTGATATAGAGAGACGATAACATTACGAGTATTGGTGTTTGTTGTAAAAGAATGTCCGGTATTATCATTTTATTAATTAATTTCTTTTTAATTTTTTTTACATTGTTTTTCTTTTTTGATATATATTTTTTTCGATGAAATTTTATTTAAAGAAGTTATGGCGTTTCCAAGAATGTTATATTATGAAAAGGAAAAAAGTCTTTTTGCTTAAAGAAAAAAATAAACTTCTTCTTTTTATCTCATATGAAAGAAACTAGTTTTGCTCCACTCCGTAAATGCCTCTGTCCAACAGCGGGTCCCTTAATTCAAACTATCTCTAGTTCTACAGTATAACAAGAGTCCATGTGTGTACTTATACCATTGTGATACACGTAATACAGAACCGTCTAAGTACAACGGTTGTACTGTAATACATTACACATTGTATTATTATATATTGTATACTGAGATATGATTATCATACAATATCAGTTATATTGTAATTCTATGCGATTTTTGTAATTTTTGTTAAATTAAATAAGAAATAATATTAATTATATTACCGGTACCGAAAATCAATAATTCCGCCACCTGTTATTTATAAGAATTAAAAATGATAGATAATAAAAATAATTAATATTAATAAACTGAGGGATAAATCTATATGACAAACCACTTATGGCTGCTCATTTCAAAATAGTGTTGGCTTCCAACAGGCCGGACGCGATATAAACAGGGAGGAATTATCTCTAAATTGTATGGTGTGCAAAAAAAGTGTCACGTTTGTGTCTTGAGAAGAGATAGGTAATCCAATTGATTTTCCTGAACGGGGTGTATTTGTATTACCAACAATATTTGGATTATAACAAAATGAAATGATATATTGTACGAAAACTATGTTAATATTAGACAAATTCATCCATTTTCAGTAATTCGTTATTCTGAATTTGGAAAATTTTAATTCAGATTTAGTCAAAGCGAAAAGAAGGAGAAAATATACAAGAACCAATGTACTAATATTACATAACCCCAACCCCAACTCCCTCCTTGTTATAGAAAAAACATATTTCATAAATCCCTCAGTCCGGTTTTTATTTTGAAAGGTTGTGACATAGTTCAAATACACAATCTACCCAATATTCTTTTGAAATTATCCATTATTAAAAATTAAGAAATTGATTGAATTTAAGGCAAATGCATTTCGACTGATTTTTCAGCGTCACTACTGATTTTCTCAGTCGTCAGTCGCCTCCTGGGTGGAAATGTATCACTGACTAGTCCTAGAAGGACGAAACAGCTGTGTGATGTAGTATCAATGACTAGTTCTAGAAGGACGAAACAGCTGTGTGATGCAGCTTCATTAATTACTTAAATCTTTTTATCGAAATGTGTTAATCTGTTGTAGGTCTATTGTGCAGTCATAAAGCTTTTAAGTTGGTTTTCATATTGACTGTCCGTAATTTTTTTTTACCTCTGCTCTGTGTTAGATAGTTAATATTTTTCGAGGTTTGTTAATCTCGGCATGCCTTACCTAAATTTAAGCAAGTCTACCACTGGCCAAGATAACAAAATCGATTCAGTTCATTTCCGTTGAATCAAAAGGACTTACATGCTATTTATTTTTTCTTTATCTATTTGAGGGTACCGTCTGTCAGATCCTTCTATGGACGATATCTGTTCTATACAGTTGTACAGAATATACCGCTATGTTACGGTCATTAAACACATTTAGATTTATCTACGTTTTTATTGTATAAAAGCATACGATTGATTTATATATTCATCTATGTATTTATTATTCTAAAAGTTTGTCCATGTCCCTTATTTGATAAAGAGACATATTTGATTATCCAATAAGACTGTATTATATAAAATTGCGACTGTAAACCAGCCCCATTCCAACGCAGATTCTAAACTGTCGACCGACCATCGTATTGGCGTAACGTAACTGACAGGGTGTTGGGACAATCGAACAAAAAGGCATTGGGAAAGAAAAGATTACTAGACAGAACGAAAAATGAATTAACCATTTCCATACAATGGGTATAGCCGATTTGTTTCGGCCGCTTCCCTACCCTAATCATTCTGCGGTGTTGTCACCTCTTACGGTCCAGGAGGGTGCAATCTTTCTGTTAAGTCAAATAAATAAACCGTGATTTAAAAAAGACCGGGTTAATGAAAGCACACAGATACACAAACTACACACATCCAGTCTAAGGTAAATATATTTACATGAATAAACAGAAATGTACTCTTATCTGGCTTGATAAAGTAACAGATAAGCTTCGCGTTTCCGACGAAGAAATGGTCGAATTGACAATATCTTTGCCGAGCTTGGCTGTAAGATTCTTCCAACAGACTTCTGTCTCCATTAGAGGCTGAATTTATCGACAAGTTCATTAAATCTTATCACAAAGCCATTGCGAAGTCCTTCAATTTTATTTTCAGATATAATAATGATGTCTTTAAATGAAAATACAAATAAAAAATTATGGCTACACTGATTACTTACCACCTTCAATAGGAAATCAAGGACACGCCACACCCTCTTTACCTACAACCTTCTGTGTTTTACCAAGCTGCATGATTTCAAATTCCCTTGTGTGACTTTTCCATTCCTGTACAGCAACATTCCTGTACAGCAACATCCCTGCATCTCTAATCTATAGCAATTACTTGTTGCAGTTGATTCAATATTAATGAAATCGATATCAGGATTTTCGTGCAAGATGTTAGCAGCTAACAGACAAACTCAAAACACGGAGTTTCGAGAGATACGGGTTGATGGAAATATGAGGAAGTTATGTTGGTTCCGCTGTTCTCGTTGGTAACATAACATTACTTACTTGGATTGACAAGATTTACCTTCTATGAACCGTTGTGGCAGGAGACGCTTACTTTTCCGAAACACTTGGTCTTATTCTCCTAATACATTTTAAGTGTAACTCTTTTCTTTTCATCATATTTTGCCCTCGTTTTATTTCATTTCGGGTTTGGATTATGGTTATGTTGACGTGTTGGTATTTTCTTTGTTCTTTATTACTATAAAAATTAATAAATTGTTTATGTCATTTTGAACTAGTGAATTAGAACATCAACAGGTTTACTGAAGAATTATTGCAATAAGACGATGTTGACATATTGATTATATAGCAATGTCTTCAGTAGTATCAGAGGTATTTCACAAGTACAGCTACTGTTTTTGTATCTTTCCATTTTTTTACGATTTTATATCGGACTTTTTGATTTGTCAATGTTACAAGATGAAATGTATCATCTGTTTTCATTGGTGGAGTTCTTCATAATTGTTATTTTTCAATAGCAAAATTTCTCTATTTTTATCTTGTAAGAATGTTCTAAACCTGCATTACTAATTGAATACTTCCAAGTTCCACACATGGCGTTACCAACGATAAACATGAAAATTTGCATATTTTAATCAGACCTGATGTTTGTGTTGAAATATATTTTTGGGCGTCATTGTTAACATGCTTTGTCATTATTTTGTCTTACTTCAGAAATGGCCGATGAGATCACGTCTATATGCCGGGATATTGTCAAGTACCTTTCCTGTCCGGAGGAGGACAGCGGACAACAATTCACAAAGGAGAACGTCACAAAACGAAAATGCACATTGGAAATGTCACACCAGGTCTAACGAGGCTGGTTATGTGAACCACGAGACGATGTAACATTGGAAATTTTGGTCATTTAAGTGATCTCAGGGACAGAAAACCAAAATCTGGTGATATCAAAGACACTACTGTATACATAATAAATTGTTTGACCTGTGAAAATATCTATATTCTATTTATACTTGTCAAACAGGATCACGTGACATGTGTTGATGAGGCAGTGTATTGTATATCGATGTTGTTTATTTATTCTTATCCTATTCTCCGCTCCTTATTGTTCCCATCTTAAATCTACAAAAAATCGAGCTTTTCCTTTCCACGGCCGGACTGGTTTTCATTACCGTCGCGCATGCCCGACACATTTTCCACGGCCGGACTGGTTTTCATTACCGTCGCGCATGCCCGACACATTTTCCACGGCCGGACTGGTTTTCATTACCGTCGCGCATGCCCAACACACTTTCCGGTTCATCCATTTCTTTCTCCAATTTTAACTTTATAGTTAATTGTACATTTGCCCTCCTTTCTTTATCTTCCTTTACAATTGTCATCGTTATATTCTTGCCTGCTAATGTTTTTTACCCTCTTACTACTCTGTGTTACTGTGATAACATCAATTCCATACTGTACCAAGGAGGCCTATACTTGTAAATTGCAGCCTCCTTCAGCTCGTATACACCGAGCGGTCATCCTGAAATTACCATAGATGTTAACCGGGAGTTAAACAACATAAAACCAAACGTTACTTCTGATTTGAGTTCATAATCTTACCCATAAGTTCTGCCTTTATTATCCCTTACCTGATAGATTACCTCCCTTTACGAATACTGGTTTTTTTTTTCTCGTGTTTCAGCTCGTTCACTACACTTACAGTTGTTTTTTTCTTGTTTTTTCGCTGTCACTTTCCTCGTACACTATATCACTTATTTGTGTACTTTTCTCATCTTTCTATTTCATGTATTAAAAGTATGTTTTAAGACAAATATGTTATAAAACATTATTTTACGTATTTGGCTTTGATAAATTACATTTGGCTGAACACCATCAAATATTTAAAACATTAACGGCAGCAACAAAAAAGTTCAATCCTCATGCGCGTGATTCCATGCTACAAGATATACATTCTATATGATGTAGTCATGCTCGCATCCATTTACTTACACTGATAGGAACGGTGAAAATACAATAGCTGTGTTACTATCGCTATTCATTAACGTAGACGTGACACGCTGTTGTACATCATATGTCATTGTTATCGAGTTATCGAAAAGACAATGTACATGTCATGTAATCCACTTTACGGACAGTATCACTCTGTACTGGTCCAGTAAACCACTATACGGACAGAATCACTCTGTACTGGTCCAGTAAACCACTATACGGACAGTATCCCTCTGTGCTGGTCAAGTAAACCACTATACGGACAGTATCCCTCTGTACTGGTCAAGTGAACCACTTTACTGACAGTATCACTCTGTACTGGTCAAATAGTCCACTATACAGACAGTATCACTCTGTACTGGTCAAGTAAACCACTATACGGACAGTATCCCTCTGTACTGGTCAAGTTAACCACTATACGGACAGTATCACTCTGTACTGGTCAAGTTAACCACTATACGGACAGTATCACTCTGTACTGGTCACTATACGGACAGTATCACTCTTTACTGGTCATGTAAACCACTATACGGACAGTATCACTCTGTACTGGTCAAGTTAACCACTATACGGACAGTATCACTCTGTACTGGTCAAGTTAACCACTATACGGACAGTATCCCTCTACACTGGTCAAGTAAACCACTATACGGACAGTATCACTCTGTACTGGTCCAGTAAACCACTATACGGACAGTATCACTCTGTACTGGTCAAATAGTCCACTATACAGACAGTATCACTCTGTACTGGTCACTATACGGACAGTATCACTCTGTACTGGTCCAGTAAACCACTATACGGACAGTATCACTCTGTACTGGTCAAATAGTCCACTATACAGACAGTATCACTCTATACTGGTCACAATACGGACAGTATCACTCTGTACTGGTCCAGTAAACCACTATACGGACAGTATCACTCTGTACTGGTCAAGTAAATCACTATACGGACAGTATCACTCTGCACTGGTCTAGTAAACCACTATACGGCCTGTATCACTCTGTACTGGTCAAGTAAACCACTATACGGACAGTATCACTCTACACTGGTCAAATAGTCCACTATACAGACAGTATCACTCTGTACTGGTCACTATACGGACAGTATCACTCTGTACTGGTCCAGTAAACCACTATACGGACAGTATCACTCTGTACTGGTCAAATAGTCCACTATACAGACAGTATCACTCTGTACTGGTCACTATACGGACAGTATCACTCTGTACTGGTCCAGTAAACCACTATACGGACAGTATCACTCTGTACTGGTCAAGTAAATCACTATACGGACAGTATCACTCTGTACTGGTCAAGTAAACCACTATACGGACAGTATCACTCTGTACTGGTCACTATACGGACAGTATCACTCTGTACTGGTCCAGTAAACCACTATACGGACAGTATCACTCTGTACTGGTCACTCTGTACTGGTCAAGTAAACCACTATACGGACAGTATCACTCTACACTGGTCAAGTAAACCACTATACGGACAGTATCACTCTGTACTGGTCAAGTAAACCACTATACGGACAGTATCACTCTGTACTGGTCAAGTAAACCACTATACGGACAGTAGCCCTCTGTACTGGTCAAGTAAACCACTATACGGACAGTATCACTCTGTACTGGTCAAGTAAACCACTATACGGACAGTATCCCTCTGTACTGGTCAAGTAAACCACTATACGGACAGTATCACTCTACACTGGTCAAGTAAACCACTATACGGACAGTATCACTCTGTACTGGTCCAGTAAACCACTATACGGACAGTATCACTCTGTACTGGTCCAGTAAACCACTATACGGACAGTATCACTCTGTACTGGTCAAGTAAATCACTATACGGACAGTATCACTCTGTACTGGTCTAGTAAACCACTATACGGCCTGTATCACTCTGTACTGGTCAAGTAAACCACTATACGGACAGTATCACTCTACACTGGTCAAGTAAACCACTATACGGACAGTATCACTCTGTACTGGTCCAGTAAACCACTATACGGACAGTATCCCTCTCTACTGGTCAAGTAAATCACTATACGGACAGTATCACTCTGTACTGGTCTAGTAAACCACTGTACGGCCTGTATCACTCTGTACTGGTCAAGTAAACCACTATACGGACAGTAACACTCTACACTGGTCAAGTAAACCACTATACGGACAGTATCACTCTGTACTGGTCAAGTTAACCACTATACGGACAGTAGCCCTCTGTACTGGTCAAGTAAACCACTATACGGACAGTATCACTCTGTACTGGTCAAGTAAACCACTATACGGACAGTATCCCTCTTTACTGGTCAAGTAAACCACTATACGGACAGTATCACTCTGTACTGGTCAAGTTAACCACTATACGGACAGTATCACTCTGTACTGGTCAAGTTAACCACTATACGGACAGTATCCCTCTGTACTGGTCACTATATGGACAGTATCCCTCTGTACTGGTCAAGTAAACCACTATACGGACAGTATCCCTCTGTACTGGTCACTATACAGACTGTATCCCTCTGTAATGGTCAAGTTAACCACTATACGGACAGTATCCCTCTGTACTGGTCACTATACGGACAGTATCCCTCTGTACTGGTCAAGTAAACCACTATACGGACAGTATCACTCTGTACTGGTCAAATAAACCACTATACGGACAGTATCCCTCTGTACTGGTCAAGTAAACCACTATACGGACAGTATCACTCTACACTGGTCAAGTTAACCACTATACGGACAGTATCCCTCTGTACTGGTCACTATATGGACAGTATCCCTCTGTACTGGTCAAGTAAACCACTATACGGACAGTATCCCTCTGTACTGGTCACTATACAGACTGTATCCCTCTGTAATGGTCAAGTAAACCACTATATGGACAGTATCCCTCTGTACTGGTCACTATACGGACAGTATCCCTCAGTACTGGTCAAGTAAACCACTATACGGACAGTATCACTCTGTACTGGTCAAGTAAACCACTATACGGACAGTATCCCTCTGTACTGGTCACTATACGGACAGTATCCCTCTGTACTGGTCAAGTAAACCACTATACGGACAGTATCACTCTGTACTGGTCACTATATGGACAGTATCCCTCTGTAATGGTCAAGTAAACCACTATACGGACAGTATCCCTCTGTACTGGTCACTATATGGACAGTATCCCTCTGTAATGGTCAAGTAAACCACTATACGGACAGTATCCCTCTGTACTGGTCACTATACGGACAGTATCCCTCTGTACTGGTCAAGTAAACCACTATACGGACAGTATCCCTCTGTACTGGTCACTATACGGACAGTATCCCTCTGTACTGGTCACTATACGGACAGTATCCCTCTGTAATGGTCACTATACGGACTGTATCCCTCTGTAATGGTCACTATACGGACAGTATCCCTCTGTAATGGTCACTATACAAACTGTATCCCTCTGTAATGGTCAAGTGTGAAGAACCAAAGAAAAACATACCACATCTTACCTTGAAAAAATAATTGTTTAATTTGTGAATCACAGTTAGTATTGAAATGTACTGTAAGCATACAGTGAATTATGTAAGTCTACATAAGCAAAGTGTTCCCAGCACTTAAAACATACAGCACTTGTGTTTCTGAACTTTCTTTCAATCTAGTACTATATTACACATAAATGTTGCCCATTCCACAAACCAGTTAAACATTGATTCAAACAAAGATCATTTACACACAACATTATAAGAATTTCAACTCTCAATGTGAAGAAATTACAAATTTTCATCACAGGTATTTGGCATATTTTCAACATTATGTTGATAATTCAAATTTCAAGAAAAAGATTTAAAATCTATCTACTGCAGTGGGCAGAATCAGTAAGACGAGTATTTAATAGACATGAATAGTTACAAAGGACGACATAATCCATAAACATTTCACTAACTTCCAGAATTCAGTGAAAGTCAATAGAAATTTGAGTTATAGCCTATATCTTATCAATCTGAAAATTATTCTGTGATATTTGTTTAAATCAGAGAGACAGGTAACTTTATGATATTTTCAATTTTTTCCCAAAACATTTAACTTTTTTTTCTAAAACTGTAAACATACTAATATGTTGACAAAATAGCCAATGATAGATTTAGGCATCCTAAACAATTGATATACAAGTATATAAACAGAGATAAGCACAATCTAGCTTTAGTGCATATAGTGCAAAATTTATTGATACATTTTTTTATCCTCTTTATCCAAAATTTACATTCTCTTCAATGAAATATTTAATACATGAATGTGTGAGTGAATATTTTATGAATATGTAACTGTATTATCTGATATGCTTTAACAAAATAGTAAAGAATGCTTGCAATAATAACTTCAGTTTAAAGAATCTGAGTTATAAAAACATAATTCTATTTTTAACATACAACATCCACACACAATTTCATTCCATATATACAACATACATAACCACCCATAATCTCATCTCGTATTTAACATCCATACAAAATCTTTTCCATATAGTGTTTTGAAACTCAGGATATATTCTTATAACACTATATTCATCTCCCCATGAACTTGACAGGATTACAGTCGTATAAGCATTATCAACACAAAGATGGTGTTCATATCCCTATGAATCACATTTTCCATTGTAAAACATACATGAACTATTCAGGTGTGTATTGCTTAGTAACATAGAATCTGGATGTTACTGTGTTAAATATTATTGCAACAATTATCATCACACAGCCCTACCAACCAGCCATTATCTGATGTATAATAGACACAATTGTATTAATGGAAGCCTCAAATTGTAGCAATTTAATTATTTTTGATTGTCAATAAATTAAAAAAAACACAACACATTATCCATTGCTTCAGGTTAACACTGCTGTGTATTGTTGTTTTCTTAAGAATTGAATAGTCTTGTTGCTGTCTTTTGCCAATTATAACTTGATTAAACAAAGATAAATGATTCCTTATTTACAGTGTAATCCATCAAAAGAAACGGCCATGTTGATGGTCAGTTGATGCTGTATCTGTGCCCACAATGATAGCTTTATACTGGTCATTCGGCTGATGCAATATATGGTACTTAAGTTTGTTTATGTGATATCATCGCCGTGCAAATGTGAATATGATTTTTTGAAGCATAAGTGATCATAGGTAGAGACCATTCTCTGGTGAAGTGTCCTTAACACTTGTTTCCATTGTTTTAGAACAATTAGAAAGTACCAACGTGTAGAACCATCAATGTTTCTGCAATTTTCCTATGAACAAGGAGTTACAGTGCTGTGTCTAGGTTACAGGTGTCAGGTTTACAGCGTGTCTGTCGGTGTACGTGTGGGTGTCCCCTTCCCGAGACGTTTCAGTAATGGCCGGTCGTACACCCAGTGTTCCCCTACTTCATGGAATTGCTGAAACAAATTACAACCAATCTTTACACCTGTGTTATTACATTTTCTACATTGTTAGGACACAGGAACACTTCTCTATGAATTCACTTGTTGTAGTTTTATTAGTCATATATCAAATTATTAAGGATATTGTTTGATAACTTTAAGTGGTATCAAATAGTCAGAAGCATTCTAAACTAAACTTTCATATACAACAGAATAAATGATGAAAATAGGATATTTTCACGAAGCTCAACAGAAGTATAATTACCTTTGTTTCCCATTTCAGTCCCTTTTCCTTCCTTTCTTTTGCCTCTGTTCTCTGCCGATGTTCCAATTTATGTTTAAACTCTGTTGCTACTTCTACATTCTTCTGTTTCAGATTTCTTGTTACTTGTTCCCATAGTCTGAAAAGTAAATTAGCTTAGTGTTTTTTCCATATTTGATTGTATTTTTAAATCTAGAACTTTAGATGAAACAACTTGAATATAAGAAATATTTATATACAGATTATTTCCAACATAAATTGAGCCAGTATGATATATTTAATTCTACTTCCAAAGATTATAAGTCTCTTTCATATGCATGTACGTAGGATAGGAATATTCCACCTGAGGGCCAAAAACATGGTTAAAGCCAAGGCTACCCAGGTATTATAAAAAAACAAACTTGATATTCCTAAAGATCATACCTATATTTTGCAGACTGAGAGTTTGTCATGAAATTCTCATCCTTTCCTCGGTATGTCATTTACTGATGGCAAAAATGACCAGTGTGTGATTACATTGTATACAGTATGGGTAGGTATACATCCTCTAAAAAAAGATCTCGACAAGGATCAGATTTTTCTGTAGTTTTATCCTTCCTCAATATCACATATCTGATCATTCTGAGAATAATCCCAATGTATCTTGTTCAATACATTGTGATGCTAACGTGACATCACCACATCGACTGGAATTTAATTCATAAGTTCAAGATGTTACATCAAACAAGATCTCTGTTCTGAGTCACTCACGATCACCATGATGCAACAACATTTCGGTGCTGGAACATTATATATATTATATATGATAATATTTATGGTGATTTGGCAACAGTTCATGTGAGAACCAGCAAACATTCAGTGTCCTGTTGTTCAGCAACTGTGTTTTTTATGGCCCATAAACCTGTAGGATGTCTAGAACATGAAGGTCGGTCATTTTTTCAAACCTTTGTATTGACGAATCGTTCAAAACAAGGTAGGTTTACTTTATTTTCAATTACTCTTATCATAATGTTAAGCTTATATTTTTCCACAAGGGCAAATAAATAACATTTATCTTTAACAACGGGATTTTATAGCCATTTTGTAATTTGCAGCTGTCACTAAATAGAATGTGTTGTTTAAATTACATAAGTCACATGGATGTTTTGCTTCATAGAAACAGTACAAGGCTACAGGATGTGGGGGCAGCTCATCTTATTTTTAATTTTGGCTGAATATTGTGACTTGTTGAGACGATGATGGCTGATGACAACTGACAGATCAATGTATACAATCAGACGATGCTGTAAGAATTGTCTCCCCTAAACACAGATGTAAAACAGAATTTTCTTACATAGCTATCTTACAGGGGTGAACTCTACCCAACATGGAGGGATATGAGAGATATATATAGAAATTGAGCATGATGTTTACTTTCTAGATTCAAACTCTGCTTGTGTATCCAATGGTTTTACTCTCTTCTTTACAATGGCCATCTTCTTAGTGTCCACAAATGCCTCGTTTCTCTACAACACCAAAGAAAACACATATACTCATTATAATACTTGCTGTTGACATCTATTTTTGAAGACTTTGGAACCTGTCTCGGTTTATATAAAACTGTACAATAATTGCTTTATTTACTATGTATAACATTAGCATGGTTATCCTGAGTTTGTATACAATCTGTTTGTTAATTGGGTTTACTGCTCTGTGAACAGCCGCAGACATTTTCAGGCAGGGTCTCTGTACAGAAGGCCAAAGACATGTTATCCAGTAAAATTAGTGTCAAAGCCCTTGGACACAACCACGAATGTACAGAGCAGTCCACCTCTCAGCTTCAAGAGAAATATAAACCACACTGGTAGGGAGTGTCCAGCCATGCTCCTCAGATCTACAGCTCAGATTAAGTAGGCCAACATGTGGAATTGCATCCTACCTTAACTTAATAATTCAATAGAGAATGATACATTTATCCAAATCTCCCTTTTAAAGAAATGTACTGACAACTTCAGGAGAGATTCCTCAATGCCTCTCTATAATGTCGGTTGTTTTATCAAGCTACTTTAGTGAATAAAATGCCTTTACCATTCTGAGAAAGATATGATGATTTTTGGGTTTGAACCCTAGGAATCAATATAAACAATAACTTAGACATATCATGCACCCAGAGAAACTTTCAAGCCTTTTCAATACCACCACCTACATACTGACCTGAAACTACCAACAATCTACTGGAAAGTGGGTGGAGCTTCTACACCATCAATGGTTGTAAGGAGTGGTCTGAGTGGCTAAGAACATGTGAGGGGCTGTTTCCCAAAAACAATTTGCATTTCTTTCCTTTTTTTTAATTTCAGTGATAATGTGATAATTTCATCACTTTCAGGCACAAATTGTCTCAGAATGGGGAGAGTACACTTATTTTTATGCAAATACTAGAGATTAGATCATGAATTGTAATTTTAACACTTGACTTTGTCTCGTGTTTAAACCAAAATTAACGGTCTAATATCCGGTATATGCATAAAAACAAGCATACTATCCCCTAGATTCCTGAAATGTGTAAATGTTGATAGAATAACAAGGGCCATCAGAGACAGGTTATGCTCACTGAATGGGACAAACTGAAGCATGATAAATTACAAATAGACAATAAGAGAGTTACGATTATCATGCACTGCTCTACTTCTCGTTGAGATTTATCTGCCTATAAAGTTTCATGTTGATACCTCTTATCATTTTAGTGTATTGCTCTGGACAAAAATTTAAGTATGAAAATAACAAAGGGCAATAACTCCTGAATTATGCAAAAGAGAGTGATGGTTCTTGTACACTGCACTTCTCCTTGTTGAGATTTATCTACGTATGAAGTTTCATGTTGATACCTCTTATAGTTTTTGTGTTATGCTCCAGACAAAATTATGACGGAAGGACAAATGGTCGGACAAATGGACAGATGGACATACGGACAAAGCGGGGACTATATGCTCTCCCTTCAAGGAGCATACAAATAATACTAAGAAAACAAATCAAACCCAACTGAATGAAAAGACTGTGTATTTCCATTTCCCCTCACTTCGACTTAATCTGACATAAAAAAATAACCTAAAAAACACTTCTATTTTAGACTTCTACACAATCACAAAGAGAATTTTAATTAACAATGCATAGTTAAGTTCCATATATACTTGTAATTAGAATGGTAAATACTGTATCAAACACTGAACACAAAAGAATTTACTGAGTTTTGCAGCTATCTTACCCCTGAGCTGTGTTTGGCATACATCACTCCATTCCATTCACCAGTAAATGTCAATATTGCATTCTTTTTGTCTGTCGGTGAGTAAACATTGCCTGTGACTTGGTGCTTTTTTCCTCCATAAAATGGCTGTACCAACATAACAATGAAATGTACTGGTGAATGTACAAAATAAATGTACATTATGTTTCAATGGCTTCCTGTTTTCTCTCATACACATTTCACAACTATGAAAAAAATATCAATATATTCTGTCACTCATGGAATATATGATATTCAATTAGATACCATGAATTTTTTTCATAATTGGATTTCAAAAAGAATACAACAGGAATGTACATTCTATGATTCTGAGAGGTATGATGAAGCATTTGACAACATGACTATGATATTTTGTATTGACCATTGTACCGTTTTCCACTAGGAGTTAGTGTTAAACTGTATTAGATATGAATTAAGAGAAGACCTGCTGAGTATGCAGAAAAGATTGATTGAAAACTCACTTTTTCAGTATTTGCTACATTTGCCAAAGAGCAGAGAAACTGGTTTATCTCAAAGCAGTGAATATGAAGCACTATTGTGATTGGGAGAAACTCAAAAAGGTATCTTGTCATTGGAATGACATTAGATATCTCACATTATCCCTGTAGTTTTTTCATCAAAATGATATTTTCTATTCCTATTAAAAGTATCTCATGAGTCATGGTTTAGTTTTCAGATAAAGCTGATTGATGCCTGCTTTAACTTTTTTCAAAAAACATATCTGTTTTAAAGGATATAGCCAAATGTCTTGTTTGGGATGACTGAAATGTGTTTTTCTCTTCTTTTGTTAAAAGTCATTAACATTGACTATTGGTTTTATTGAATAAATGCCACCTATCACTTCCTGAATAAAAATACTGAAGCACTACATCATGATAAATGAGGGATGATTGTGTCTTTTGAAAGATAATGTTGAAGCTGAAAACAGACCTTTGTATGAAAATCTATGTTGGCTGAAAATCCTGTTTTGGCACAAGTAATGGTCACCTTTCCTCCTAACTCTACCCACGGCACTGTCAGGATGGACCTAAAACATAATCATGTTGTATATCTCAAAATTTTTATCCAGAACACTTTTCTTCCTTGTCAGAAAAATCATGTTATACAGTCTCATATGTCATATTTACAAGGTAGGTTTATAATCCTTGCATCCCACTTAATCCCCAATTCCACACACGCCCCCACCCCCATCCCCACCCCCATCCCCACCCCCACTCCAACCCACATCCCCACCTACCTATTTGGAAACTATATAGCTAATACCTTACATTTCAAATGATTTTCATCAGTAAATTTATATCAATGAAATGTAATTCTAGCTGATTTTCAAATGACTTCAAAATGTCACAATACAACCAATTAAAAAGTAGGATCTAACCATAGGTGACTTACCCATAATACTGATATGCAATCATAAATAGGGAGGTGTTCGGTTAACATTTATCTACTTGTTTAATGATAGTAACAGTACTTTCCATCTACCGGTCAATATAATGCCCATTAGAAATACTTACCTGTACCGATTTGTGAAAGTGATAACTTTTTAACATGACACTAATACATGCCTGTCATACCTGTTTGGACAGGTGAATATATTGTACATGGTACCAACATTTACCCCATACCTGTTTGGACAGGTGAATATATTGTACTTGGTAACAACAATTACCCCATACCTGTTTGGAAAGGTGAATATATTGTACTTGGTAACAACAATTACCCCATACCTGTTTAGATAGGTGAATATATTGTACTTGGTAACAACAATTACCCCATACCTGTTTGGACAGGTGAATATATTGTACATGGTACCAACAATTACCCCATACCTGTTTGGAAAGGTGAATATATTGTACATGGCATTAGTACTAACCTGCCATACCTGTTTGGAAAGGTGAAAAAATTGTATATGGCATTAGTACTTACCTGCCATACCTGTTTGGACAGGTGAATATATTGTATATGGCATTATTACTTACCTGCCATACCTGTTTGGAAAGGTGAAAATATTGTATATGGCATTAGTACTTACCTGCCATACCTGTTTGGAAAGGTGAATATATTGTACATGGCATTAGTACTTACCTGCCATACCTGTTTGGAAAGGTGAATATATTGTATATGGCATTAGTACTTACCTGCCATACCCATTAGGGAAAGTGATAACATTGTATATGGCATTAGTACTTACCTGCCATACCTGTTTGGGAAGGTGAATATATTGTACATGGCATTAGTACTTACCTGCCATACCCATTAGGGAAAGTGATAACATTGTATATGGCATTAGTACTTACCTGCCATACCCATTAGGGAAAGTGATAACATTGTATATGGCATTAGTACTTACCTGCCATACCCATTAGGGAAAGTGATAACATTGTATATGGCATTAGTACTTACCTGCCATACCCATTAGGGAAAGTGATAACATTGTATGTGGCATTAGTACTTACCTGCCATACCCATTAGGGAAAGTGATAACATACTCCTCATCATGGTCTATAAGAGATACAACTGCTTGTCCAATCATATGGACCCCAATGGAGAGTCCAAGAAACTTGGATTTTGTCCATATATACCCATCCAAAGATATGCGTTTATTGTAATGTTCTGCATAGAATGCAGAAACTGCAAAAAGAGATGATACCAGGTATTTTAAATCATCTTTTATAAATCAACACAAATAATTACAGAGAAAAACAAAAACCAAAGAAATCTGCAAGTGAAGTGAAAATTTACTTTTGAGAAGTTGGCATTTGTTAATTGAATTTTTACTTGAACAAATTATTCAATCACACAATATGAATATCTTATGAAAGTCAACAAGTGTGTTGTCTATCAACATTGAGGCTGCATACAACTGTTGTATTAACAGCTATACTTACTGGGTGGGTGATGGGACACTTGTTCAGCAATGAATGCCAGGTTTTCTTTAGATGACCATGGAACTGGGCCATCATCAGCTAGGTCCTACACACAAAACAAAGCAATACCATTATTAATCACAAATCTCTGGAAAAGACTTACCATTGTTTATATGCTGGGTTTACCCCCGCGCGAAAAATCAAGGTTATTTTTAAGCTGGTGGCTAACTCACTGGACAACATAAGGAAGGTCTGTCACATGCTGTCCAGAGAAAACATTGTAAAGTGTCTTGCCCAAGGATACAACTACAACAGCATAGATAAGTCTGTTTCTCAGCTTCCTGAGAAACACAAACTGCCACCGGTACAGAGCATTGAACCAGGCACTTTGGATCTTCAACTGAGGTTAGATAGGTCAATGCTCTAATGAATGACTACGGTACCTGGATGTATGGAGTATTTGATGTAGAATCTAGTGATCAGACAACATTCCTTGTTAAATAGCTTAATCTATACATTATTTCATCATCCTTTTTTAAACATGGTCACTACTACCATATTATCGACCATATTTCACATTCTTACTGTGGTTTTGGGCCAGTCAGGCATGCTCCAATGACAACAGAATGTCTCTCCTAGTATAGGGTTGTACGGTTTCTTAGCCACATCACTATTACGACCAGCATGGAAGGCTGACATGTACCAGCGAACCAGCTGTATCATCCTCTCTGCAGGAGTGTCCATGTCAGGAATTCTAGAAACAACATCAGTCAGTAAAAGCCCTATCAACTATCCCATTCATTTCTAAGACTATCTTCAAATTTTGTTTAATTCAAAAGAATTGTACTTTATGACATGAAATATTGATCAAACTTTCATTTACTTTTCGATCTCGTGGCTATAGACAAAGCACAAAAAATAAAATGTAACGCTTAGACTCCTGATAAAGGAATTGTGTAAATTAACTTGTAATTCAGAAAAAGTTTTATCTTTAAAAGGATGTTATTGGTTTAAACCACAGAGGAAAGCATCCAGTACACAGATGTTACATAAGATACAGCATACTAATTGAATAGTGATATGCTTATGATAAAATTATTGTATTAAGTACATACTTGATAAACAGATCTGGGTGAGCAAAGAAATCGGCATACATCTCAAGTAGTGACCTCCGCTCCAGAATAAAGGTCGGGAGCACAACCTTGGTTAGGTCCATTCCAATTCTCACCTGAGACAACAGGTGTGCTATAATACTGCCATGACTCTCCAGAGAGCCCACTAAAAGATTCAACACACCATACTGATACCCTTACTAAAACCATTTTCACCTGAGACAATAGGTGTGCAGGTTTAGCCAGGGAAGTCTACACTAGACTTGATACTTCGTCTGGCTCAAGACTTTGTATTCACTAAAACACATTGTATTCAATATAAGAGAGTATTATGTGCAATTTTTATTTTTTTTTACCAAAGTAACTTTCTTGGTCAAAAACATTTAACTGAATCTATATACCTTGATTCTGAAGTTTTCAATGCACTTGACAGTAAATATTATAATGTATTATAAACCTATGCATTGATTTTAGCTAAGCAAACTTACATCCTTCATCATCTCGCTCATCGTAAAGTTCTGGAAACAAGAAAAAAGATCTGTATATAATTGGATTATAATCGATTTGGAAAAATCAAGAAAATCACATTGATATCATTACAAAAAGAGAATGATTAACTGTATATATCTAGAACACTGACACGCCAGACTGACAGACTACAAGCAAGACCTTGAGTACACTCTGCCACAAAAGTCAATAAAGACTGTTACGACAAAAAAAAAAACAAACAAAAAAACTTCCAACAAACTGTTTTTTTTTTTAATTTATAATAACAGTAACCTTGACCTTAGAACTTGGGGTATAAAAAGCAATATCCCAAGCAAGCACTTTTGGTAAGGAGGCATTGTGTGAAGTTTGATTTAGGAAATACAAATGATCACACAGAAACTGCTTCGAACTTATAGTTAACAGTGACTATGACCTTTGGACCTGAATGGCAATCTATGTCAAACAAGCACTTTTGGTTTAGAAGCATTACATCAAGTTAGATTGGCTACAGTTAATCTTGAATTATTCAACAAAATGAATTTTCCATTATTGCAACAATGACCTCAACCTTTGACTTCTGGGTCTGAAAAGTTACCCTAGCAACAAGCAATTTTAGTAAGAAAGCATTGTATTAACCTTTAACCTTTGGTAATGACCTTGATCTTGACAGCGCTATATTTACTTAAGTAAACCAACAAAGAAGTGTTAATGCCAAAGATCACAAATAATCAAACTTAAATTAAAATTCAAACATACTAACTTCAGATATATGATAATACTCACCATCAAAATAGTCATCCTCTGAGGCAATGATCTGTGGAGGGTCTCTCTTCTCCTCTTCCTCGCCGTCCGGGCTAGGTGTTGTCACCAAAGACGATGATGTTGACTTACTGTAATGTACATTCATGAGCCTTCATTGAAGGAAGTAAAAGTGAACTAGAAATAAATATCATGTATTTTCTGGAAGCTTTTTGGGTTTTTTTTTTGTTTTTAAGATAAATATGGTAAAACAGAAAATTGTGAAAACTGAATAACAGTGTTATGAAACTCAGAAGTAACTCACTCTGGGCTAGTTTTTGGTGTAGACTTGAAATCTTCGGCATCAAAGAAGTCTTCATCCTCACTGCTGGAATAGGAAGTCTCTGGGACAGTCGTACTGGTACTGTTACTGTTATCATCACCTATAGATAAAGTATATAGCATTGCCTTACACACCTATATGTTTATAACTATTTTATACAACCTAGTGATTGACCTCTACGCTCTTAAACATAAAATATAAATAATAAATAATACCCATCATACAACTGATACCTGTAAACATAACCTGAGAATGACCACCGTGGCAATTTAATAACACATTTCATTGGTTAATAAACTGTTGTTTTTGGAAAACCATACCAAACAAAGTTTATGCCAACGTGTCTTTCATGCGTATTAAAAAACGATGGAGTTGTAGACACAGACATGTTAGCATTATCTGCAAAAAGGTCCATGTTTGAGTAAACACAATCACAAAGTATTAAAAAAACAAAAACATATTAGTTTTCATGTATAGAGTAAATAACTCAAAAACATTTTTAAAATAACCTGTGATAAACCCAAAGAAATTGACAACAAATGTTTTCAATGCTTATCCATGTGTTGATGGTTTTCTGATAACTATAAACATCTAGCATGTTTAATCTACTGTCACTCTTTAATCTGTAGCTTATAGACAGGGAATCTTTAGGCAGACTGGGAAGGTAGTGAAAGTAGCAAACATTATCAGGGTACTGACAAAAGAAAGTAACTCCAAACGAATTGAGAAATGGTTGAAGTTTTACAGAAACAGGCAGTAGCAAGATATTAATGATGATCTGGCTAAAAGGGAAGTAACTCTGAACAGACTGGGAAGCTGATGTTGGTCTAAGTTGAGGATATCAGCATGGTACTGGCAATGATCTAGCTCAAAACAAGTAACTCCAAACAGACTGAAAGCTGGTGAGGGTTTATAGTAGCGAACATTAGCACGATACTGACAATGATCTGGCTGAAAGGGATGCAATTCAAAACAGACTGGGAATTGGATGATGGTTTACAAAAGTGGAAATCAACAGGGTATGAAAATGACATGGTTCAAATGGAGGTTACTCAAAAATGACATGTAAGCTGGATATTGTATGACTACAGTATAAGTTTTGGGAAGAACAATTTTTTAAAACTGAATATTATTCTCTTTTAAATGCAGTCTCAGCAAATCAGATTCTACTAAGCAAGAAAACCATCTATGTATGATTAGATTTGACTGTTGATAAACTTGATTTTATTCTATTTTTGACTGATATCTTTCTTGTTCATATTTATTAGAATTTCTACAGAAAATCAAGAAGTAATAGCAAAATAGGGTAACACATTAATGTATATCAACCTCAGACATAATTAATTTAGGTGTATCAACATCAGACAAAATTTATCGAGGTGTACCAACCTCAGATATAATTTATCAAGGTGTACCAACCTCAGACATAAATTGTCTAGGTGTATAGACCTGAGACATAATATATCCAGGTATATCACAGCATTTATCTCAGACATTATTTTAAAAGTTATATCATCAATATCACACATTATTTTGACCCTAATGACCTCTTATGTGTGAAGGATCACACATTATTTTGACCCTAATGACCTCTTATGTGTTGACAGGCCGTAAGACTGTAACAATAACAATTATATTTTACAAGCTCTATAGACACCATTTCTGTATTAAGTATTCCAGTTTATATCCAAAACACCTGTATAACCATCAAGACCATCACACATTCCTCTCAATAAAAGTTGTCTTCTTACCGAATATTCATCAGAATTGTCATTCCATTAACTACCGGGGTATACTATAAGACAGGCACTTGCAATCATGCTTTATTCTAAAAAACATTACAAAGGAATATTCTAACACTGGAAAAAAAGTTACTGCATGCTTCAAATTTCAAAAGAATCTAACTTTCAAAAATTAAAATCTAATATGAGTAAGCAAGAAGATTTATTTGTAAATTTGGATTTTCTACCTATTAGGTAATACTACAAATAAGTACAATAATAAAACATTGGAATATCTATATGCTACACTAATTTATAACCCTGAAACATATGATATTAGTTGGATATGATAAAAAATGAATCTAAGACACAAAGATAATAATGAGTTTGTAGAAATATGATTATAGAAGATAAAAGACTGTATTGTATAAGTGGAAAAGAAAGTCATATGCCCTCATGAACAGCAGTTGAAACAATACACATTAACTATTACTTTAGGGTGTGTTTGTCAGCAGTGAGAGATGTGTTTATAAGTGTGAGTGGAGAGAGACGTGTTGTCAGTTTGAGAAGAGAGAGGTGTGTTTGTAAGTTTGACTGGAGAGAGGTGGCTGTACCATTGATAATTGGAGAAAGGTGTAATTACAAGTGTGAGAAGGAAAGCTGTGTTGTATGACTTGAGAAAGGTGTGTTTATAATGAGAAGAGTTGTATGACTGGAGAGAGGTGTGTTAATATGTAGGGGTGTTGTATGACTAGAGAGAGGTGTGTTAATAAGTAGGGGTGTTGTATGACTGGAGAGAGGTGTGTTTATATGAAGGGGTGTTGTATGACTGGAGAGAGGTGTGTTAATATGTGGGGTGTTGTATGACAGGAGAGAGGTGTGTTTATATGAAGGGGTGTTGTATGACTGGAGAGAGGTGTGTTTATATGTAGGGGTGTTGTATGACTGGAGAGAGGTGTGTTAATAAGTACGGGTGTTGTATGATTGGAGAGAGGTGTGTTTATAAGAAGGGGTGTTGTATGACTTGAGAGAGGTGTGTTAATAAGTAGGTGTGTTGTATGACTGGAGAGAGGTGTGTTTATAAGTAGGGGTGTTGTATGACTGGAGAGAGAGGTTTTAGAAGTAGGGGTGTTGTATGACTGGAGAGAGGTGTGTTTATAAGTAGGGGTGTTGTATGACTGGAGAGAGAGGTGTTTATAAGTAGGGGTGTTGTATGACTGGAGAGAGGTGTGTTTATAAGTAGGGGTGTTGTATGACTGGAGAGAGGTGTGTTTATAAGTAGGGTGTTGTATGACAGGAGAGAGGTGTGTTTATAACTAGGGGTGTTGTATGACTGGAGAGAGGTATGTTTATAAGTAGGGGTGTTGTATGACAGGAGAGAGGTGTGTTTATAACTAGGGGTGTTGTATGACTGGAGAGAGGTGTGTTTATAAGTAGGGTGTTGTATGACTGGAGAGAGGTGTGTTTATATGTAGGGGTGTTGTATGACAGGAGAGAGGTGTGTTTATATGTAGGGGTGTTGTATGACAGGAGAGAGGTGTGTTTATAACTAGGGGTGTTGTATGACTGGAGAGAGGTGTGTTTATATGTAGGGGTGTTGTATGACTGGAGAGAGGTGTGTTTATATGTAGGAGTGTTGTATGGCTGGAGAGAGGTGTGTTTATATGTAGAGGTGTTGTATGACTGGAGAGAGGTGTGTTTATATGTAGAGGTGTTGTATGACTGGAGAGAGGTGTGTTTATAAGAATAGCTATTTTGTGACTGGTGGGAGGTATGCATTTCAGAACGAATGTTGTTTGACTTGAGAAAGATGTTTTTATAAGGTGTAGTGTTGTGTGGTTGTAGAGAAATACCTGATATGTTAATAAGGAGGATAGTATGTGACTGGAAAGAGGGCGTGTTAGACATACCCCCTGAGAGAGGTGTGCTGGTAGAGATATCAGGCGGAGGTAGAGAGGTGTTGAGGTCTATGCTCTCAGCTGACAGGGAGGCAGGAATCCCACTATATTGTGAATTAGCCCTCTGGCCTGCTGTAAACAAATACACAATGTAACAAGTAACAAACCTATGTTGGATTTCCTTCATCACAGACTTTTTGTCATTGCTCCTCAAATTATGAAACATAACTAGAATACCACTTAAATATACATTTCTTTTTCTGACTGATGGCATTGTACTGATGAAAAAAGTGTAGGTTCCAATTCAGCCATTCATAAAATCAGTACAAAAATGAAAACACAAACTAACAAAACAAATGATTCTGTGTATACATTGGGTAAAGTAGTATACAAAGTGTGCCTGTTATGATTAAACACCATGAAACAAGAGTATCAGTGAATTAATGAATAAATCACTAAAACTCTGTAGGGAGAGGTCATTGGACTTTTCTATGATGCTCCTTATTTTTGTATGACTGATGTATACATCACATTTTAATATCCTAGTTTTAATGCAGGCAAAGTAATGGTCCAAGCATAGAATTTTAACAAACGGCGAAGACTCTATTATTACGGGATTGTGAGCCCTAACACTGGTACGCTGCACTTTGTCTTTGTATGATTAATGTATACACAAAGTTCATGATCCTTACTTAACTGTGAGCAAAGTTATACTCCAGACAAAAAAAACAAATAACAGGCAATAACTCTGTAATTGAAGGGTCAAGGGCCCTGAATTTGGTACACTGCACATAGTCCTAATATATATCGATGTTTCCACCAAGTTTCCTTATCCTTGTTTAAATGCAAACAATTTAGATATGTGCTCTAAACACAAAATCTTAATAAAAGAAAATAACTCTGTAATTCAGAGACTGCAGACACTGAATTTGGTACACTACACATCATCCTAGTCTGACCAATGTATACACTGAGTTTCATGATTCTTCCTTAACTGTGGGCAAACATATGCTCTGGACGTGAAAGGATGGACAGAAAGACAGATGGATGAACAAGGCGGCAACTATATGCTCCCCTGAAAATTTTCAGAGAGCATAAAAATCAATTTACTGACAGTTAACAATATGAAGAGAATTTAAAATATGGAGCCAATGTTAATGTACCAATAAGGTCATTTAAAATTAGTTATTTGCCATCATATGAAAAATATCCAACATTTTTTAGAAACTGCAACAAGCAACCTTGTTATACATGACTAGTGATCTACTGTTAAAAGATGCCTCCACCCCAAATTTTAGTCAATATCTTTCCACTGCAATAGGGTAAAATATGTATGTTTCCAGTGATCTACAGTCTTCTAAAGCATGAATTATGATATAAAGCAGTACAGCATAAAAACCAAGAGAAAGGCTCAAGAATTCTACATTGCTACAAAATACATATAAAAACATTACCTTAGGGATTTCACTGTCTGTGTCTAGTTAGTGTGACATAACCTGAGGGATTTCACTGTCTGTGTCTAGTTCATGGGACATAACCTGAAGGATATCACTGTCTGTGTCAGTTCATGGGACATAACCTGAAGGATATCACTGTCTGTGTCAGTTCATGGGACATAACCTGAGGGATTTCACTGTCTGTGTCTAGTTAGTGTGACATAACCTGAGGGATTTCACTGTCTGTGTCTAGTTCGTGGGACATAACCTAAGGGATATCACGGTCTGTGTCTAGTTAGTGTGACCTAACCTGAAGGATATCACTGTCTGTGTCAGTTTGTGGGACATAACCTGAAGGATATCACTGTCTGTGTCTAGTTAGTGTGACATAACCTGAGGGATTTCACTGTCTGTGTCTAGTTAGTGGGACATAACCTGAGGGATTTCACTGTCTGTGTCTAGTTAGTGTGACATAATCTGAGGGATATCACTGTCTGTGTCTAGTTAGTGTGACATAACCTGAGGGATTTCACTGTCTGTGTCTAGTTAGTGTGACATAACCTGAGGGATTTCACTGTCTGTGTCTAGTTCGTGGGACATAACCTGAGGGATATCACTGTCTGTGTCTAGTTAGTGTGACATAACCTGAAGGATATCACTGTCTGTGTCAGTTTGTGGGACATAACCTGAAGGATATCACTGTCTGTGTCTAGTTAGTGTGACATAATCTGAGGGATATCACTGTCTGTGTCTAGTTAGTGTAACATAACCTGAAGTATATCACTGTCTGTGTCTAGTTAGCGTGACATAACCTGAAGGATATCACTGTCTGTGTCTAGTTAGTGTGACATAACCTTAGGGATTTCACTGTCTGTGTCTAGTTAGTGTGACATAACCTGAAGGATATTACTGTCTGTGTCTAGTTAGTGTGACATAACCTGATGAATACCACAATGTTTCTTGTCAGTTGACATTACCTGTGTGAGCTACTCTCCTTTCTAGTTAGTAAGAAGAATCAGTAAAATACCTCTCCGACCAAAATGGTCAAAATCAGCACCTGTGGTGAGAACTGCCTCATGCATAGTGCCATTCATCACTGGACCCTTCAAACTTTCCTGTCAAATACAACAACCAATCAGCATATTCTGGAGATACTTCCTTATAAATTGTATAATTATAACATTTAATTTGCAATCAACTTTAATGCATATTTTTTTCCTTTTATACACTGTCTAAAGGTTTGCAAAACTTCTCTTTTAGTTTTAATTTTGGCTGATGAAGATTCTCTTTGAATTATAAAGTTTGCTATTTCCTTGTGGAATGGTAAAGACATTTCAATATTTTCTTCCACTGAAAGCTTAATAAAAAATAACATCATTTTCAAAGACTTCTTTTCGACAAAATCTTATTGTAAATTTATTAATCCTCAAGCTTGTGATTCATATTCAAATTTCCCAAAACTCACTGATTTTAATTTCATATACAGAAGAAAAGATCATGTGAATTTTAGTAACAGAAGCATTTGTGTCTATGAGTGTTTCAGGTATAACATAAATCCACCAGTATATGAAAACCAATATCATTATCAATTGATAACGACGACAGTGATTGGTTTAGCATTGAGATACTGTAAACATACATATTTTAGTGATAGCCTTGCTGAGCATATTGAGCTAAGATATGATTGCACTAACTGCAATTTCTGTGTGTCAATTACATAGCAACTTGAATGTATATGCTAATTCATCAATGGCTTAATTTGCCACAGAAGTGATAATGTAGTAAAATTTGATTGCACCAAATTAAGTATGTTTACATTATGTATCAGAACCACAGGAAAATAAGATGATAAGGACAGCATACTAATCTAAATAGAAATGTACGATGTATATAAAGTATGTTTATCAGAAAAAAATTGATTGCATTAAGAAACATCCTGATTTTCAGGTAAACAGATCCTGAACACAGGCTTGATGCAAATTCCATATGCTTTCAGGGTCGTTCCAAATGTTTTTCCCTATGTTTGTCAAATAACCTGATGATTTAGATATCACTAGCATAATATTGCTAATATGTTATTATAAAATCTATGATCTCATACTAGTGTCAAGAGTTGAGTCCTTGTGGGGGATAAACCCCGATTTTGAGATGACCCCTTCTCCAACTCAGTAATAGTTTTACTCTGTGTACACGATCAGTCTCTGTGAAAGTCAGAATTGTCTAATGAGAAAGAAATTGAATTTTAACTACAAAAAAGTAAACTCTAAATATATATATATATAAAATATCAGTATTTTGGTTGCCACAAGAAGTGAACAAAAGTTTGAATAGAAATAAATTTTTCTCTAATCTATTATTAGTAATCCTATCATACACAATAGGACATCTTTGACTTGGTGAGATGTGTTAACTTGAAGCTTGCCCAGTCATAGGTTCTTACCTTGTTTTAGTACATTTGTGGTGACAAGTTATAGTGTGTTAAATCAAGTTAGAATCCCATTACCAGTGTTAATCTGGTATCACCAAACCTAATTCTACTGCAAATCACTCTTTTCTGTAGATTTCTCAAAAATCCAAATGTGTAATATCAGACTGTCTTGATCCATACTTAAGTGTTTTGTACATTACTGTAGAAGTGATTTACAGATACTCTTGATTATAGGTAGTGTTAGTCCTCGCCACAAATATTTGAAAAACAAAATACCTTGTCTTTATTTTCTGTGGAGCCTACCTTCGCTATTTGTAACATCACAATGGCATGCTTTATAGCTTCAATCATAGCCTGCAATCAGAAGACACTGTAAATTACTCTCATCAGAATTGAACAAACAAATTAAAAATTGTAAATCAACATCTTTTGAAATCTATTACAGAATTCACATGGAGTAGATATATAAGCATTTGTTTCCTGGCAAAAAAAAGCATTATAATCCAAATGATACGAATAACTGAATTGATTGTCAATTATGTATTATAAACTAGAAATGTCTGTAAATCATGAATACTCCTGCTTTCATGCATATAAATATAAATATTTGATGAATTTGTAGAAGTTTGTCCAGTGTTACCTTTGACCTTTCACCTATGACCACCTTAATATGGTAAGGTGTAGAACTTCATGTTGCGATACTATGGGGTAAATTTGGGCAAAACTTGTTGAAAGATTCTCAAGATATGACATTGTCTGAATTGTGAGTGACATAAAAATGTAGTCATTAGTGAGTACTACAGACAAAACAAAAGTCTGTCTTAATCACCTTAGCAATTAAGACCTTGGATGTTAAAATGGATATAAAATGGACTGATAAATATCAAATTGAAAAACAATGAAATGTTTGAAAAGTACCATAAATGTTATCAACATCATTCTGTTTGTTTGTAAAACACTCAATTTACAATATTATTGAAGTAAAAGACCCAGCTTTGTTTGTCGTTGAGTTAGGTACTATATATACTAAATAAAAGTTATGAGCTGTCCTCACCTCTGCAGTCACTTTTAAAACACTATATTTTTCTTTGGCAGATACATCTTCACAAGCATCAATTCTTGTCTCCAACGTCTGAAAATAATGAGGCAAACATTAATTGTTTAAAGCAATATTTACAACATTTTACTTTCACAAGTGATTGTTATGAAATCAAGCATTCAAATGCAGAAATTAAGAACTGATGAAATAATAACATTCTATACATGTCTTCCATTTGCATATTCTTTGATTTATCATTCATGATTAAATCTGGCTACATATTTTCATGTGAAGCTGAAATGTTACCTGTACTTGGCCTATCAAAAGTTGTAAGTAGGCGTCAGTTTCTGAGAGTTTTCTGTCAAAATCTGCAGCTGTAGGGACAGACTTAACTTCCTGTTTCTGAAAAACATCAAAACCTTCATGAAATTTGTCGACAGCATAGTTTTTTCTATCAAAAAAAATCTTTTTAAATAAAAAGTTGTTTTCTACCATAATATCAACAAGAATTGTTTTAGGATCAACTTTCATTAATAACCTCCACTTACCAAGGATAGTATACAAGTCCTGTAGTGAAATTCCCAGTTTCAATGTAGGATAATGAAATCATGGTTAATTGCACTGCATATAGAATGGAGGATATTCATTTTCTGTAGCAATCACAACAAACAATACAACATCGATACAGGTATAATCTACATACCACTTATTTAAAACAGATCTACATCATTCTGTTAGAATAAGAACTTACCTTTTGAGAATGAGAATGTCGAAGTATTGCATTTTCCAGTCCTTGTATCCACTTCTCACGTTCATCAGCATCTCGAGCTACAAAAAGATTTTCAATTTTATTTAATCATGATGCAAAGAGTTAACATTTATAATCCATTTTCACAGAAAAGTGGTCTGTGATTCCAATCAATATTAAATTTTATCTCATATTAGTGATTTTCATTATAAAACAAAATAAGATTTGGTTTTATAAACTAGTAATAGAAATCTTGTTCAGAGTTTTCAACAAGCATCATGTTCAGTGAGATTAGTGGATATCCTATGTAATGGGTAATGGAGGAAAAATGAAATTACAATTATCCAAAATTTGAAAAATACCAGAATATGTAAAAGATAATATCACTACTTCTATCTGTATGTGATATCAAACCTTGAAAATGAAATGTTTTCTGATCCACAGTTATGGTAAATGTACTATCGTCTTCATCGTCAATACCAATGACTGCTCCCTGAAAAATTCAAGGACATTTTACAACAATGTCAAGAGGTAATGATTAACAAGGAGTATCAGTAATTAATAAGTGTATGTAAAGGCGAAAGATTGTCAATGTGATTCATTTTTGTATGAAATTAATCAAAATACTGATATGCATGATAATTATCAATCATGTTACTAATGTACAGTAGAATGACTACAATTCATTACAATTAATCCTACATATTTTCATAGAAAACAGAGGAAGGTTACTGCCATTAATGTTTCAATATATTAAAAAATATTGTAACATTTGAAATTACACTCTGGAAAACAAAACTGCTTGTTAAATGAAAAAGTCCATAAAGTTTCACTGAGGTCAAGGAAAGCCTTAAAAAATCCAAAATGTCTTTAAAAATTGCATATCAAGATCATACAGCCAATCAAGTTTCAAATGGGTCTGAAACAGTAAACATTTAGACAAATATCATAATACCACCTGTCTGGTATTAAAGGAATCAAGTACAAAGTAACCATCAATGAGCAGCTTAAGCTGACTGTCCTCACACAAATGTGAAAGAAAGCCTTAGTTATTCAAAAAAGTACATAGCAGATTAAAATATTCTTTGATTATAAATTAACACAGATCAGACTAACAGCGCATTACAATACCTTCAGCCTCACACAGCCTCTCCTGGCTCCTCGCATCATCTTCTCTTTAGACTGAAATATAAATTACATTTTCAAGTTCATACGCTTAAAGCCTTATCATAGCATACTAAATTACTTAATCCCCACCCACAATTATAATCAGAATGGCACTCTCAGTTCTCTGCTTTAAAATTTTGCTGACTTTTCTGTTTGTTTCACTGCACCTTTGCTGCGTACATAACATTATCATATCCATATTTAGTCATTTGTAACTCATCAAAACAGCAAAAAATGGTGGAATATTGCATGTAACAGTCCTTGCAAAATTTCAATGTACTGTTTTCATGCAGAGAGTCATTATTTCTTGGCAAAAATGATTCTCACCCTTTTTTCTTTACGAAAAATGATTTCTCCCAATATGTTTTCTGATTTTATAATGTTCCAAGTAATGAATAAAAAACGAGATGCATTCCTCTTGAAAACCACATTTCTTTTTTTCATCTGACTTTTTTTTTGGCTGTATGAGTACGTGTGTGTCAATGTGTAACATGATTTCGCAGAGACCCTTGCAAGTTTATTTTAATTTGGTAACTTTTAAAATTTTTAAATAAAAAAGATGTTATTCTAGCTTTTAACCCTGCAAGTGGTATGCTTTTATAATACGCTTGAGGTAGGTTCAAATATGTATGGATAAGTTAAATTAAAATATCTGAATATAGCATTATGGATTTAGTGGGACAGCTAGAACGATAAGAATATCGTAGACAATTCGTCCAAAAGTTAACTCGACTTTTCATTTATACCGTCTTCTTTAAAATACTTATCATTACAGGGATATATAACATGGATTGAATTTTCTTAATATGCGCTAATGCATCAATTTACAATAAAAAGTTATATTTCGTCAGTAACATGCGAGAAAAATTAATTTTTGGTCCATATAGTTGATTTAATACCAGGACGAATTGTCTTTCAATACAATTACATCCACCACTGACCGCATGTAACATTACGGGCCGTATTATTTATGACTTACAGTGAAATATGACAAAATGCCAGAGCTTTCGTCAAGAACGAACCATCTATACTGCCATCCTTTCATGACATTTGTCCACTTGCTAAGTGGACCTTCGATTACGGCCATCTTGTCGGAAGTGGGAAGTGTCAATTACATCGGAAGGCATCGATTCCATTTGCCCGAGGTAATCCGAAAGAAGTTTTTGTGAGCAACCAATCGTAACGCGTCAATTAAATTGTAGCCAATCAAAATATCACGCGAGATTTGAATCGAAGCATGGGTTTGTTGATACTGGCAGGTGCTTCGACCAAGATGTGAAAAAAAAACAAGATTGTGCCAAAGACAACGAAAAGATGGAAGGCTACTCTACGGACAGAGGAGTACCGGCTTCTGGTCCATACAGGGCCACAAAACTGGTGAGTTTTAGAGTTAAAGATAGGCTTAAAATAATCATTCTGATTAATCAACATCGCCGATGTTACATGGCTACTGCTTGCAAGCTTTAAAAAACACGCTACTGATCAATCAGCTGTATCGTGGTGATAAATTATTCAGTTCAATCTAGTTTTGTATTCCTTTGTAAATGCATGACAGATTCTCACTACGTAACAACAAACTCAAACTGTTGTTTTATAGTTTTTTCGTCGATAATCAATATATGGCGGTGTTGAATTTACCGTAATATCGCCACAAAACGGCATCCTGTGCAAATGTATTCCTTTTGCTAGACCAGCGATATGTTTAAACAATAACTGGAAGATTAACTAAAAGTTAGTTTCCAAGAACAATGGTCAAGCCAATCTTATGGAATTGTCTTTATTGTTTTGCTGATCTTATGATCTGATGATTATAAATGAAGGGGTGAATTTTACACTCGACTTGGTGTTGATGTTTTTTATGCATGACATTATATCTGCCCACATGATATTACTTTTATTTGAACTTAATATAACACTGCATGACTTTATAATGTATTTGTCAAACAATATTATTTACACACTCCGTAAATCAATATGATATACAATTATCGAGATATATTCTCTTGATCTTTATCGATCTTGATACTACCATTTCATTTATTATTCTGTTTGATGTTTTAATTTATGTTGTACAGTCATGCATTGAGGGATCTATTGACTAAAACTATTTTTGCCAATTTTGTTAGTTTAACAACACACAGAGGTTGAAGCTTTTGATAATCAGAATGGTATGCATTCAAATCATTGATTCTGTGATATCAAAGCGATACATGTACCTCGAAGCTATAAAACCATTTCAAGAAATCCCAAGGCATTAATACAAGTCTCTGCCTTTATTGTTCAGTCACTATACTGATTGATGTTATACCTGAGATCTTATCTCAATTATAGTCCGTGACTAGACATTCCATCTGATGGCTAGTTTTTATTCTTGTAGATATATTTTTCTAAATGTTCATTTTAGTGGAATGATGTTATACTTGCCTTCCGCCGAGGTATGCCATCAGCACGTCACAGAAGGTACATGAAGACATACGAATCCTGCTTCTCTGCCAATGAATCTATTGACTGGCTCCATCAATATCTTCGTGCAAATCCTAACTTTGGCTCAGATGTCACAAGGTAAATACCTTGTTTATATATATTGTTTTTATTATATACAGCATATTGATAAATGTTGTGATTGAGTATGTTTAGTTTAAACAGTATTGATTCAGAAATATTACTCTTACATACAATATATTTGAGTTAGGAAATCTAGCTTCAATTTGAAATCAGTATTCCCTTGTCAATGAAACATTTATCATACTGTTTGTGGGTGACCAGATAAATGTATACAACATACACATTCCAATATGAAAATTACATTTTAAGTGTTTTAGATATACTGCTCCTAGTGTTGGGCCAATGTCAGAACAAATGAATATAAATTAAGTTTAAGCACTATGAATTTTAATATTCTGTCTAATGAGAAAATTCCAAAGCTGTAAAAAAATGTTCATTTTTTGTGTATTTTTTTATATTAAAAGGTTAATCAACATATTTGTTTTGTAATATGATTAAATGAAAATTCATGTGTGTGAATATTATTTTTTTTTGTTTAACAAATAGAAATCAAAGCTGTCACTGATGGCAGTATTAACAGTGTTTAATTTCACCCTAATTTTTGACAATTAGATAGCAATTACCTTCACACTAACTGTCTAGTGTCCACTGTCAAATTAGTACTGACCACCAGCTGTTTACACACATGTCACAACACCAGCTGATGTCAGGTAAACAGATATCTGTGATCTCTGAGGTAAGATAGACCCAGGTGGTGTTAACCATTTAAGGATTGAGGCAGATTATAATCATCACATGTCTCAGATCAGACTAAGTCGTTCATTTTCTACATTTCAAATGATATGTCTACAGGGTACAGGAAATTGGATTAAAGTTTGTTTCAATAGCCTGAGGTTATAGACAGACCAACTTTGCTGCCAAGCTTTTATTGTGTATGAGTTGATTACATTTAAACAAATATAAATAAGTATAAAATTATGGTTCTGCATGTTATAAGTATGTTTTTAAAATTCAAAAATTGACTTAAATATTTCAGTAAGAGTTAATTCTAACCAAAAATAAATCAATAAAATGACAAAGAATACATATTAGCCCCAATATATTTTTAACTTTCATTGAAACAATTTAAATGGTTAAATATGTTGTGATTCTTATTGCTTAATTTTATGTTTGTAGAAAAATTGTGCAGTTACATCATATTTTGTATAATAAACTGATTTTTTGTAAAACGTAGAAATATAATATACAACTCAACAGGAATGTGTTTTTTTCAAATAAAACAATAATTGATGACTTTATCAATAAATTGATAAATAGCTGGTAGAGAAAATATAAGTTGTTTATTTGTGAACAATTGTGTGGCTTATATTGATTTTATATTGCACCTTAAAGATATATAATTATAATGATGTATAAAAAAATGAAAGTTTATATGCAAGATCAATAAGTGTACTAATCTCTGATTGGTGAAGAGGTTTATCAAGAAATAACTTGTATTGATTTTGATTGTAAATAGCTTAATTTGCATGCAGGTGTTACCTATTGAGCAAACAAGTCATTAATTTTCTTTTCAATGTTTATACTAAATATGGTTGAATTGTACCCAAATTTAGTAAACACAAATATGTTGACAAGTGATATATAATGAATAAGTAATACAATGCCTAGACCAACAACAATTGTCTGTTATATCAATGTCCTGAAAATATGAGATAATCATAATATTTGTGGATTTAGCTTGATCGTCTCTTGGTTTATAGATCAATAACTTGACAAATAGATAAACATGAAAATTATACCAGTATAAATGCATATGAACTACATTGTATAAACTACCTTTAACTTGTAAAGTCAAATTATGTAATATCATGTTGTCGTCAGTGTTCCAAACAGAACATTGATTGACAGAAACTTGCTGAGACCACAATTCCATGACTTATAATGAAACATTGTTTAATTTAATTCGTAACAGAATGGTAGAGATAGTTATCCAACCCATTGTACATAATACCCAATTACCAAATCTGGATACCTACTTCAGATATAATTTGATATTCACAAGCTAAATTCATATTTTATTTCATATTTCCACCAGATTTCAGACCCTGCAATTATTTCGAAAACTACACAGAGCTCGTGTGATTGAAGATGTCCGAGGTGGAAAACACAACAAGCATGACCCAACTGACAATGGCCGACTCTTCAGGTACCATAGACATAAGAAAAATTTTAAAGCTGAGTAGTAGAGCATCAATTGACTTTTAAAGTTCACATAGTTATATATACAGATTCTGGAGAGACTAGTACTCTTTCAGGGTAAAAATAACTAATTTTACCTCTTTTCTTGCAAGTGAGATTTGTAAAACTAAATCTTAATTTTTTTTGGTTCTAAATACAGGCTAGGTCTACATTAATCTGTTTACACTTGAAGTGTTTTAAAGGTATTAACAACTGTAAATTTTACATTGTGTTAAAGGTGACACTGCATGATTAAAACATATTCAAACAGGTTAAATCTATATTAATCTGTTTAAACTTGAAGTGTTTTAAAGGTATTAACGGCTGTAAATTTGACATTGTGTTCAAGGTGACACTGCACCATTAAAACTTATTCAAAACATTATCTCATTATTTGTTTTTATGAGATGTAGATCTTTGTTAAATATTACTCAGACATTCAGGAATGTATAATTGCATGTTTTGAATCCAACATAATTTTAAAATAACAAAACATCGCTATAAAAATCTAACTGTTAAGTAGATGTTCATTGGTTTATCCAGATTTGGATTAAACAGTTGCATTATTTATAATTTACATGCCCCCTGACCTCTGCTAATGAAATTATACATAACTGAATATTGCCAAGATATTGATGTATATATATATTGAATAAGATAAATTCGTTCGTTACCATAAATAACTAACACAGATCTCTGCTTTTGTGTATGTAGATTCACATTGATGTCTCCAGTAAAGAATCGTGTGCCATTCTCAGAGAGGAAGGACTTGGTGAATACCGATTGCCATCGGGAAACAAATCCTGTTAAGCCAGTAGAATGCCGCGGGACATTTCCACCATCTTATGTTCCTGCTCTGCCCAAAGAGCAAGGAATTTCATGTCCTTCAAAGCCTCCACTACCCAATCTGAAACATGCTGAAGAAAAGCCAGTATCACATCCTAATCAGCCTGTACCTTATTGCCAGCTAGTGGCCAAACAGCTCTCAGCATCTGACATACACGATACCTGGAAACACATGACTTTAGATAGGTACGTATACATCAGTGTCATAATTACAGCTTTACCAAACATGTTATAATAATACTGTTCATTAAGGACCCAATCATTCATACACACAATTCCACCTGGTAAAGGAGCCATGTTGCTTTGTCGCTGTATAGTTCAATAGTAACAAATTTGTGTACAAAATATATGTTACTAATGCTTCACAGACTATTGTATATTGAAATTTACACATTTGTTGCATTTCACTTTCGAGGGGAGGTATGTTTGTCTTTTATTTTCGAGTCTCTATTTACATTTGTTCTGTTTCTTATTGGTGGCTCTGTAAGGGATATGTCCTTTCCTTGTAAACTTAAAGCTATATTCTTCCTCATAAATGCACTGTGCAATTAGAATAGAGTGGTGTACTTTTGTGAAAAGGGACCATTTTTTTGTGAAACAAGAAATGAAACTTTGTACTGTTTATGATGACAAAGATAATTGATGATTATTTTGGATAATTGGTAAGTTTATTTGATCTGTTTTCTTTTATAGGCTACAGTCAGTTCTAAACCTGGACAATTTATCAGAAATTTTAGACAGTAGTTTTGTTTTGGGGAAGAATATTATGCATAACTGTACCTACCTCAACAAAAGCGGAATAGTGACCAACATCGACCCTAAAGGTAAGATATGAGAAAACAATGATCTTCACATCAATGTTTACCTGTTGATACTTTTACCAATTTAGTGTGGTTAAATCTCTACCTGCCAAGGCTGCTGTCTTTATCAAAAACTCAGATATTTTGATTGGTCACTTTGACAGCAGTATATCAGAAAGTAAGACACTTTCTTATGCTGGACACATCAAAATATATTTGTGTATAACGACTTAACTGACAGTATAGGATATGGAACATATGGGATATATTTTCTAAAGAAAAATGTTGTTTCATTTCCATTTTAAATATACTAGAACTGCTACATTTCAACACTTATTTGTGAGACATTTTTCTGATTTCAACAGATCAATTACCACACTGGGCAATGTCTGCGATGAGGTGTCTGGCACGCTGTAAGTATTTCCTTTGGTTTCTGAGGTTTGATTCACTGAACAGATGTGAAAACGGGTAGGTGTCACCTGCCCAACAATGTAGGTTTTTCCAAAGGCTCCAGTTTCCTCCTACTGTGCTTGTATCCAGGTCAACAACATTGATAAATCAGTTGGAGTAACTTATTTAGTAGCATGCTCAATACTCTACAATCACCACATCCTCTACACTCCAGGGGTTACGATTACCACATCCTTGATACTCCAGTGTCTAGAATCACCACATCCTCTACACTCCAGGGGTTATGATCACCACATCCTCTACACTCCAGGGGTTATGATCACCACATCCTCTACACTCCAGGGGTTATGATCACCACATCCTCTACACTCCAGAGGTTACGATCACCACATCCTCTACACTCCAGATGTTACGATCACCACATCCTCTACACTCCAGGGGTTATGATCACCACATCCTCTACACTCCAGGGGTTACGATCACCACATCCTCTACACTCCAGAGGTTACGATCACCACATCTTTGATACTCCAGTGTCTAGAATCACCACATCCTCTACACTCCAGGGGTTACGATCACCGCATCCTCTACACTCCAGAGGTTACGATCACCACATCCTTGATACTCCAGTGTCTAGAATCACCACATCCTCTACACTCCAGAGGTTACAATCACCACATCCTCTACACTCCAGGGGTTACAATCACCACATACTCTACACTCCAGAGGTTACGATCACCACATCCTTGATACTCCAGTGTCTAGAATCACCACATCCTCTACACTCCAGGGGTTATGATCACCACATCCTCTACACTCCAGGGGTTACGATCACCACATCCTCTACACTCCAGAGGTTACGATCACCACATCCTCTACACTCCAGAGGTTACGATCACCACATCCTCTACACTCCAGAGGTTACGATCACCACATCCTCTACACTCCAGAGGTTGCGATCACCACATCCTCTACACTCCAGAGGTTACGATCACCACATCCTCTACACTCCAGGGGTTACGATCACCACATCCTTGATACTCCAGGGGTTACAGTCACCACATCCTCTACACTCCAGTGGTTGCAATCACCACATCCTCTACACTCCAGGGGTTACAATCACCACATCCTTGATACTCCAGGGGTTACAATCACCACATCCTTGATACTCCAGGGGTTACAATCACCACATCCTCTACACTCCAGGGGTTGCGATCACCACATCCTCTACACTCCAGGGGTTGCGATCACCACATCCTCTACACTCCAGGGGTTACAATCACCACATCCTTGATACTCCAGGGGTTACAATCACCACATCCTTGATACTCCAGGGGTTACAATCACCACATCCTTGATACTCCAGGGGTTACAAACCCCTGCACCCCTGGAAAACATGTCATGGCAAAATTCAGGGCATGAGCAAAGTTATTTTATTGGTTCAAGGAGAAAAAACTGACCAATCACAGACTGATACATACCTCTTAACGATTACAAAGGCGCGACACACGACTTAAAAGCTATTACAATATACCAGGTACCTCAAGAATTGTTTCATGTACATCAAAGGATCGAACTAGTTTTTTCGTCTTGTCCACAAGGTGTCGCACATGGAACCTTCAATTTTGCCATGGCATGTTCAATGGGGCAGAGAGTGAAATTGATGGTAAACCCTGGTGTATCGAGGATCATTAAGCAGTTGTTTTAAAGTTTGTCATTATTATGAAATAAGTGCTAGGCTTTTCTGTTAATTTTGATGTCATTCACATTCATTTGTAATTGATTTTTCATTATTCCACCTTACATACAATTGATAAATTTTTTTTCAGGGCCAGAAAGAACAGACGAAAACTTACCAACATACCAAGGATTCGAACGTGATGTGTATCGTGTGGTGAAAGACTACTTCTGTGGGATGTCAGAGCCCTTGATGACATACGAGATGTATGAAGTAGTTACCAATGTGTTTGGTGAGTATATCTTATGTTGTATAGCTACAAGTGACACTGATTACATGCTCATTGTTATAGCTTGTTATATTGTTGGTATGTGTGATTATTCACAGTGAGGACAACCTATTTCAAAGTTTACTCAATAATCAATCTCAAGGTAAATTTGATATGTAAAGGCTGTTTGACTAAACCTTGTGTTGATGAAATCACATGGAATCTTTTGATTCACATCCATTATATATTCATGTGACCTATACCCAGAGAGAATTTTGTTAAAGTGACTCCAGGAAGTCAGAATTTTATCCTCTCATCCAAAACAGGATAAACATGAGCAATGAGGAGATCTATTATTAATGTATATATCTGTAATTTTGAAAGATATGACAACACTTTAAAAACTATATTAGATTTGAATCATTTGTATTACTGACCTTTGATTGTCTTTACAGTTACAGCAGAAGGAACATGCTATGAACAATGCTCTGAGGATGAAGATGACACCAATCCGGAGTGTCTCACCTCCTTTGAATCAGTAGAAAATTTAATGCTTGATCTAACAAATGTTGGAGAACCTGGGAAATGCTACAACAGATCCACACCAGAGGCTCATGTTCACATGTCCCGTCTGGTCAGCCGCTCAACGTTAGACCTGTCTCCTATACAGGCTGTACAGGACAGTTTTCAGAGTGGTCGGCTTCGACGCTGCGAATCAACAGCAAACATTCCAGTAGCAAAGTATGAGACTGCCTTTGGTCCAGAGAACAGAACCATTACCCGTGTTTACTACAAAGATGGCGTGTCCACTGACTTTGGTTACAGTAATGGTCCAGATGAGCTATCTAAGACTCCTCTAGAAACTCACTTTGAAATGTCAGACAGTTTCAACAATTTACTACCAATGGCAGAAAAGTGTCAAAGTACTTACAACATAAACTTTGCTCAAGTAAAATCTACAAGAGCTCGACGGAAATCAAGCTGTGAACTTATATCTAAAAGTAGAGAGAATACCAGTGACCGACGTAAAAGTTTTGCCTGTTCCATAGAGAGTCCTGTCAGTAATGATTCTGGTAGGTGCCAGTCATTAAGTTCTGGAAATATGTCAGCAAATGAGCTGAGTAACTATAGTGACAGATATGAGCCTAAAGTAAGGAAAGGTAATGTGCCAACACGGTCTCCACCTCACTACAGCTCACTCTTCCCTAACGGACATCAACCAGTGCTAGATGGTGCTACAAAATTACTACGCAAGTGTCATCGGTCAAAGTCAAACATCTCTTTGCATAGGATCAAGTCCTCCTCATCCATGAACTCCTCTTGTAATGACCCAGACAATTTGCCGTCAGAGGCTGCTTACCCGGAGCAATTCCATCCACATAGAGCTCAGAGTAAAGAGTCACTGATTGGTCGCAGTCTCAGTCTGTCTGACCTCATGCATGCAGAGATTCACAAAGGACAGAAAAGCCTTAAGAGGACTCGTTCTTCTACAGGTAAATAATGTTCTTGCTATTATCGTTTATTTATCAAAATTGAAACATACATGTACGTTGTATACAAAGTTGTCAGACGTAGACAACCAAGGTAAACAATTAATTTGGAATGAAGAAATGAGAAACATTTTTGTATAGTCCTTGATGAAAGTGGCAGAAGCAGAGAGTGGTGGTCAGCGTTTTTGTTTGCTCAAAAAGTTTGAAGTCTAAATTAAACCAAACTCTTATATAGTTAGATCACATCCATCATCTATGAAATGTTGTCATGGAATTATGATAGAAGTGTAACTGTAGGGATTATATGCTACTGACTACGATTAACTTGAAAATTTGGTAGGGTAGGGGAGGCAAGGGGGGAGGTGTGGCCATAAATTTTAGTCTACTTGGTTAAAAAAATTAACAATGGGGAACAGAACATACAAAGTTATAACATGTTGTTTTTTTGTTTTGTATCAAATGTGTTATGTGTGAGACACTTACATAAAATTTGATATTTAATAATGATATGTTGAAGGTTCCTTGAGTGCTGATATCAAAGAGAGGAAGAAGCTTGCCCTACAAACTGTTTGTCTGTTACTACCGCCAGCCAACAGACGGAAACTACAGCTTCTTATAAAACTCATGTCCAAGATGGTAGAAAACCCAAAACTCCAACTAGATGACAATAAATCTACACGGGCACTGGTAAATTTCTGATGACTATAAACATGCACCCTACACAGTAAATACAGTGTCATTGCTTTGTCAAAGTATTTGTGTCTTCTAACAAATACTGTAGACTTACAGACTTTAGAGCTTTTCACACCAAGTATTGCACAATAATGTGGTTATCCTAATAGCAATTTCTGTTTATCGTTTAAGTAGCAATATTTGAGGATGTGCTAATTCATCATTTTTTTAATTTGCCAAAATGTATGGAAATACAGAATATATATATATCACTATGGTAACATCAAATATTATCTGCTAGTAATTTTATTTTAGTGGGCATCATTTAAGAGTATTAAGTCAAAGTTAACCACAGTATGGTATTTTGGGCTTCTCTTTGTGAATCTCTGCATACAATATTTTGATTTATGTGTCAGATAAATAAGGTGTTAGAATCAATAAAACCTCGTGTTAATTTGTGATGATTGGTAAATGGATCCTACTCATCATACAGTGCTGTGTGTGTATCATACATTTTTCTATACATTCATGTTTATAATGTTTACAATTATGAGACGATCACTCCATTTTCTGTATAAATACAACTTTACACTGTCGTCCAACACTATTTATATTTTTTCATACTTTCCAGCTGATGGAGACATTTTATCGCTCAGTGTTGTGTAGTCAGGATGAAGCTGACATGGAAGATCTTCTGGTAATGAAGATCATTTCCTTCTTAGTTGATAACTGTGCAGAAATCATGGCTGTCCCTGCTGGTTTGAAAGACGCAGTGGAGCAAAGGCTGGCAATAGACTCAAAAAACAAGGCTCAGGTATAGCATGTGTGATGGTCATAGGATGGTAGCATGTACATACTGTAACATAACTATATAAAATATACTCACATATAACCAATATATAACCTGGACTTCTGGAGGTCCACTCAGTGTATCTATATATATAACCATGTAAAGAATATATTCATTCTGCTATGTATGTCTGTTTACTTTTTTAAAAGTTCATTTTCACAAGTCCAATTTTAAGTCTATTTTGCTACAATATCCTCTGAAATTAATGTATTTCTGTTCATATTAACATCAAACAGTTTCAATATTAGAGCTAAACTAATCTTACACAACTCTTGTCATAGAGTGAAGTGTTTATTCGAAATTTGATTGAGTATTTCTTCAGTGTATATAATACTGGATGTAGATTTTTGTTTTTTTGATCATATCTCTATGTTCGGAGTTTCCTCTTCATTAATATCTGACAAAAGTCATATTCATTGTAACATTATATCTATATAAAGCATGTCGTCACCAATAAAAAAACAGTAATATTGAATAAACAGAAAACGTTACAAGTATATATAGCTTGTCGTAATCAATACATATCATTATAGTTGTACTCAATGGTTGCCATGGTAACTTGATGCTTTGCTAGTATACAATATTTATATTATACATATTACTATGTAACCATTAAAATCATAATCTTCTATCTTTATACCTATGTACTGTCACTGCTTTGCACACTGCCACTACTGCTACTCTGCTACTAATTACTGGTAAATGATTGGGCATGCTCAAATGGATTTTGCCTGGAATTTCTCCTCTCCTAAAATTGCTAGACTTTGTCAGTAGCTATGCCAAGCTTCCTTTTAGTTGTATTGGCATTTGCGTTTGAGTTTCTTTGTTTTTGTTTTGAACACTGCAGCTGATCCCTTATTCTACACTTTTATTTTATTTTTGATAACAAATGTTACTAAAAACATTTCTGTTTGTTTCTGTACAAGAAAAGAGTCGGGCAGGCATCATTTGAGCACCCAGCTACAGTGATGAGTTGGACAAATATGTGAGAAGTAGGACATTTATTGGAAGTGTAAGGCTAGTTTCAGCTGAATAAAGCTGCACATTTCTGTAACGAGTTAATTTCCTGCAAACACTTTTTTATTACTCTTCAGTTCAAAACCAATCCTGTGCTGGTCATATTAATGACTTAAAATCTAAAGTAATTTATATAAAAATACAGGTACTTTTGTGAGGAAACAAAGACAAAGGCCCAATTTTAGATGCTGAAGAAATAACTTAATGGACAACTTTGGTGTACAGTGTACTTTCTTGTCACCACAAATACCTAGTACATATTGAGGTCAACTTATCAAAATGGAAAAAACCTTTGTTGAACAGCATATTTGCCCAACCATACATTGGCATAAGATAAACAAACCAGTCTTCATCACCAAGCGTTTTCACTCTGGTATGTGACATCATTGAGACTACTAGTTAAGGTCAACATTACATGTAATGTTGTAATTCTGTATATAGGGCACCAATATCAGTACTAGTTCAGGTCTACATCACTAAATATCTTAACTCCTGTATTTATGTCATCAATGTCAGTACAAGGTCTGTTCCACATCACTGAACATCTTCACTCCTGTATTTATGTCATTAATGTCAGTACAAGGTCTGTTCCACATCACTGAACATCTTCACTCCTGTATTTATGTCATCAATGTCAGTACAAGGTCTGTTCCACATCACTGAAAATCTTCACTCCTGTATTTATGTCATCAATGTCAGTACAAGGTCTGTTCCACATCACTGAACATCTTCACTCCTGCATATATGTCTTCAATGTCAGTACAAGGTCTGTTCCACATCACTGAACATCTTCACTCCTGCATATATGTCACAGACAACTGACACATACGGACAACTGAAACATACAGAAAACTTAGATACACAGACAACTGAAACATACAGAAAACTGAAACATACAGAAAACTTAAATACACAGAAAACTGAAACATACAGAAAACTGAAACATACAGAAAACTTAAATACACAGACAACTGAAACATACAGAAAACTGAAACATACAGAAAACTTAAATACACAGACAACTGACACATACAGAAAACTGAAACATACAGAAAACTTAAATACACAGACAACTGAAACATACAGAAAACTGAAACATACAGAAAACTTAAATACACAGACAACTGAAACATACAGAAAACTGAAACATACAGAAAACTTAAATACACAGACAACTGAAACATACAGACAACTGAAACATACAGAAAACTTAAATACACAGACAACTGAAACATACAGAAAACTGAAACATACAGAAAACTTAAATACACAGACAACTGACACATACAGACAACTGAAACATACAGAAAACTTAAATACACAGACAACTGAAACATACAGAAAACTGAAACATACAGAAAACTTAAATACACAGACAACTGAAACATACAGAAAACTGAAACATACAGAAAACTGAAACATACAGAAAACTTAAGCATACAGACAACATCAACACACAGAGAGCTCAATACATTGCACCTAGCCACATTGATGATGGTATTTGGAGACTGGTTTGTTACTGTGCCATCAGGGGTGCGTGATCTGTCCGACTAGGCTTCGGCTTTCCTCACGGGTGGCTGCTTCACCTCTTGGCATTTTCAGATTGTGTATTCATTCGACGATCCTTCGTCATTCCATTATTGCAATCAGGTGTCCATCGACCAGTATGAGACTCAGCGTCTCAGTAATTCCCAGAGAGCGCTTGTTGACCTTCTGGAGGAGATTGTCAAGGACAAGACAATGGCTGCCAAGGACAAACGAAAACGTCTCAAACAGGTGAGACTTGTGAATTGTTTTACTTACCTTGTAGATGAATATATTCTGCCCATCATCATACCTTTACTAGGCTTTGCATATAATTTTAAGTGAATAATAATTTCGAATACTGATAATTGGTATTCAAGTTGTCAATATAAACTTATATTTCATTCAGTTTAAAACTGTTTTAATTATTGCTGGGATAAATCCTAAACACTCAAGTCTGAAATCAATTTTGCATTTGGCTCCATCAAGAGGGGATTTATATGTCTAGAGCATCATCAGGAAAGAAGTGTAGAAAATCTTTCTATTAAAAAAAGCAAAGTTTAATAGTGAAATCATCATTATTCAGTCATTGACAGATGTACATGAATTGATTTCCACAAATTTGCACCATTGAATCTGTCTGATATGGAACACACTGAAAGCTTGGTCAGTAGAATGTTGGCATATATAACCTCAGGTGAAAATCCTTTTTATTTGATGGGCCTCTCTGATGTTGTTCAATGAAGTAACCACCAGTTTATGTTATATAAATATATTAACCTTTTACAAGCATAGATATTGTTACAGTTTCAGAAAACCTACCCAGACATCTATGCTCACAGATTTCCTAATGGAGAAAGTGAAATGGACATCTTCCCTCAGAAGCCGAAGATAAAGCAGCCATTGTTGGTGAAACCTCTGATGAAGCTGCGTGGACTTCGACTGTAGAAATTAATCTTTTGCGACGAATTTTGTATATTATATACTCAACAAAACCCTTTACATAGTGTAATATAGCTACTGTAAGATATTGTACATTTTGTAAATGTGCTCTACTCAGTGATAAACTCAGTAACCCGATAATATCAAGAATCTCCACGCAATGCAGATTTTCCAGACTACATCATGATTTTAACTTTATGATAATCCACCTACCTGGTGATGTATTTTATCATTTGTTTGATGTATTGGAGCATGTAATCAAAACAAAAATATATAAACAGTTTAATTGATATGTATTTTATCATTGTATGTTTTGGTGTTATATAAATTCAAATAGAGCTTGCATTTAACTCATCAACCCTTTTTTACTTTGTCTACTTAGTGTGAATTGCACAGGTCAGTAAATGTAATTGAAGTTACAAAACACAACCCATGTACTCTACATCCTCAATGTATACCGGTGTTTTCATATACAAGCCTGTTGTATTGTACATATTACTGTAAACCATCATCTGACTTCCTGATTTAGAATCAGTACATTATTATCTGACTTGTAACTTCCTTTCAAACTTGCCATACATGTGTATCTTGGAGAGCCATAGTGTTCCATATTGGAGAAATTGAGTCTTCGCCCATGTTTTATATACAGTGAGGGCTGTAAGATGTTTTTTTAATGTATCAAAGTTTGTAGTTTTTCAAGCTTGCTATTTCATTTACATTCCCCAAACTTGGTAAACAGATACTATATTCTTTATGAAAAGACCGAGTATCCACACCCATGTTGAATTTTACAACCATCTCTATAGATCCTATGTGTGACTTTGTTCCATAAGGAGTTTTAACTAATACTACTAGTATATTGCATTGTTACTTTTGTTACCGTCTTTTGCACACATTTGTACGCAAACCTGTAACTATATTGTACAGTATGTTATTATCAAATAAATGATATAAGGACATTTATCATGTGCCTTTGAAATGCAGACCAATGATATTTGATGAGATTTCTTGTACAATGTTGTTCAATTTGTTTGTATATTTTACTCATGGTCCTTTTAATTAATCACATCCTTTAAATACGATAAAATAATTCTCTAATTGTTCTTTTGACGGTCATAGTTGGTGTTGATAAGTTCGTTTATTAAAGTCTTGATTTTAATTGGTATAACCAGTTTTAATGTCTGATTTTAAAGCAGCTTTCTGTTATAGACATTATAGAAATCATGATCATTAGTATTCACATTTTTTTGTGACAAATCCATGCAAGACTTGCCTTGAGGACTGTCCTGTTGTATAAACCAAACCGCACCTACAAGTTTCACTTACTTGGTTATCTTAATGCTTTGCCCTCGTCTATTAAATGTTGTGCAAAATATCAAAATGCTTTTTGTGTAAATATATACATATGTATTATTTCAAAATGTAAATTATTTCATGTGCAATTTCTGTTTTGTTTTATAATCAACTACACTGGCACTGAAGTTGGTTACTTTACAGTCAGAAACATTCATTACAGGTCAACTGTTATTGTTTCAATTTGTTAAACACCCTGATCAACATTCCTATACTAGGTTTTCCCGATTTTTTTTACATTGAAAATTCATTTAATCTTCATGTTCATGTTTTGTTCATAAAAGATAAAAATAGGAAATTATTCTATCCCTTTCATACTGTATCTAGTAGAAATTAGTTTTTTCCGTGAAAGTTATTGATAAAAATTTCTCCAAAATAAAAATCCAATGTTTCAAATTCTTGATTCTTTTAACAATTACTGCTAAGTGTCCTTTTCTCAATGCTTAAGTGATAAATATGTGAATTTGCATGAAACAAGCATTTCAGTCTGTCTTCTCTAGTCTTCTGTTTGTATACACAAATCATGCTAATTGAATGTAGCTGTGTGTAATGGCTGTATATAACAGCAATATTATATGTGAAACAATAAGGTTTTACGCCTTCTGTTGCACTTTTATCATCTTATATTTTGTTTCTAAATAAAATTTATATGTATGTTATTGGAAGTTGAGAATTTAATTATTGTCAAGTAAGGTTATGAGTCTGTCATACGTTAGTGGAAAATGTGCCATTTATCCTTTGGTCAAAACTGACGTTTTGCAGAGACCCTGAACCTGAATCCTAGGCTACAAGTCAAAGCCCCAACAATATCATTGTTTGACTACTTATGGTGATTTATAGCTGGTTACTGAAACCCTGTAATGAAAGAAAGATATTATTACACAAAGTGCGCCAAATTCAGAATCAACTACCCTGTAATTGCAGAGTTATTGCCCTTTGTTAAAATTTTGTGTCAGCATAACTTTTTGTTCATTTACACTCTGATAATAAAACTTGCTGTACACATTGGTCATACTAAGAGGATTTACAGTGTAGCAAATTCAGTGCGTCAAACCCTTTAATTATAGAATTATTGCTCTGCGTTAAAACTTTGTGTCCAGCAAAGTTGTTCTTGGGGAGTGTTTATCAGTTTTACTACAGTTAATCAGGAATTTAGTGGATGAACAAATGTTTCCATTACAAGTATTTCTTACCCAGAAATTTATAGTGTGAGACGTTAATAAGTAACTCCATACGTCTTCCAACTTGCAAAACATATATCCTATTACTGAATTTTATTGATATTAAACATCTGTCCTGAATGGCATGCTCATTAGTGTAATAAGAAAACCACATCATTCACAAGCATAAAGATGTTATAGCTCTTTGTTCATGCATTCAAGACTTGGTTCCAAAGTTCTAGTATCATCCCTAGATTAGAAATGATGAATTCTATGTAAAAGAAAAGAATTTATTTAAAATTCTATTTCATATTTAGTTTCTGTTGGCAAATATTTATTTAGTACATCAATAGTGACCTACCTTCTACCAGAAGCCAAAATCTAACTACCATAATAAGACAAAAGGCCAAGTAGTAAGTATTTTGTTTCAAAAGGCAATGCAATAATACAGGGAGTCCGTCTTTATGTTCCTGTTATATGTTAGTGTACTGTGCACTTGACTATGATGATCGCTAAAGTTCAGGAAGGTCTTTCTCTGTATTTCTGCGACCCATATATGGTAATAAGCAGAAGTTACATCTAATGGATATTATTCCTTAAGGTACTTCCCCTTGTTCAGATTATTCCGAACTTGGCTCAACTTATATAGTAATTGAAACACATGCTTAAATGTTGGTATGGTAACAGAAAAAGAATAAAAAATGACAACTTTTCTGAAAGCAAAATTATCCAGCAGATCACTATCTTATATGCAGAAATTTGAGCATAATTATCTTAAACGATTTTGAAATAATTTCTCAGAAAATCTCGATGTATTACTAAGTTTACATGGTAACATAGCAGGAAAACAAAATAAGCATTTCTCCATAATAAAAAAAAACAGTAGGCAAAATGTCAACAAAATCACAATTCAAACTCTGAAGTCGATAAGAACAGGGGAAAAATTACTTACACGGATATCCATGGAATGATCAAGGATGATGATGATAATTAGGTTAGGTGTCACAGAAGAATAGGAATCTTTAACATCATCACGGTTAATAGGAGAAATGTCAAGTTCACAATATGAGAACTAGATTACAAACAACGAAACAGCTGATTAGGAATATAAGGGCACAGAACACGTCTTATTTCAAGCCGGACAGGCAACAGTACAATTAGAGCTTTCAATGTATAGTGTTTCGTGTAATGATCTTGACATTGTCCACTAAACGCTTACTGGTCTAAAATATGACATCATCATACAATGGATGCACATAATTTGATGGTCAATGTCATTTTAATACGAAACATACAGGGAACCAAACATGTACAGTAATTCTTCAGACCTGTGATGTATAGATTCCTAATTTAGTTATGAAATGAATAATTCATATTTTTAAAATTTTATACGAAAAAATCCTTGTAAACCCGAGTGTCCGTTTTAAAAGGTTAATACTATTTTACAATTGGTTTATTTGCGTGGTGGCTTTGACATTACAATTCAAAATCGCTCAATAAGCACTTTTTATTAAAAGGAGACAGATATGGACCTGGAAAAACATCACGTAAGTGTTTGGAAAAATCACCTTATTATTTTTTTGAGATCTACGACTGTGTAATTTTTAGATGAATGAACTTAAATAGTAGTATACAAACGGATATAAATATATATCTATCCAAACCCGCGGTATAACGATAGACATCATACGGAATCAACAAAGGAATTAGGAACTGGACGTCCGCCTTTATTACCGAAAAGTAGAAACGAGTGTCTTTAAAATCTGGATTTCTTTTTTACCAAAATTATTTCAGCAGGATAGCAGGGATCAGACATTGGAAGCATACCCATTTGCTGATTGCCCAGGATACAAAAGTGTTTTAACTTCAGCTCAGTGGATTGAGAAATGGCTATATATAGGGTCAACATGTGAATACAGCAAATGTTTCTGAGGTAACGTACCCATAACTCTAGAAGTGGAGAAAGAAAACAGACGTTTGATGATCATACGGGCTGAAAAGCTATTACTACGTTCACAATTATGAGACGATCATTCCATTCTTTATATAAATACAACTTTACACTGTTGTGCTAATGCGGCACCCTTTAGGAAGAAGGGTAGTGATAAGATAAATTATTTGAATCTATCTTATCCAGAGAGGCTAAGAAAACTATCTTATCCAGAGAGGCTAAGAAAACTGTAGGTTTAACAACTCGGGACTACAGGTATTTATGGACATGAATGTGATTTTATTGTTATTTATTAAACATGGTAACAGGAGAATAAATCGTGTCCTGACTCATAAAGTTGATATTTCTAATTTGTTAGTATCACGATTTAGACTAGGTGGAGCAATAGGTTTTTTTACTCGCCACTTGAAACCGTGTGCAGCCTTCAACCTGTGGTTAGTATAAACATTTATCTTATTTCTCTTTACATCTCTAGCATCAGCAGTAACATCAAACACGTAAATAAAATTATATATTGAAACAAGTTTTACAATTATATAAATCCATTTCCTGTTAGAGAAAACGCAATTTAAATTAAGGACATAAACTACTATAATATATATATGAGGAGAGAAAAAAAACCAGTAATATTCATAGTATATTGTCTACAAGATAAGAAGAGAAAGAAATAGGGGCTGTGTGCCTCAGATTTACCATAAAACCCTGTGTTTACTAAAGTGTGGGCACCGGGCGCTACAACTTGAATTGCTTGGAAACGCGAAGTCAGGTATAAAACATTCTGGCATTTTCCTGTATGATTTTTATTTCACTTTTCGTACAGCGCACGTGCCCTCCGATGATTTGAGGTTATTTCACGCCAGTATACATGTGGCTGAATACTGTACGGTTATTTCAAACACTTTGACAGTTTTGCTAGCCGGAGAAAATTACGACACTTCAGATTTGAAAATGTAATTCTTGCAGCAATGCTTTGTACAAACTTAGTCTGGTGGTAGCATACTGAGTGTTTAACGAAGAATTAATTTCAAATAGCTGTTTGAATCAATTGCCTGTAGAATTTGGGAAACTTGTTTTCTTATGTTCAACATTTCATGTGGGCATCGGGTGCCCTAAGGAAAAGATTGATGATGGATGGAGAGGAATGGACGTATTTCTACTTGTTTGACTATCAATTACCAGATACTCTGATTATGTAGCTTGAATTTCTTATATTGACGTAGAACTCCCAGATGCATTAAACACCAATAGAGGAATCGAGGACGAGAGTGAAGAGAAAAAGTAAAGCACAGAACGAAATGAAGGAAGAATTCACTTTATTGTCTTCTTAGAAGACAAGAAAGAAAAATCCCAATTCTACCAGAATCAACATTATTGTGCACTGTACTCGAGTTACCTCCCCCTGAAATCGGACTGAACTGGTATAGTCAGTGGTGACACCAAGAATGTTTTGCGAATATCTTATTTAGATATTGACTAATATGTAATATTATTCCTATTACAACGAGTATGTATTTTTTAGTTGAACTATGCACATATTAAACTATGTTTTGTAATTGAGGCAGAGGTGGTTCAGTACGAGATATAGCATGGATTTAGATACGATATCTAAATATTTCCTTGCTCATGCAACGGGGATAACGTTTACTGTTATAACTATTAGACCTACATCCGCATTTGAAATATATCGGGAAAAAAAGAAGCGGATGTGAAAAGATATAACAATTCCGGGCGAAGTCGTTTTGATGGCCGATACCGCTAAGTGGAGTAAAACGACACATGTATAGCAGTATTATCTGTAATATCACATTACTACCAATCCACGACTTAAAACAGAAAGTGTGTTATTTATCAAGGACTTCTTGGTTTGGGCTGACGAGAACAACGGACCTGAGAATAATACACGGTATACTTTATTAGAAATAACTTGCAATGTTTCGACTGATCATGTTATTCTGTCATTGCAGATGTCTATGGATCATATATTCAATAGGCCTTATGAGGGTTTGACTATTTATTTGACTTGATATATATAGAAATCACAGAATATGCAGCCCGGATCACAGCACGGACTTAGATATAGCCTATGACAGTTGCGACAGTTGCCTATCCATCTATATTGAATGCCGTGGTCAACGTCCTCAACAGTGAATGTTACGTTAGTAATGCGTACAATCATCTGGTTTCGTGGTCTGTTCAATAATCTCCGGAAAATGAATTTATATTTATGAAATTATAATAACCCACCCAGAAGCTGACTGATTTAGATCGCTGCCGGCCACAGTATTCAACTGACAAGGTACTTTTTGTTGAAGATTGTAACTGTTATATAATTACTTCGGAGACATAGCTTCAAAGTGATCTCATTGAGAAATATGCTATTTCTTTTTAGGTGTCTCCATGTAAATCTTTCTTTGTTCATATTTTGCCCCAGTTTTATGGAATTTTAGTTTAAGCCTAGTTATAATTATGGTTTTTTTTTGTTTTGTTTTTGTTTTAGGGTTGTGTTTGTTTTTTTCCTCAAAACTCGGAAAACATTCATGCAGGACATGCCTTTATAGTAAAAGAGACAAGTAGAAAGTCTGTAAAAAAGAAAAGGGAAAAGATGTACTGAAAGGAACGAGTGTGCTACTGATCGATTTATTTTCAGATAAGTTAATATTGACACAATAATTCAGCGTAAAAAACTGAAAGTAAAGAACCGTATTCAGTATAGACAAATAAGTTTTGTCTCTGTTGAGCGTCGAACCCCATTACTTCATTGGAAGTTAACGTTGTGGTTACAAAGTAAATCAAAGAATGTCGTATGTGTTATTCTGAGAAATTTAGAAATATCAAGAGGGAATGGTAGGGCTACAGTCAACTTTAGAATATGTTAGTCACATTTTAAATATCCCCGCTACATATATTTCTTTAATTTGCAGGTTTGACCAATTACATTCAATGTTGTATTTCTCTGCGGATCAGTTCCGGTTTACAATGGCGGCCTTTCCACCGCTGGCACAGGTTTGGGATATGTTTTTCCTGCGATTTCTCAACAGCTGTGCAAATGAATGATTTCTAGACGATACAAATATATTCAAATACATTTTTTCTATACATATGTGCAGTTAGGGTTTAGAGCTAGTTTGTATTATTTTTAAAATACGCGATTATTTGATACAGACTTGTGACCCCGCTGTCAAAATATAGGAAATGTTAGCAGACGGTTCATCATATTGACAATTTTCCTCATTATGGTTTTGTAGTTTGTGTATGAGACACTCTTGCATATTTGACTTTGAATCAATTTTGTATTTCTTTCCATATTTTTGATGACAGCTACAAACTTTTTAAACGTAAACTGTCGACGTTGCAAATCTAGGAGGATAACAAGATAACTGACAGATTGCCCCTCCCCTTTGTTTTCGTTTTGAGAATTCCACATTTGACCCATTTTGATTACTCACACTATACACAACGCATCATAAAGTATTCTTTTTAACAATATCAAATGAAAAATCTGTCATATTAATAATGTAAGAAAATGTTGTTTTATTATTCATAATCAACTGGACAAGGATGTGAAAATTGATTTTATATAGATGAGCTGTATATTTGACTATCAATATTCACTTTTCAGATTGCTGGTACTCATATTGGTATATATGAAGGGTACTACAAACAGGTATAAAAATTTTTATATTACTTCATGCATCTTGTACTTTTCTGTAAAGTTAACAATTTAGTCTTCTGATGTAAATTGCTTCTTCAAGTAACAATAGAGAAGTCTGATATATATCATTATATGACCATAGAAACATAACGACAGCCTGCCATGTAGTGTGTATGGGATCAGGCATCAATCCCCTATAGGTATCTGGATGTAGCTCAGCTGGTTAGTGTTGATATCCATTGAATTTTTCCCTCAACAGTTGAAATTTGGCTTGTCAAACAACAGAAATCATCTACTTTCATGGTATCTGTTTACTTTAAGAGATGTTTATATAGATCAAAAGTCCACAGATAAAACGTCATTTGTAAGTGTTACCTGTCAGAAGTGTTTCTATTTGTTATGATTTTAAAGAATAGACACTTTAAAACCTAATACATGAAGCAGTAAGTTGGGAACAACAATTTCGAAACACAAGTTATAATTCAGTCTAACATGTTGTGTGTAAATTGTTAATTTATGCAAGCAATCTTTCACAGCAGTATATCATAGATAAAATGTATATTGCATAGACACACCAGTAATAGTTCAGTATCGTGAAATTGCAGGCAGATCCAAATGGAACAGGAAGTATTGGAGCATTGGATGCAGCATCTTTCCTGAAAAAATCGGGTCTTAAAGATACAGTCCTATCACAGGTGATATTGAAATACATGTTTTTGACAATTTTACAAAGCTTATTATTATCATAGACTAGTTAATGTTTAAAAATTACAGTAGATATATATTAATGTCACAATAAGCAAGATTTTTTCCCCAAAATGATTAACATAATAATATGATTTAATCAAGGCATTGCAGTCATTTATTGAAGATAGATTTAGGAGGGGATATGTATATGATAGACATCATATTTCCTTCAAATTGCAATGAATATCTTTTCTTTAAAATTTTTGTCATTGCTTATAATTAAAATCTAAATTCATGGTAAAAAAGGTTTAAGCAATATTGAAATATGATAATAAATTCAAGATTTTTAGAGCCCGAGAACCAAGGTAACCACCCACTATCAGAAGAAAGTATTTGCTATAGAAAACATAACAAATTAATTTTTTTTATTTGGTTTTTGATGAAAATATTAGATTTTAGATTAAAGTCATTGTTACTGTTTATCAATTTCTCAACTATGATAGTTATGACCGGTCATCCATATGTTTATATCAATAAAAATATTTTTATCTACTTGAAAGTGTAGACTGATGAATTTCAATTGTGTGTATGTTTTTTCTGAAATAGATATGGGACTTGTCAGACCCAACTGGAAAAGGTTATTTGGAGAAAGTTGGTTTCTTTTCGGCTATCAAGTTTGTATCCATGGCCCAAAATAACTCCGAATTAAATACTTCCAACCTCACTGCTGACATTCCTGCCCCAAATCTGGTAAGTTTATTCTAAATTAGTTACAAAATTGACCTATCTGCCCCTGTTTGTTTAAAACTGAAATATTTCCTAAACATGATTTATTTTAAATTAATCAAATTTCATTTATAAATAAGTCATGTTTTATACATCTTATAAAAGAAGTATTCTTTAACAGTTGTCAAATAGGACTTACAGAAAACACCCAGAAAAAAGAAACAGCATTGCTTCTGTAGCAAGTGTTTGATGTCAGTATGTCGTGACAAGCATCAAATTGTGCAAAAATTGTGCTTGGTTTCTAGCTTTGAAGTTACTTGTCTGATGAAAACTTACTTCTAAACACAGGGGCCAGTGGAGGAGGTGATGTCTGAGTCTCCATCCCACAGTGCTGCAGGAACAGGGCAGTGGGCACTTAGTGTAAGTTGTATGACATCACAGGTAGGAATGGGACAAAACAACAGTAGCATAGTAGTATATCAGAACATTTTCTTCAGGTTGGTAATATCAATAGAATAGTAATTGTTGTATCATTACTAGTAGAAGATTAGAGTGTTATGTTTCGATGACTACAAGGTCACTTTGATGACTACATGGTCACCTTTGTCAGACCAGTGTGAAGTGCACTAGTATTGAGGTATGTAGTGTATGAGATAGGAAGGAATCAACCAACTTCTTCGGCTGTACCACTACCATATGTACACTAAGGTCAAAAATAGTGTGACAAGATAGTATACAGATTATAGACTTAAAAAAACCACATACACAAGATGGCATCACTGCACTGTAGTCACTCAGCTACACTGTGTTTACAGGCTCTCACACCCCATTTTGGGACTGGGGCCCGGGGCCCTTAGAATTGGGGAAAATAGCATTTTCCTTAGAATTGGGAAAACTTGGGGTCTAAATTGGGGAAAAAAGATACTATTTTGCATTGGGAATGGGGCCGAATATCGGCCCCAAATCTGCCAGATCAAGAACCCTGGTTTAACACTTCATCCTAGTGCAAGAGTCTGTGGCCTGTTTAGTACTGGCCTGCTGCCGGGTAACCAGATGGCTTCCCTGACCAACCACCTGCAAATATTGTTTTCCCTGTTGACTTTTTAAAAAATTTTCCAGTCAATGATATGGTTTTGCTGTGTGGAATGATCTGTAAGTGCAGATTTAATGGTCTTGGACTGGAACTTTTTGCCGTCCTTGGATTCTGCGTCTTTTTTATGTTCATGAAGTCATACCCTGAATCTCATGCCTGTTTCTACAATGTTTCTCCTGCATCCAATATTGTATATGCATTCTGCAATGTTTTCTTTGTGTATCTTATCCTTTGGATGGACTAGAATATTTCAAGAGAGTCTTGTGAGGTTTCATGGCTGTTGCAGTGCCATGACCACGATAGATCCCTTGAATGGTTTCTGACAGGCCTTTGATGTCAGGAATGACAACTTGTCCTTTAATTTTGTTCTTTTCCTTGGTGTTTCATCCCTTAGTCTTATTGGTTTTATCAAAATCGTTGTTAACTTTCTGGATTGCCCAATTTTGGTATCCACATGTTTCCATGAGGCTATGAATGTGATTTTGTTCTTGTTTCTTGTATTGTTCTTCTGTGAAAATTGTTTCACATCTGTTGAGCAAGGTTTGTACAACATCCAACTTCTAGTGTAAGGGGTGGTGAGATTGAAAATTTGGGTATTGGTCCATGTGCATCTTTTTCTTTTTGATCGATACTTTGATAGTATCGTCATTTTCCTTTATAAGGAGGGTGTGAAGGAATGGCATAGTGCCATTGATAAATAATATGAAGCTGTTGGTGGTATTTACAGTACTAATATGCTCAGTCAAATCTTTCTGTGACCCTTTCTTACTCTTTCCAATATGCCATCAACATACCATCTCCATAGACTCAGCTTGCTCGCATCGCCAATGGTTTGGCACAGTCGTGAGCAACCCAGTATCTCCAGTTGTGGCCAACTCGTTCATGGAGCATGGAGAAAGAGGCTATAACCATGGCCCACATAGACTGCAAGCAGAGTCTGAAAGTGGATAGTTCTGTGTAACCTGTTTGTGGTTGTGTTTCGAGAACTGCTATTCTACTGTAGGATACTAGATACACCTTTGCTGTATTTGTTCTCTGTATCAAGTCAGTATTAAACACTTGCTGTATGATGCATTATAAGGGCACCTGTCCTAGTCTTATAGCCTCCTCACCATTATTTTAACAAAAAGGCAAACATAGTTGTGAATGTGTCTGTGGATTTAAGTTTTCTTTCACCAAATAATGTCATATTTGGATATCAAAGGAACTGTTTCCCATGATCTTTTATTATCATTGAATGAAATTAATGTAAAAAAGACATCACTTACAACATCTTTCCATTAAACAAAAAATAGCTATTTATTTAGTTATGTTTCACTTAGAAATATGATTCTTGAATATTTTGTCTAAGTGTTGACTGGAATTGATTTGATGGTGTTTCAGGCAAGTGAGAAGACCAAATATGATCAGGTGTTTGACAGCCTACAGCCAGTCAACAGTTTACTTTCAGGAGAGAAAGTTAGACCTGTAAGTCTATTAACCATATTTTAATTGTTGTGTGAATATTTGTGATTAAAGCAGTAAACTCATTGATAAAAATTAATAGTAAGGGACTTGTGGTTTATCTATTCCATAAAAAACATCTACCACAAGTGAAGATTCCAGGGACCACATGAAGAAGTGATTACTTCAAACAGCATCATGTCATAGGCTTCCTTCCATCTTCAAACATTCTCTGAATAACTTTATTTTTGAAACCTCCTAATGATAGATATTTTATTGGAATAGCCTCTTGGTATCATTTGATTGACATTTTAGAACTTGGTCACTAATCATGATTCTGACATCAATGGTAATTTTACGTTTGTTGTTGATGGCAGGTGTTGATGAATTCCAAGCTGCCGGTGGACATTCTAGGACGTATCTGGGATATGAGTGATATAGATAAGGATGGCTATCTAGATCGCGAGGAGTTCGCTGTGGTAAGAAGAAATCTATGTTCACAGAAACATGCTTTAATCTCAACTCTTACTAATAATTTACTTGTGTAATTCAGTGCAGTATATACAGTATTGGTACATTGTAATTCTGGGCATTCTGAAGCATGCAAATCTTCTCATGTTTTTTTTTTATCAGCATGCTTTATTTTCATAAATACATCAACGTTTTGGAATCCTAAGAAAAGGTGTTAAAATTAAGGTTTACTGCTATTTAAGTGAATATCACTATAATTGTATTTATATAATTGTATAATGAAAACTGCACCATTTGATTTTGCTGCAGCTTAGTTTCACATTTAATTGCTTACAGACATGATAGATATCTATTCTGTATATCATGACGTCATGACACTAATGTTCCCCTTCATGCTTATCATAGTCAATTTTGATTTCTAATTGGATGTTGGTGCAGCTGTATTTCACTACGAGTGTAAATAAAATGTAGCTTGTTTGGTCTATACTCTGTTCATTATTACACTCACTCGTTTTTGAAAGTCATTATATTAAAGCAGTGCTGTTCTGTCCATTCTTTTGGATAATTATCATATTCTTCAAGGTTCTCTTTCCAGTTTCAGTTTCCTTTTGCCCCAAACAGAAATATTCTATCAAACTCTTGATTCTGGTGATCATCAGTTTGTCTTGGTCATTGAAATGCTTTACGGTTTCAGTTGTTTTACTTTAACATTATATGTATAATACAGTAAAACTCAACTTGTGTTGAGCATGCTTGAATCAAATACATCAAAGGAGTCAAATGTTTTGTTCAGTCCCAATTTTTTCTCTTCTTTATCTTAGTAAATTAAACATGGATGATTCGAACACTGTTGAGTTGATTACTGCATTTGTGTTGAACATATTTTGAGGTCCATCATTCTAAATGCGACCAAAATTTCCTCCCATTTTTTGGCAAACATTCAGACGTTGACCTTGTCTTGGCTAAAAATTTCCTGGCTTCGGTCTAAATGACTAAAAGTGTGTTCAGTCAGCTGTCTCTGTTAATGAGCCCTGTTGTAATTTTCAATCAAACATCAGTCCTTGTGTTTATACAGGTGCACAAGTAAAAGTAAGAATTTATACAGAATAAGGAAACAAAACTTCAAATAAAATACGCTGTAGTCTGCATGGCTGCCCAAAACCAAGAGGAAAAAACAAGCGATAACTACACTGCTGATACAGATTATGATAATACTAGTTGTCATTGACACATTAGTTTATGATTAAGTGCATTTACTGGATATACATGTACATAAAGAAGCTGTAAGTTTATTTTTCTTCTATTTTACGGAATACACTCTTAGTCGCTATTCATGTAAGTTATGGTTCAGTGACTTTGGAGCAGCCTTCACCTTTTCATAACCTCTCAGTGCTATTGATGTTATAACAATGTATAATGTTCATGAGTACATATATATTTAGTTTTATTTTTAAATATTGTTGACAGGACTTGTTTCATTAAAGGATATTAATGTGAGAACAATATTTGTATTACTTTAGGTATCAATGTCACTAAGTTATGTGTATTATAATGGTTGTGTATCCTTGGCTGTGCTGCAATGACGACTGTTTCAAATTACTTTTACTGTCACACCATGCTATGAGACACTTATCCTGTAAACAAATGATGAAAATAGGGTCTCTCTTCGAAGCACTGTATGTCTCCAGTCACAGAAACACAGTCAAGTTGAACCATCAGATATGTCAAATATTTCCTTTGGTCCCAGTTCAATAACCTCCTGGTGATTATCTTTTTTCTGTAAATTTACTAACATATTGCATTTATCCTCATAAATGCCCCCTTCAAAACGAAAAACACACCCAACCCTACATTTCAGAAGTAATTTCTATGTATGATTCAATATGTAAATAAGTCTCCATACACTTGCATTTTGAAGTCCAGAACAGCAATGCTCAAGGCAATCACAACATATGAAATGATAATTAATAAAATGTGTATTTACAAAAGTGTTAATGTAAGCTTAAAAGTCATAAGTCATTATCCTGGACTGCCATATGAGCTGTACGAGCTCACAAGCTGGAGCATTTACAGTAATTTGACCAGTCACTTTTGTATGCATTTCTTTTTTTTGATCTCATCTGACAGTAAGTAAAGGGATGCATGCAGAGTAGATGACGTATAGAAAATACCATGTATAGATTACCTACATATCATGGCATTCTTTAATTGCAGGCCATGCACCTTGTTTATCGATGTTTAGAAAAAGAACCTTTACCTGCAACATTACCCCCTCTTGTTATACCACCCTCTAAGAGGAAGGGAGGTGTGGTCACTGCAGGTATTCCAGCCAGTGTTCCAGGTGCTGTCCCAGGGGGTATACAAGCAGGTATGGTGATGGGCGGGGTACCTGTCCTTACACCAAATGTCACTGGTCGGTCTACACCAACCCAGCGATCAGACTCGCCAAGTGTAAGTATAAGACAAACATTACACTGAAATTGACCATAATCTGCTTATAACAGGTGCTCTCTCAGATTGATCAGTTGAAATTTGCTGGTTGGTATATTGCAATCACTTTTTGTTACTCCTTTTCTCCATTTATTCCTTGTTTTTGATACTTTATTCTTCAGCCTCATTTTACCTTAACTGTTATGAGGATATTGAACTCAAAACAAATTGATAGGATTTCATGAGTGGATAAACCATTTAATTTCACACTGAAGTAAATGTTGTTTTCTCTAGTTTCAAAGTATAGGTTCTTTCTGTTCCTTACTTGAAGACCATTTCCGTTGATTGGAAGAAATGGAAGGCTTTCGGAAATTTCTTTCAATTTTGTGTTTAAAGCATGAATTTTTCATCTTCCAATTCTAACTTCTAGTTTATACCAAAATTGATGTATGAATACCATCATATACTTTTTCTTTCCTTTGTAGTTGACTGTTCCATGGGTTGTTACTGCTGCAGAGAAGACAAATTACGACGTCATGTTTAAAAAGGCTGATGTAGACATGGATGGTCTGGTATCTGGCCAAGAAATTCGTGAAGTCTTTCTCCAAAGTGGAGTTCAAAACAACATTTTAGCTCATATCTGGTAGGTTTTCCTTTAATGATTGTAATGCATTAACCTAATGTACTTATTGTAAACTTAAGTTCAGACAAAGAGGAGAAGAATCTCAAAACTTTGGTGTCTGATAGGTTCATGTTTGTGTTGTTGTTCATGTATTAGGAAGAATGGTTCTGAGATTGGCACTACAGTGACTTGACTATTATGTTCAAGTTTTAAGCTTTGTCTAACTATAAAAGCACCAATATGTCATTGGCCGAGGTTAAAAGAGTAAAGGTCACATTTGACATCTTCTGCAAATTCATCAAACAATAAAACATACATGGAAGCAGGATGTTGATGATTTACATACATGTTTTAGTTCATTTTAAGTTGAAGCTAGTTTATAAATTATAACATTATAACAAGCACACTCTAACTGATTGTTATAGGGGGCTGTGTGATACAAAAGGAGCTGGTAAGTTGAACCAAGAACAGTTTGCACTGGCCATGTATCTTATACAGAAGAAGTTGAAGGGAATAGACCCTCCTGCTCAACTTAGTCCTGAAATGGTCCCACCTTCCATGAGGCCCAAGCAAGGAGCTGATCCAACTGCCTTTGGAGTCACGGTAAGGTCTGCTGCCAGAAATGTATTTTTTGTATATGTGTAATGTTTAAGGACAGGATCCAAATCATTTACTCCATTACCAGTTTATATCATCTTATAAACAGTATTATGTTGTTCTTTATATATTATGATCTTTTCACCAGTTTGATAATAATGATAAACTTGATTTATTTTACAAAGCTTGCGAAACAAGTTTTGCCAACTTATATTAATTACTCTTGTTGGCCCAGATGGATGTGTGTGAAGTGTCTTACTGTGTTAGGAAACCGAAGTACCTGGAGAAAACCCATGGGGTCGGGCAGGTGACCCCATATCTTTACACATCCATTCAAGGAATCAAACCCCAAATGGCTAGGTGAAAGGCGAGTGCGTTACCACTACGCCACCCAGTATAATGTATAATGGTTATAACATATCATTGAAATGATTGTCACACTTCAACCAATTGAACACACTTATTAGTGATTCTATCATTTGTGGGAAATGTGTCCATTTGATACAAACTAGAAAGTCTCCTACAAAATGGTTCCATTTTTTACAACATGACAGGACGGCACAAATGCTGGACCTTATGGACATGTAGCAGACTTCTCGGCCATCAAGGAACTGGATGTTATCAGCAAAGATATAGATGACATGAAAAGGTAACCATCTGTTTTCTGTCAGATATATAGCTCTACGTTCCTGAAAAATATTATTTTCAGACAACTTAAAAAAGTTACGACATTTTCCTTAATTAAGTTAAAATGTAATCCTAATCATTATTTTATGATAAAAGAATCACAGTGTAAGAAATACTGGACAATATTCTCTACCTTCTGTGATACAGGGAGAAACTACAAATAGAGAGAGACAATGCCCAGAAGGAAGCTGATATTAAGATTTGTAATGGAGAAGTTCAGATGTTACAGAAAGAGTTAGACGCTATCACTGCCACATTACAGCAGCTAGAGAGTCAGAAAAAGGAGGCTCAGAAACGGCTGGATGAGTTGGACGATAAGGTAATGGAGAGATAGCTTTCATTATATATTTAGATGCATCTATTCCTGCCCTCCATTTCAGTGTTATTAATGTCCATCAGGTCGCATCCTGTTATAAATCAACAACCTCCTTTAAGATTTGGTTAACATTTACCCTATAAGATCAATATATCAAGGTCTACACCATATTGTATGAAGATTATCCCAGGTCATGATTAAAGATTCGTCGATTGTATTTGATAATAGTGTAAAAATAGTGGATTTTTTAACAAAAATTAAGAAAGAAATTAAGGGAGTTTGATCTTTGTGTTCAACAGAAATCTAATTTGGAAAGCAATATGAAAGAGATGAGGGAAAAGTTGGAAGAAGAGGAAAAACAGGTATGTTTGTAAATTTGACCTAGAGAGATTTGTGACCCATTCTGAAACTCTAATGTGCGATATCTGTAGACAGTATTTTTACACTCCCTGAAAATTTTCAGTGGGGAGCATACACTTGCTGCTTTGTCCATTTGTCTATCAGTCCTTTCGTGTGCAAAATATAATTTTACCCTCAGTAACGCAAGGATCTTGATACTTGGTATATATATTGGTCAAACCAAGATGATGGTCAGTAACATATTGAGGGCCTGACATCTTTGATTACTAAGTTATTGCACTTTGTTAAAATATTGTGTCGGGATCATAACCTTGCTTTCATTTAAAGTGGGATAATGAACCTAGGTGTATACAGTGGTCATAGCAAGACTGCATTGTATTAAATCCAGGACTTGCAATTCCATGATTACAAAAGCATTGCCCTATGTTTAAATCTTGTGTCCGAAGAAGTTGTTTTCGGGGAGCATTCATCAGTCTCACTGATATTCTGCACTTAGTTTTATGGGTCATCAAGGCCTCTGTATTCATCAAATTGTTGTATGACCAGATTCTGTAATCACTTCAATTCCTATCTCTGGTAAGAATTATTTTCATCTGTAGTACTGCATAAGTATATATTGACCATCCTTAGAACATTGAAAACTCAACAAATTTTGAAATCTGTCATACTTTTGATGCAACTTTCAACTTCTAGTTTTCCACAATTTCCTTTCTTATTCAATAAACTGACAGTGGTGTCTACACAAGTTCCGAGTAGATTTCATTACATGATTCTTAACAGATTATTAAGGCTTGTTTTATTTTACTTTGTCAAAGGTGAACAGCCTGAAATCTCAAATAACAACACAAGAAAAGTCGGCAATGGTAAGTAAATCTGCTCAGTACTATAGTTCACTGAATTGTCTGATATTAGCTTGTCACCATTAGTAACATGCCGATGAGGTTATTGATGTAGATTAATTAAATGTAATGTTTGTTTTCTCTCTAATATACAGCCACTTTATTATAAGGTATGCATATTGACTTAGTACAGTATAAATATCTACATTTTTATTTAGAAACTCACTGTAATCAGACCTTTATTTATCAACCTGTTAGGTTGCATCCTTATGAGGTGTATTGTTCGTATCACTGTATTGCTATTGTCTGATTACAGAGTAGGATTTGCTTTGATCAGATTAAGGTAGGGTTGACGGTTGATGTTATGTATTTAACAGAATCAAGAAGAAGATCTTTCTAAGCTGCGTGTAGATCTTAACAACCTCAGAGAGGAAGAAACAAGACTGGAGCAACAAGTTGATGCTGGAAAACTCCAGTTGGATTTACTGGTCAAGTCTAAAAAAGATCTAACTCTACAAGTCAATCAGGTATGTTCTCCTATATAGACCTGTATTTTTTCTACCTGTCAGTCAATAAGGTATGTACTCTGATATAGACCTGCTTGTATCCATGAAGCTCCCTGTTTTTGTGGTTGAGAGGGGAATAGGTGTTTGACACATTGGACCACCCACAATTGTCTCTTCCTCGGGGTCCAACTATTACTATTCATAAATTCTTGATCACAGTAAGTTAGAAGTATCTCCATGTTCCTCATACATCTAGATTAGCCCATCCTAACTGAAAGATTTATTGCAAAACATTTGATTAAGAAATGAATGAAAAAAAGGTGATAAACTTCAACTGTTTTTGAAGGTAAAAGATCAATTTGATTTTCAGACACGAACAAGAGTTCAACATCAGGAGGACCAAAAGAGGTTGATGAAGCAGAGTCTAGGAAACTATGGTTCACAAATAAATGGTGATCTGACGACAGCCTTGTCAGGGATACAGATGGATGACCAGATGAGTTCAAGGGCAACAGTAAGTTACTACTGTATAAAGGGTTGAAATACTTTGTCATTATTGTGGATGGTTTTACTGTAGAATGAATTATTAATGAGGATTGGAATTCAAGAAATTACTAAAGCCTTGATAGCCTGATTTATGACACCACAATTTTTTATCTCAATAACTTGACAGAAATAATTAGACCAAAGTAGAACCAAAGTGTCCGAGTGAGAAATTAAGAAAAAAACCCAGCAATATATTGAAAACGTTTTAGAAGATTTACCACATATTTCTCATCTCTTTTTTTCAGGTTGGTAGTCCTGCTAGTTCTATTGGAAGTTTTAGTACTGGTTCAGCTATGGAGGACTTTAAGGATGACCCATTTAAATCCAAGGATCCTTTTGGTGGAGGCAGTGGAAGTGAAAGTACCCAGCCTGATCCATTCCAGTCCGAAGATCCATTTAAAGGCAGTGAGTAGGACGGGGAAATATCAAAATATAACCAAATTCTGGGAAGACTTTTCTTTGCATATGAGAAGAAAATTATAACTGAATAACATTCATGGGATTTTTACAAAACTTAAATTTATATTCTATTTACAAAACTTAAATTTATATTCTATTTACAAAACTTAAATTTATATTCCAGACGATCCATTTAAGTCAGATGGTTTTAGCTCTGATCCCTTTGCATCAGATGATCCTTTCAAGAATGCATTTAGTGGATCCTCAGCCCCAACATCTAGTGCCAAAGTAAGTGACTGTTCTTTGTTTTACAAGAATTTTCTTATCTTAATATTCATATCATTTCGTTTTTGCCTGATGATGCAATTTTAGGATTTCTCTCCAACAAATTCTTCTATTTTTACCACATTCTGACAAAGGAAAGTGATTAAACCATTTTCAGTGTTAATCCATTTACAAAGGTGCAAGAATTATTCTTCAAATATCGGCCAAACATGGTATCTTGTAGTACATGTAATATCTTGGAGAAACGTTTGATGGTACTTTTACTGTAAGCAACAATGTGTCTATGATTTTGATTTGAACCAAGTCAGGAAAAAAGAAATTAACAGATTTTGATTTAATATGGTATTTAATTTCAATCAACCAAGAGAACTTTCTTTTATATGATATAAGCATGTGGTCTGATACAGGACTGGACAGAGCCAAAAACCTTCTACAGTATGGATGACTTTGATGTGATTTAGCAGAAAAAAAAATCATAGCAAAAGAGAATAAATTGTGTGAAACTAGGCAACTTTATCTAGATTTGATAAAGATTATCATTTAATTCAATAGTATATGTGGATTTAACTGCAGTAAAGCGGATTGGATGTTGTAAAATGAATCAGTGTAAATGTCATTAGTTTACGGTCTTGAAATCAATTTAAAAGGTTGGGCAGCTGGAGGCTGTTTGCCAATTGAACAAGAATAGGAATTCATTTAAAGACAGAACGTTGGCAAATAGAAATGATTATAATTTGACATTACATTAACCTCTGACCTTTGGCAGTATGAAGTATATACCTTACGGAACAGAAGCAATCAGAAGCAATATCAAACTTGAATTACCGGTATGCAGTACCCAAAGCATTTTGGAGCAACTTCCTGAAGATGCCGTCATGTCAAAATTTATCCTCCAAAAATAATGATATAAGTGTCAGTTACTTTTTATGTATTGAATTGATTTGTATACCATATTACTATACTTCTATCTGCTGAAATAGCCTAAAGCATGTTTTACATCATAAATCATATTAACATGTGTAGCCTTGTTTCTTACGACTGTACTGATCAGTAGCATGTGCATGGCAGAGGTATCAGTATTATGCCTCTATTTCAGGATGACCCCTTTTCTAGCATGGATCCATTTGGTTCAGCCTTTTCTTCAACCTCTAGTCCTTCCAGTAAATTTACTACAGACAATTTAGATCCTTTTGGGGGTGGTGGAGGAAGTTCTTCAGCCAAACCATCATCTTCTGTAAGTTTGTTGGTACTAACACTGTCATTTCTCTTAATTGGATTTATTTTTCAGCTATCTTCTTTATTTTTAATGGATAAAGAAATGTTTGAACTAAGCTTTATTTATCTCTATAGATATTTTATCAATTGTTTGATCTGCATGGTATACTAAGGATCCTGGTTTACAGTATCAAAAATATGGCATGGAAAGTATATCTTAATTTCCACTTACAATACAGATACATGTCAACTATATGAATTTTTATCTAATGAATCATACCAACCCATTGCTTGTTTATGTTTACGAATGAAATATAAGAATAACCAGTACCACAGTTTCTACTGGAAGTACTAATCACTTTTTACTTCCATTTCTGTTTTCAGAAAATAGGAAATGTATTTGGTAGTGATCCATTTGCTCCAAATCCAACAGGAGGGCGAACACAATCGCCATCACCGGCACTTCCTCCCAAACAGAAAAAACAACCACCCCCTAGACCAGCCCCACCTAAGGGGCGTTCACCTTGTCCCAGCCCAAGTAAACCCCCAGCAAACAGTTTAGGAGGCTTTAGTAGTGACCCTTTTGCAGGATCTGATCCTTTTGCCAGTTCCACGACAACTTCTGGGGATGATCCCTTTGCCAACTTTGCTGATTTTAGTCCCAGTAAGGTAGGTTTGATGTAAAACAGTTGTGTTTGCTGTGGTGTGTGTGTGAAATAATATTCTCTTAATATCATCAGCTGTATTGTCACTTGTCACTATTGTAGAACATATATCCAATGCACAAATGTTGACTTTTAGAATTCTTTTGAACTTTCTGGAAATCAAATTCTTTCAATATTAGTTTTTCTTTTTTTTTCTCACTTTTTTTCACCATTATCTTTCTTTGACCTAAGTTCTAATAAGTTAGTTTTCCATTCTGTTTAATTTTTCTATCGTATTGATCTTATTATTTGAAAGGATGAAAAAGTGTAACACTTTGGTGAGCAGTATTTTTGGTTGCAAAAAAATATGTATCATTGCCCTTCCTTACACCTTTACACCTGCAACTTTGCTTTCTTTTAAAACACAAACTTGACTACCGAACCATGTCTCACATATATTTTTAAAGATGTATTCATACCCTCAACCTGAAACAAACTTTGTAATTGTACATTAAATATTGAATTGTTAACTAGAATGATATGTAAGGTTATAAGCAATAGAATGGATATTTGACCCTCAGATATAGAGGTGCTATGTGTAGCAATCTGCTAGGCAACATGAGCTTTTTCTATAATGCCTTGGCGTACAGCTTAGTACTATTCACTGTCTTTTTACACACCTGTAAATTATCAGTATAGTGTTACAGTGTATGACTTGAGGTTATGCTGCTCTATATCCCTGCACCTGTATTAAGAATTCCTATTGTACATGTTCCCACACATGTATCTCCTTTTTATAACAGCACTATATATATATAAAAATGATGTCATGGTCCTTCACAATGTTGAACAAAAGATAAATATTTTTTTAAAAATTGCCTTTTTGCACATTATGATGCATTAAAAGACTTTGCCGACAACAGAATTTAGCATTTTTCCTTTAGAATATTTGCAAAGGACAATAAATATGTTCAATAAAACAAATGTCAAAATTTAAAAAGTGAAATATTTCAAGAACTTTTTTTGTGATCTAATTCCCCGATAGAGATGATATATGGATAGTCAACATAACATATGGGCACCCAATGATCTTAAATAGGCTCTTGTCTACAATTTGCTGAGGACAGCACATTCATTGGATATTACTTAAATCTTTGTAGTGAATTAGCAGCATTCAGCAATGACATGTTACATTAATCTTGTGCATATATAGATAACAAAAAAGGTTTGATGTTAAAAACATCAGATGATCAGTGAATTTCATTATATTTTGAGTAGGAATAAAAAAAACCTACATCTCTGCAGAATCTTCATAGTCCGTAGTTCATAGGAAATTCATAATACCTGATGAATGTCTTTAGTGTCCTTTCTACATAAATACTGTCATGATGTCTACACAGTTCCATGTGTATTTCCCAATCATTATACCTGTAGAAAGGTGACATTGCTATCACTGCAGTCCAGCTCTTGACGTGGTTGGAATAGTCTGACTGGAACAATTTGAATGTTTAGCTCATGTGGAATTAGTAAGCAAAATTGTTAACCAGTCACTGATTTTTAGTTTAATTAATTTGCCATAGGTATGACTAGTGATAAAAAGAATATTGCAGAAAATTAAAGTCGCCAATTTAAGGATATATTTGGACTTTATATATATCATTCACAAATCATAGTCCTTTTCATCAGAATTGGTTACCAACAGTGATAAAAAGATTGGCCGCAAATTCTTAGTTTAACAGTTCCAACCACGTTGACAGCTTGTGTATTAACCTGGTGTAGTACTAACACTGTCTATATAACTCTCTGTCTACAGTTTGAGGATGACAAGGCAGCGTGGGGTTAATTCTGACTTGTGTGCGCTTACTTCACTAGCACACTGCCTTCCAACAGGACTCTCTCTCAAGTGTTCGTTATCTAACCAGTGTAGGCAACACAGCTGTCCCTTTTTACATACTCTCTGGATTTCATTAGACGAGGAAGCACAACTATGGAGAGCGAGAGAGGAGGTTGCAGTTTGAATTTTGCAAAGTGCTATTTTAAATATTTAATTTTACAGACAACAAATGTTGGGAGAGGAAGAAAACTTAATTAGATCATCAAAGTGTCATCAAAATTTAAATAACATTATATTGATTTATAACATACTTCTCACAAAAGAAAATTTGCTAACATGCTATATGGCTTATAACTTCCAACTACATGGCACAGAAGTGTTAAGAATATTCATTACATAACGATACACCATGTTACACTGATTGTATTATGATTACAATTTGTTATTTCAATATTAGGTCTGGAACAGAGAATATGTCAACATGTATGGAAATAATTACAAATGCATATAACTTGACTGTGAAAGTTTGTAATCAAAGAAGTCGTTCAATACAGACTATATAAGAAGTATCCATGGATAAGTTATGTCATACATACAGTGGATGTCATATCATAGAAAACAGAAAGTGTAAATCAACAATTTTAGTAGCCAAACTTCTTTTTTTTTGTGAATTCTACATGTTTGCAATGGGGTTCAAATAGTATGGTATTTTTGTTTCATTTCTCATTTAATTTAATCAAATATTTTTTGTCCAAATTTTTTACATAGATCTATTCATGATGCAAGCATTGATTGATGAGCTAATTGGTTGTAAACCTTGGTTTGTAGGACCAACACATGAAAGCTAGATATGTAACAGTTATAAGGAGATCTGATTGATAAGAAAAGTACATTTATGATACAAACACTGTACAAAAACCTTTGTCTATTGGAAGACTGTTTTAAATCGTAATTTGTAAAGGAGAATATCATATCTGTATATGTAAAATAGTTTTCATACTACATTTATATTGTAATTCTACTTTGAAAGTACAACCTATCATACAAAGTTTACTCAGTTTCAGCCTTGACATATACATACAGAGTCCATAGTGTCTCTGATTTTCCTCAGTGGAATTACACATCAGCGTCAAGTGCAAAAGGGTCAAAGGCGATTATATAAAATGTCAAAAGTTTTCTAATGTAAAATTTTTAGTCTTCCTGATTTATCTCCCCCCTATACAAAACATTTGTGATAGAATGTGTTACTTGTTGTACAGTGTATAGAATATATGTAATTGTTGATGCCACTTTACTAATGTTAAGGCGGTCTATGTACAGAGCTGTCTACGAACAGTGTCTAAGACCCACATCTTGAGATGTCCTTGTTGAATTTGATTTAAGAAGTGTAGTTATGTAACGTACAAATAATGGGAACCTGAAATACCATTTATAACAAAAACTGATACAGATATAAAGCTAAATTTCATAAAAATCTTTTACAAAATTATTTTTTAAATGTTGATATTGTGATTTTAATTCAACATTATCCATCATTTTCAAATTCAAAATAAAAAGCAATTTACAGATACAAATACACAATGCTATAAGTGCAAAAAAGTGTAAAATTGAAGTGAATAGTTTCTGAGTTTACCCTAGAGTCTGGCGGGCTCACTGATTATATTGTGTTTTGACTCGTAGCAGGACCTATTTGTGGACACCAGCTGGGCCACAGACTCGCAAAGCTGGCTGTCAGATAAAACTGTACCGTCATTGAACCAACCGTCAAACAATAACTCTACAACAGGGGATTCTCAAAATTGGGTTTTGGAGCTTCCTAGCTGGTCTACAGACAGTGACTCTTCCCAACAGACTTCCCCACGACTTAAAGCTGTGTTACAGACCTCCAAGACAGTTCTCCCTCTCAACAAGGGGCGTCGGTCCTCCTCCTCTTCAAGTACAAAGGTTTCTCCCAGGACACGTCTTACAGAGTCTGTAGATGAATCTGATGCTTAACAAGAACCAGTTGGTAAGAAATTGTTGACGTGAAAGGATGAACTGTGCAATAATCTATTTGTAGTACTGGAACATTATACTGGTTAGGATAAATAGACAGATATTGTGTCAAACTGGTTAGGATGAATGGAAAAATAAGTGTGGATCAACCTGGTTAGGTTAAGTGGACAATTAGCGAGTGTTTCAAATTGGGTTGGATAAGTTGATAAATGTAGTTTACTACAGTGTCAACTTTGTTAAGTTTATTGGATAGTGAATAAGTGAGTCATACTATATGTATAAATGGTTAGTTAAATTTTTAACTTGTTAGGATGAAAGCATAATTAATTGATGTCAACCTGATTAGGATAAGTTGATAGTTTACTCTCGTGTTAACATGGTCATAATGACTAGACAGTTAAATGTATGTCAACTTAATTTGGGTTTTCTTATAGTTAATTGAATTAATTTCACTGGTCTCTTAGTTTCTGTAGAATACCTGACATACCCAGTGTCTGTTTGTCCCTCATTCTTTACAAAATTTCATAAGATATTCCGGTTTGACATACTTTTGCAAACAAAATTGATTTGGCAGGATTTGTTCAGTTTAACTCAATCATCAGTAAAATATGGAATTTAAACTCTAAAGTTTGCAAAAGCTCTTTTTGAATTGTATTAATACCTTTCTGGTACAACAGTTTAAGTTTTTTCTTATATGTCTTTTAATTAATCAGTTTTAGTAACTGAATGATAAAGCCATTTGTTCAATCTTTAGTGTGTCTGTGTAAATTCACTATATAATTGCGTTCCAGAGCTACTGTATGAAATGCTCATGTTATCTATTTTCAGGAAAGAAACATTCTGTAATTTTATTATTATTTATATATGTAGTGAAGGAATTCCCTGAATTTCTAGTCATGGTGTAAGTAGCTATTTCTACACAGAATCTGTAAGTGAATGGTGAATCAGATTTATAAGATTGTAGATGGGTGTTTGGTTACATACATTTCATTGCTACTATGGAGTCTTGGTGATGTCTCTTATTAGCGTTATACTCACTATTCAGTGCTTAGTATTCAACATGCCATTCTATTACAAGCCTGCATTGTCTTTTATAATTCGGTCCCGCCCACCAATTTTCATATGCTGCCTCCTGAACTGCCTATGAGGGTAGTCATTCTATCCTTAAAGGAAAGTAATTTGAGTTGAGTTCAAAGACAATTCAGTTCCTGTTTTTCTTTTTCTGAGATTTAGTCAATTTTGACTAAAAAAATTCCTACTCAAAGAAAAAAAGGAGTATTTATGAAGAATAAAATCCCATAATTTAACCTCTATATTAGATACTTACAGTAGTTACATATCCACTTGTAGACTAATTGGAATCACAATGGCTATAGAGCCAGTCATATGCTATAACATATGAAATATTCAGGATATCACAAATCAGAGAATTCCGTTTATGACTAAAATATTGTCACTCAGGTTATGTAATCTCTTCGATTTCTAAAACAGGTTATTTAACCTCTTCACTCTCAAACACAATCACATTGTTTTCAATTTTTTTACAATGCATGTGTTTATTATATTGCATAAATGTTTCACTTGTGTGTTCCAAGTTTTCTAGAAATATAAACTTATTTGTCACCTGGTAGTTTGGTTAAGGTGACCGTGTTATAGGTAGCTTCATCGCTCAGTTCAGACTTACAATTCCTACATAATTCCTAGAGACCAATAACCTCCTCAATAACATACATTTTTGTGTACACATGTGTACAAACTTCATATTCAGTCTTAGTTATATGAAGGTTAATGCAGAGAAAATATCCCTATTTATCCTGCAACTGGCGCTGACATTATCCTAATACACCCGCTACATACATTATTGCTATTTATGGCAGTGACGGAAAACAGCTGTGCGTTAATTCAATAGGATTACTTTCTGAAATTACTCAAAAATTACGTCAAACAATGAAAATAAATGTTGAAATAAGCAATTTTTTATGTTGTAATAAACAAGGTTATTTACCACAATTCGTAACATCAGTCATATTCCTTGAAGTTTGGAACTATATTACTATGCAGAGCAATCATTTTGGCAAAAGTCAGGCAAAATTTAGTGTAATGTCAACATCAGGTAAACAAAGATTGAAGTTTTGACTGTCTGATTTTAAGTCTATGTTGCAGGATTAATAGAATACATCGTCAGTGTCTTAAAATATAAGCTACATTTAGACTCGGGACAGAATGACAAAATACAGTGTATATTTTAAGACACTGACCATGTATTCTCTATATTGCCATTCTTAAAGAATGTTATGTAATAGCAATGCTGGTCAATTCTGTTTGTTTATTTGAATACCAAACTGATCATTATTGCCAAATATTTTCACTTTGTGCATGCAGAAATAATGAGATTTCTTTTTATAATTATGTGTATATATTGTGTACGTTTGTATAGCAGTGTGTCTGATGTTAGAAGTGGATGTGTTATCATACACTGTGCCGTATATTTGTTTTGTTTTTTACTGTACAGAAAAATATGTTGTAGATATAACCTGTGATAAGATATACACTGTTATTCCTATTGTTGTAGCATTACTTGGCTGTATATATACTTAGCACTCTATGTATGGTGTGCAGTGAGTCAGTAAATGTTGTATATATGATATCTGAAGTAATTTTAGCTTCTGTGTTACATCTGTGATTGTGTGCTCTGGAGCACATCCTGTCATAGAAATTACTGAACTGAAACAATAATCATTGGCTGCAGGGTGATGCAAAAAATTCATGTCAAAAATACCCCTTTTAGAAGGAATATGAAATCTTTCTTAGCTCATTGACTTATAAACATTTTATTTGATTCCTTTATATATTGTATTACTTAATGCACAAAATGGCGTGAAATCTGAAACCTTTTGTACAAAGTTTTGATGACTTTATTTAAGTTATCTCTGGTGTCCTACTTCTATGGACTAGATTGTGATTTACCTGTGCTGATTCATGAAGAATTCAAGTTATACAAAGTAATAGATTTTGAATGTTTCACTTGGAAATAATTTTTTATCAAAATTCAAAATATTCTAATATTTCTTCTTCAACAATATGAATAATTTTGTTTTCTATTTTTCATGACTGATTAGTAACAATTATTCTTCAATGTCTTCTATGGTAAAACAGCCCAAATCACAGCATTGTATTGTTATTTTTTTCTTATCAACTATTTATGAAATCATATGTAGCCATTGATGTAGTGTATTTGCATTCTGAATCCCTTACAAATGACTTTCATTACCAGTACCACCATATCTTGCGTCCCTAAACCACATAAAGCCAATGAAATGTTAATCGTTTGAATAAGACAAGCTACTATACATGTTCTGTAACTCAAAAAATTCCTGATGAAATAAAGGATGTGTTTTGAATATAGAACAGGTGGAATGAGTCGTTATAAGATGCATGACGATGACAATTTCACATTTATGATGTCAAAATGACGATTATGGAATGTTTTGAGAAGATTAATGAACGTATATGGCTAACCACATGTATGTACAGTGAATGGAATGCTGTGGTAGATTACCATAAAAAGATAAAAATGCCCATGCAGACCAAATGTGTCCTGACAGTTATGATAGTAATATGTGTGTACAAGTCATTATCAAATCATTACATAGTTATCATCACCTACCATCCATTAAATGGTTACAAAGTGATTTTTTTTCTGGTTGTCACTTACGAAGTCTATGTCACAATATTATCTGACATTCCTAGAGTGTTGCATTATAACGTTTTAATTTCAGAAGAGTACACGTATAAGTAAAATGTTTGGCATGGACATAATTTAGGGAAGTGATAATGGTGTTCAGAATTTTAGATGACCATGGCTTCAAAGTTGAGTGGGAGATAGGGATATGGATTAACATACTTAAAACAATCTAATATAGTGTCCTATAAAAACACCAAAGTTTGGGGAACTCTTCAGAAAGAGCAAATTTCAGTCTGACCAATGTGAGGTAGATGTGTTCAGTGTTAGTATGGGAAAGCTTCTTTATGACAGTTGGAAGTAATGTTTTGCTTCTACTTCAGAGAAAGGAGTAGGGGAAAGTTACTTTTCAACAGCGAGAGTTTTTATGTGACAGCTGATAGTAAGGCTAGATGTAGCTGTAGGGAAAGGTTTTTATGTGACAGCTGATAGTAAGGCTAGATGTAGCTGTAGGGAAAGGTTTTTTATGTGACAGCTGATAGTAAGGCTAGATGTAGCTGTAGGGAAAGGTTTTTATGTGACAGCTGAGAATAAGTCTAGATGTAGCTGTAGGGAAAGGTTTTTATGTGACAGCTGAGAATAAGTCTAGATGTAGCTGTAGGGAAAGGTTTTTATGTGACAGCTGAGAGTAAGGCTAGATGTAGCTGTAGGGAAAGGTTTTTATGTGACAGCTGAGAATAAGTCTAGATGTAGCTGTAGGGAAAGGTTTTTATGTGACAGCTGAGAGTAAGTCTAGATATAGCTGTAGGGAAAGGTTTTTATGTGACAGCTGATAGTAAGGCTAGATGTAGCTGTAGGGAAAGGTTTTTATGTGACAGCTGATAGTAAGGCTAGATGTAGCTGTAGGGAAAGTTTTTTATGTGACAGCTGATAGTAAGGCTAGATGTAGCTGTAGGGAAAGGTTTTTATGTGACAGCTGAGAGTAAAGCTAGATGTAGCTGTAGGGAAAGGTTTTTTATGTGACAGCTGAGAATAAGGCTAGATGTAGCTGTAGGGAAAGTTTTTTATGTGACAGCTGATAGTAAGGCTAGATGTAGCTGTAGGGAAAGGTTTTTATGTGACAGCTGAGGGTAAAGCTAGATGTAGCTGTAGGGAAAGGTTTTTATGTGACAGCTGATAGTAAGGCTAGATGTAGCTGTAGGGAAAGGTTTTTATGTGACAGCTGAGAGTAAAGCTAGATGTAGCTGTAGGGAAAGGTTTTTATGGGACAGCTGAGGGTAAGTCTAGATGTAGCTGTAGGGAAAGGTTTTTATGTGACAGCTGAGAGTAAGGCTAGATGTAGCTGTAGGGAAAGGTTTTTATGTGACAGCTGATAGTAAGGCTAGATTTAGCTGTAGGGAAAGGTTTTTATGTGACAGCTGATAGTAAGTCTAGATGTAGCTGTAGGGAAAGGTTTTTATGTGACAGCTGATAGTAAGGCTAGATGTAGCTGTAGGGAAAGGTTTTTATGGGACAGCTGAGAATAAGTCTAGATGTAGCTGTAGGGAAAGTTTTTTATGTGACAGCTGAGAAAAAGGCTAGATGTAGCTGTAGGGAAAGGTTTTTATGTGACAGCTGAGAATAAGGCTAGATATAGCTGTAGGGAAAGGTTTTTATGTGACAGCTGATAGTAAGGCTAGATGTAGCTGTAGGGAAAGGTTTTTTATGGGACAGCTGAGAATAAGTCTAGATATAGCTGTAGGGAAAGGTTTTTTATGTGACAGCTGAGAGTAAGGCTAGATGTAGCTGTAGGGAAAGGTTTTTATGTGACAGCTGAGAATAAGGCTAGATATAGCTGTAGGGAAAGGTTTTTATGTGACAGCTGAGAGTAAGTCTAGATATAGCTGTAGGGAAAGTTTTTTATGTGACAGCTGATAGTAAGGCTAGATGTAGCTGTAGGGAAAGGTTTTTATGGGACAGCTGAGAATAAGTCTAGATATAGCTGTAGGGAAAGGTTTTTATGGGACAGCTGAGAATAAGGCTAGATGTAGCTGTAGGGAAAGGTTTTTATGTGACAGCTGATAGTAAGGCTAGATGTAGCTGTAGGGAAAGGTTTTTATGTGACAGCTGATAGTAAGGCTAGATGTAGCTGTAGGGAAAGGTTTTTATGGGACAGCTGAGAATAAGGCTAGATGTAGCTGTAGGGAAAGGTTTTTATGTGACAGCTGAGAATAAGTCTAGATGTAGCTGTAGGGAAAGGTTTTTATGTGACAGCTGATAGTAAGGCTAGATGTAGCTGTAGGGAAAGGTTTTTATGTGACAGCTGAGAAGGCTAGATGTAGCTGTAGGGAAAGGTTTTTATGTGACAGCTGAGAGTAAGGCTAGATGTAGCTGTAGGGAAAGGTTTTTTATGACAGCTGAGCTGTAGGGAAAGGTTTTTATGTGACAGCTGATAGTAAGGCTAGATGTACAGCTGATAGTAAGGCTAGATGTAGCTGTAGGGAAAGGTTTTTATGGGACAGCTGAGAATAAGTCTAGATGTAGCTGTAGGGAAAGGTTTTTATGTGACAGCTGAGAGTAAGGCTAGATGTAGCTGTAGGGAAAGGTTTTTATGTGACAGCTGATAGTAAGGCTAGATTTAGCTGTAGGGAAAGGTTTTTATGTGACAGCTGATAGTAAGTCTAGATGTAGCTGTAGGGAAAGGTTTTTATGTGACAGCTGATAGTAAGGCTAGATGTAGCTGTAGGGAAAGGTTTTTATGGGACAGCTGAGAATAAGTCTAGATGTAGCTGTAGGGAAAGTTTTTTATGTGACAGCTGAGAAAAAGGCTAGATGTAGCTGTAGGGAAAGGTTTTTATGTGACAGCTGAGAATAAGGCTAGATATAGCTGTAGGGAAAGGTTTTTATGTGACAGCTGATAGTAAGGCTAGATGTAGCTGTAGGGAAAGGTTTTTTATGGGACAGCTGAGAATAAGTCTAGATATAGCTGTAGGGAAAGGTTTTTTTATGTGACAGCTGAGAGTAAGGCTAGATGTAGCTGTAGGGAAAGGTTTTTATGTGACAGCTGAGAATAAGGCTAGATATAGCTGTAGGGAAAGGTTTTTATGTGACAGCTAGATATAGCTGTAGGGAAAGTTTTTTATGTGACAGCTGATAGTAAGGCTAGATGTAGCTGTAGGGAAAGGTTTTTATGGGACAGCTGAGAATAAGTCTAGATATAGCTGTAGGGAAAGGTTTTTATGGGACAGCTGAGAATAAGGCTAGATGTAGCTGTAGGGAAAGGTTTTTATGTGACAGCTGATAGTAAGGCTAGATGTAGCTGTAGGGAAAGGTTTTTATGTGACAGCTGATAGTAAGGCTAGATGTAGCTGTAGGGAAAGGTTTTTATGGGACAGCTGAGAATAAGGCTAGATGTAGCTGTAGGGAAAGGTTTTTATGTGACAGCTGATAGTAAGGCTAGATGTAGCTGTAGGGAAAGGTTTTTATGTGACAGCTGAGAATAAGGCTAGATGTAGCTGTAGGGAAAGGTTTTTATGTGACAGCTGAGAATAAGGCTAGATGTAGCTGTAGGGAAAGGTTTTTATGTGACAGCTGAGAGTAAAGCTAGATGTAGCTGTAGGGAAAGGTTTTTATGTGACAGCTGAGAGTAAGGCTAGATGTAGCTGTAGGGAAAGGTTTTTATGTGACAGCTGAGAGTAAGTCTAGATGTAGCTGTAGGGAAAGGTTTTTATGTGACAGCTGATAGTAAGGCTAGATGTAGCTGTAGGGAAAGGTTTTTATGTGACAGCTGATAGTAAAGCTAGATGTAGCTGTAGGGAAAGGTTTTTATGTGACAGCTGAGAGTAAGTCTAGATGTAGCTGTAGGGAAAGGTTTTTATGTGACAGCTGAGAATAAGGCTAGATGTAGCTGTAGGGAAAGGTTTTTATGTGACAGCTGATAGTAAGGCTAGATGTAGCTGTAGGGAAAGGTTTTTATGGGACAGCTGAGAATAAGTCTAGATATAGCTGTAGGGAAAGGTTTTTATGTGACAGCTGAGAGTAAGTCTAGATGTAGCTGTAGGGAAAGGTTTTTATGTGACAGCTGAGAATAAGGCTAGATGTAGCTGTAGGGAAAGGTTTTTATGTGACAGCTGAGAGTAAGTCTAGATGTAGCTGTAGGGAAAGGTTTTTATGTGACAGCTGAGAATAAGGCTAGATGTAGCTGTAGGGAAAGGTTTTTATGTGACAGCTGATAGTAAGGCTAGATGTAGCTGTAGGGAAAGGTTTTTATGTGACAGCTGATAGTAAGGCTAGATGTAGCTGTAGGGAAAGGTTTTTATGGGACGGCTGAGAATAAGTCTAGATATAGCTGTAGGGAAAGGTTTTTATGTGACAGCTGAGAATAAGTCTAGATATAGCTGTAGGTAAGGGTTTTTATGTGACAGCTGAGAATAAGGCTAGATATAGCTGTAGGGAAAGTTTTTTATGTGACAGCTGAGAAAAAGGCTAGATGTAGCTGTAGGGAAAGGTTTTTATGTGACAGCTGAGAGTAAGTCTAGATGTAGCTGTAGGGAAAGTTTTTTATGTGACAGCTGATAGTAAGGCTAGATTTAGCTGTAGGGAAAGGTTTTTATGTGACAGCTGAGAATAAGGCTAGATGTAGCTGTAGGGAAAGGTTTTTATGTGACAGCTGATAGTAAGGCTAGATGTAGCTGTAGGGAAAGGTTTTTATGTGACAGCTGATAGTAAGGCTAGATGTAGCTGTAGGGAAAGGTTTTTATGTGACAGCTGAGAATAAGTCTAGATGTCGCTGTAGGGAAAGGTTTTTATGTGACAGCTGAGAATAAGACTAGATGTAGCTGTAGGGAAAGTTTTTTATGTGACAGCTGATAGTAAGGCTAGATTTAGCTGTAGGGAAAGGTTTTTATGTGACAGCTGAGAATAAGGCTAGATGTAGCTGTAGGGAAAGGTTTTTATGTGACAGCTGATAGTAAGGCTAGATGTAGCTGTAGGGAAAGGTTTTTTATGACAGCTGAGAATAAGTCTAGATGT